TCCTGTTACATCACTGTTGCCAAGTGCTGGTTTGTCATTGTCACTTTTGCTCTCCTTCTCAGTAGAAACTACTTCTTTCTTCACATCCAGCTCAGCTGACTCGTCTGCCACTTCAGGTTCCTCGTCTACTGCTGAGACACAAATGCAATTTAATTTACACACCCAGGCACCAAACATACATAATTTATTAATTAACCCCAAAACTTACCGTTGTCTTCTTTTGTGGACTCCTCTGCTTTTTCTTCTCTGGCTCCATCCTCACAAGATGTCTGCAAATCACTGTCTGGGCACAGATTACCGTTAAAGGGCGCCTGACCTGTCAGATGGTGAGAGGATCCACTTGAATCATCATCAGTTGGGGGCAGTGTCGGAATGGGATCCGACCCAGTTATGTGTGGGGAGCTAATTGCAGCAGCGTGTGCGGAGCTGCTGGTGGAAGTCACATCTGCACGGTTTGAACTGGTGGCCGTGGGAGGGGTGTCTGTTGGGTTTGTGCCACTGGAAGAAGTAGAGGGAGCAGAGATGTCACCGGGGATAAGAGTGGATGGCTGAATGTTGCAAGGCGCAGAGCTCATATGGTCACTGGATGTTGGGTTGATGGTTTCAACGGTGGTTGAGGAAGAGGAGGAGATGGGAGGAAGGACAAAAGAGACAACAGAAGAGGATGTGGTAACGGGGACATCACGCAAAATTGCAGCTGTATCATTTGAGTCAGATGTGGTTTTAGGGGCTAGCATTGCAGAGGTGGTTCTGGTTTCCCCTGCTTCAGTATCCATGGTGGCATGCAAGCCTGGTTCTGACATGCAAGTCAGGGATGAAGATGCTGTGGTAGGGACAGAAATATCTCCATCACCTCCAGTGGCTGGACCAGCATCAGTTGAGAGTGAACCATTTTGCTCTGGTGAAGTCACCATAGCTAACGGATCTGTTGATGTTGTGGAAACTGAGCTTTGCTTACTGGGCCTTACTGGGGCTTCTGGAGCGACGGTGGAAGAAGTAGTTGGTGATTCTGAGGTTATGGTTATGGACTCAGAGGAGGTGAGCAGAGCTGGGATAGAGGTGAGGGGTTCTGCTGGTGTAGTGGTGCTTGCGAGCGTTGTCAGCAAGGTGGAGGTGGGTGCTTTGGTGCTAGGTGTACTAGCGTTAGGAGTAGAGGCCTTTCTGTCACTGACTGCACCATCAGTGGGTGTTGGCGCTGCTTTTGTAGGGTTGATGGAGTCAGTGCATATCTCTGTGTCAGAGGGCGACACAGTAATAGAAGGGGGGACTGTAATGCTGGCTAAGTCAGGGACTGAGATTGGGATTGTTTGTGCAGAGGGAGCAGTGGTAGTCGTCGGGCCAGGAGCTGACGGAACTGCTGAAGCTATGGTTGGACTGAGTTTAGTGGGCGTGTTGGTCTCTGCCTCCTGTATCTGTGTTAACTCGTTCTCAGGCGTATTGCGACCAGATGTTGTGGGAGGCGGGCCTGATTTGATTACTGGTTTAGGAGGCAGCGCAGGTTTCCCAGCTGCCTCGTGTGCCGACACACTCGCTCGGATTTGATGTCGAGTGTCTGAAAAGTAAAAGCGTACGCAAGTTGTGTAGATACTTATGAAGCGTATGTGTGGGAAAAGTAAGCGATTAGTTGTTTCTTACCTGATGACGCAGACATTGTTCGAGGTTTTGAGAAAGTAGAAGGTGGCTCAGATTTGCTGTCAATGATGGTGCCTGAAGTATAAAATGTTCATCTTACAAGAGGAATTATGCCAGTATTATAAATGGAAATGCGGAAAATCTCCTTATCAACAGCCTGAGTAATTTAATCTTTTAATAGTGACCTAATCCACTCCAACAAACCCTTTAAACTCAAAGGTCCACTTAGCCCCAGAGAGGCTAAGCTGGATGAAGAAGACTTTAATCATCTTGCATCGCTAAGATAAAGACACATACCTTCAGACTCTGCTTTTTTCATCTCTCCTTCTTGGTTCTAGAAAATTGAAAGAAATCCTTGACAGTTTCACGACCCGTGCATCAGACATGCCTAAAAAGAGACGTGTTCATTCACACACCTGTGACTCTCCTGGCTGAGGTTTAGAAACTCCAATGCGCTGAAGCATGAGATGAAGTTTCTGCTCAAAGCTGTGTTGGCCTTCCAGCGGTTTCTGAAATCAGAGAAGTGGTGATCAAGACGTTGCCAATGGTATATGGTCTGTGTTGGTATAGCGCCTTCTAGGGTACTATGACCCCCCCCAAGGTGCTTCACAACACAGTCATTCACCTATTCACACACACACATTCATACTCTGGTGGTGATAAGCTACAACGTAGCCACAGCTGCCCTGGGGCGCACTGATGAAGGCAGGGCTGCTGAGCACTGGCACCACCGCTCCATCCAACTAGCACCAGCAGGCAATGTAGCTTAAGTGTCTTGCCCAAGGACAACGACTGCAACCTGCAACCCTCCAGTTATGGGGCAGGCACTTAACATCATCTGCCAGAGTCGTCCCAAATGACATAAAGATGGGGCAGAACTTTAGTGGCACTGACCTTAGCAGTGTTTCTGGTGTTGGTGGGCCCTGCTGCTGCTGATCCAGAGAGCAGAATGAGAGACTGGGACTTCCCCTCTCTGAGAGCTCTGCGGGGAGGTACCGCCTCGCTCCTCAGTGGAGCGTCACCAGTAACAGGTGTCTCCTGATCCGCTGATTCTCCAACGCTGGGTCGTCCTTTTGCTTTCTCTTTTTCATTTTCCTTGTCGTGCTCCTTCACTCTGTCCTTGTCTTTGTCTTTTTCTGACCTGGCAGCCTCCCTGAGGGGTCGGATGAGATCAGCGATGGACGCCTTTTTGGAGCGGCCCTCCTGGCTCGGCTCTGATTTTAGGCCTCGCTTCTTCTTGAGTGTAAAGAAATCGCCAAGCTTCCTCCTGAGCGTTTTTGTCGGTGGCGGACAAGGGACCGAGCTGGCAGGAGCCACTTCCTGCAGCGTGATACATTCTTCGTCTTGCTTGCTTCTACATAAAGAACCAGAAATGTCAAATCTAGTTTTTACTTACTAATCAGCCCAACCCGCCAGGTAGCAATACTCACTGTGTTTCAGTAGGAAGCACTTTCTTTGTAAAGAACTCCTCAACTCCTTCATCCACTCGCCCCATGAGCTCAAGGACTTCATTTTCACTTTCAATTATCGTCTCCTAATCGCCACAACAAATCCAGAGAAAAATTAGACTTGCTATCTGACGAGGAAGAACTACGTGCATCGTATGTAACATCACATTATGTAACAATCGGCTCTGAAAACCCACACACTTTGGCAGCATTATTCCTGCTGTCTCTATAAGTGAATTTTGGTTTGCTCATCCATTTATGCTACCAACCAGGCCTCCCGGGAGTCAGTTGCTCAGTAACGTACAAAAGACGAGCATTGCTTGATCTTACGTGCAGATTGGGTACACGATAACTCGTTTTGCCAATAGAAGGTAACACGATATCAAAATTGAGCTATGAAGAGTTGCATTACACAGATCACGATAGAAATCTGTACCCACAAGTAGCAATGAAAGTCAAGAGGTTGGTTGCAGAACACAAATTTAGCAGAAGTCACCATTGCACGATATTCTGTCAGGGGAGTTGCATTGGCTTAGTCTCTAAGGGAGTGTCCACAAGCAGCATCTGAGGGACATGATCACCTCTAATATGCATTTTAAAACACATAAAGGTTAAAACGTTTTTTTTTCTCAGGAAGACGGGAGACGTGGAGACCAAACTACCGCTCGAGCTCATTATGCTCACATGAACAGAAAGCAGAGTGGATAATTCAAAGAGCCAGTGACCGGTACAAAGAGACTCCCTAATTCAAGCAGGGACCAGGTATCTTCTACAGCATTCCCCCTCCGTCCTTCCCTTCCCCCTGCCTCTCCCCTCTGTTTCCTCTCGCTCCCTCCCATCCATTTTCTCCCCTCACACACATCACCTACCCCTCACACTCCCTTTTCACCAAACACCCTCTGATCCTCAAAGCACAGTACCTGTGGTCTGCTGGGACGATAGTTCAGTTTTTGTCGGTGAGGTCTCGGTCTGCTCTGGGTGTAGTGCCTGAGAGCTGGTCCGCCCAATGGCAGCTCCATTGGGGAGACACGGCACGCTGTTGCCGTGGCTGTGTTGCTGAGGCACCGTTGCTAAGAGCAGGAGCACCAGCAGTATGTAATGCCTCCACAGAGGTGGGAGGGGCCAGGCGGGCCAGACTGACAGATCTGACAACAGAACCTCGCCTTTCTCTGCCCCCCTCCCCTCCATGAGAGGAAAACCAGGAGAATAAAAGATGGTGTCAAAACCAGATAAGGCTCAGAGATGAGGATAAAGTTACTAACATTTGTTTTTTGCCCACGCATCCTTGGACATTTCAAGTGTTCCTCAACTATTGCACCCCATTAGGAATACCTGGATGGACAAGTTGTCCTATTGGTTATGTAACAAAAAAATTATTAATTTAATATGCTGGGAAAAGGGGCTCTGCTGGAGTAATTGACAGAATGACCTGATATATTTTTTGTTTGATGATAACAGTGTGCAAGCAGTCCACTATTCTTGTGAATTTCAAAACAAAAATCAGATCACATCTTTTTAAAAATGCATGAAATGGTCCTAAGAGGGCTGTGATAGGGCAGTAATGAGCTGTACAGCTTGTCGAGGAACCATAAAATCTGACACACAGACACACACACGAGCAGCAGTTTCTACATATTTTAACCATGATGTGTATTCCCTTTAGGACGTGTGTTGCAGGTTTCATAAGAATTATGTTGCCTGGTTAGATATTTGATATTCAAACCAGGCAAGATATTTAACAGCACCGTTTCCATGTCGAGGCTGCGCCTCGTCTCTAACCGCTTCTAAAACTATTTTCATAGGGAAAAATTTGTGAAAAGGCTTTCTTTTTTCCCACCAGCAACATAGCCCTGAAAATAACTTGTTTTCCTAATTTGAATTCCCCAAGGACTGCCATTGAACAGCGATAGATAAGATCTTGCTGAATGTGACCTACAGAGGTCACGTGGATTACAGGTGATGTGTTATCTGAAGCTTAATGTGTATTTCATTTTAATTAGACCCTGTCTGTGCTTGTAATCCCCAAAGATTAAATATAATTAAAGACCAGATGAAACTGCAATTTAAACTAATCAGCTGTTGCACATGGAAAACTCAGTCTAGAGAGAGTTTCAGTGGAATCAAACGGAAATGGATTTGAAAGGCATCAAAAAAGTGTTTGGTAACAATTGTGAATATTTCATGTTTAAATGCGTATATGCAACTTTTTTATATTTTTAAATATTTTTCTTCAGCTATTATGTACTAAAATGACCTTTTACAGGGTTAATAAAATGTGCACATAACATGTGCAGGCACTGGAATCTGCTTCCAGCATGTTTCCTGTATGTTTTAGATCGTGAACACGATGGATTTGTTTGATTTAGTCGTTAACCGCTCCTGTAGACACTAATGAAGGCTGAGGAGACATTTCATCAGACAGAATAAGGTGTTGCAAAGACGAATGCACTAATGTGATGTTCACAAAGAAATAAAATGTTTTGAGTGAGTGGTTCAAAGTGAACGATGAGAGCCGAGTCCATTTATCTTGTCTTCCAGTGACATGCATGCTCTCATGGACATCGGTGAAACGCATCGTCCCCTCCCCCCACAGACATTAGCAAGTCATTTAAGCGAATGGTAGAAGTCAAAACCCATTCTGTACCAGAAAGGACCATTTCTAATCAGATTTTAATAAGCATGTGCTTTGTTAAGTTTAAAGGAACCCTGTAAATAGTTTTAAAACCTTTAATTTAGAACAGACTTGCCCAAGTCTGAGAGCCACTGTCCTCCATATTTCAGAGGTTTCTCTGATAAATTATCTGCACTTGCATGATGCACACTCATACTACAGTCAGCCGTTCATCCATTCACACACTGATGGTGATGAGCTGCATTGTCGCCATAGTTGCCCTGGGGCGATATGTGATCAACAGGCTTCTGCAGAGCTTGGTGGCATGCTGACTAATTCAATCCTTGAATTAGGAATAGGGAGTAGGAGCAGGAAGCAACATACTGGATAGTTGCCCTTGAATACCAAGCGTGGACATCCTTGAATTATGATGATATTCACTTGATACACCCTAAATCCCACATAGCTGTGGCAGCAGGGGGCTTTTAAGAACCAAATTTCCAGTTATGCCAAACAACCAATCAGGTACAATACCAAACCAAGATTACATCATTACATTGAAAATCACACGAGGGAGTCCTGGCTTTCTTATTTTTCATATGAAACATGAAGCTAATGTTTTCAATAAAATATGTTTAATATGGTAAATTTGAACAATATAAACTTCCTGGCAAAGAATTGGTCTGTTGTGTTCTTGAGCAAGACACTTAACCCACCTTCTGTTGGAGGTCAGAAGGACCAGTGTGGTGTGGCGCCAGTGTACGGCAGCCTCGTCTCTGTCCGTGTGCCCCAGAGTAGCTGTGGCCACATTGTAGCTTATCACCAGCATGTGTGAATGGATGAATGATTGGTTCACTGCAGTGTAAAGTGCTTTGGGAGTCCTCTGACTCTAAAGGTGATTTACAAGCACGGGTCATTTATCATTTATTTAAACACGAGTAAACGTATATAAAAATTCACATTCAGTAGCCTGCAAACTAAAGAGCAAATTTGGAAGCCGAAAGAACAATTTTTGGTGAGATTTTTAACCAAATTATTTGGATGATGAAAAAAAAACATAATTCCCATCCCAGTGGTCAACTCTTATTTCATTCACACTGCCCCTAGTGGCTGATTTTATGAATAGCTTCATTCATACTTCTAATCAACAAACCGTACCCTTTTTAAGGTTTAGGAAATGTTTGAGTTTAGATTTCCTGTCAGAAACCTGACTGGTGTGTTTTCTGTTTTGATAATCATCATTATTACGCCCCCTTTCGCCACGCCCACTTACGATTTCAAATCTGGCGCCCTTCACGACTGGACCACGCTCCATCCCACTGATCCCACCCCTCTGTGCTGCGCGCGCGCAAGCGCATTGGCTCTCAACAGCCGCCATTTTGTGTTAGGCCTACTCCTCCAAAGCGGGAGAAAATTAATAGCTCTGCGCGGAGCAGACGGCGTCCGCAGCAAGAGCAAAAGGAACACACGCTGTCGCTGAGCTTCCTCTTGAATATAGCGGGGAAAGCAACCAACAGGGAGTAAGTAAAACGATGACTTTGTTTCTAAACAAGGAGAGGTTTTTGTAGGAGCCGTCGCCGGCCTCTAGGTGTCACGGTAGGGCTTACCGTCCAGGCGACTGGCGGGGGGTGTTTGTCTCCCTCTATCGTTATCCAAAATACACTAAATGCGTCTATAAACTGCAACTCCCGGCATCAGTCGAACATTTTGTTGCTTTTTAGACGATATAATGTTGTATATTTCAGAGGATGGGTTTATTTATTAGCGTTTCTGTTTTAAGTTTGTTTAGGCCTGTCGTCCATTTTATCGTGCCCTTTGTTTCCTGTTTTCAGACGCAGTCGCGTTTCCCCACTTAAGCAACTAACGTTTAAGTTGTTTGTTTAGGCCGCAACGTGACAATTTTTAGTCATTGCCACACGTACAAACAAAAAAATGGCAGATATGTGTAACTCAAAGGGATCAAGGGACTGAGAAGCATTGAATGCCTGGTTAAAGAACACTCAAACCCCACCAGTGTTGTCGGCGCAGGAAGACTCGGTCGTAACGTCTGCCTCGCGCTACTGCCTCGCGCTTATTGGGACAATACCAGATCAACTAGCGGTCTCATGCTAGAAAACAAATTTAAAGCGGCCCGTCGCCACTTTGACTTCACTTTAAAATCAGAAACCTTGACGTGGATCGAGGCATTTCTTCTCAACAAGGACCAGAAGTTGGGCTGTCCTCCATATTAAATTAAGAGCTTTTTGCCCGATACAAGTTTAGTCTGCTGTGTCCGATCGTGGTGCTTGTTAGATCGGGCTCGATCCTTTGCTTTATTATGCAATTGGACGTTGACACTTCTAGTAAGTTTGTTGCAGATTTAAATGAAAAGGGGTAAACCAAGTTGTCTGAGCAATTTTAAATTCTAATGATCAAATTAACTGGAGGCTAATCATTTAATTTCTGGATATTTTCATTGCTTTTGCACCTGGCTCTAAACCTACTAGTTGAAATAGCCTTTGTGTGGTAAATATTTCCCAATAAAGTACTTTGTTTGTTGTACTGATCTTAAACCATTTGCCAAAAATAGCAAAAAAGAAAAACAACTGATCCAGCCCAGAAGGGATGACAACAGAGTCCTTCTGCTTACTCGTCTAACCATTCCACCATATTTCTCTTAGGGTGTTGGTTAGCCCATTTCCATGGAGGGCGAGGTCGTTACCATAGAGGCAGCTCAGGCTGCTGTTATGGCCTCTGAAGGAAAGGTCCTGCCAGAAGGCGGGGAGGCTCTAATCCAAGAGGATCAGAGCGAAGTGGCTGGCAACATGGACATGATGGTGATGGATGCTCTCGATCCAGCTCTGCTGCAAATGAAAACTGAGGTTTTGGAAGGAGGTGGCACGGTTACAGTTACTGGTGGAGATGAGGGTCAGATAATCACCCTCCAGGTTTGTATTTGTTTGTCAGTAACTGTTGATGAGCTAACTTTTATTCAAGTAATAACACCTTTGTTTTGTAGGTGGTGAATATGGAAGAGCAGGCAGGTGCTGCCTTAGGGCTTGGTCAGCTCCAGCTGGTTCAAGTACCAGTCACAACAACAACTGTAGGTGGGCTCGAAGCCACTTTTGTTGATGCATCAGAAGTGACCAAGGATGCAGAACCAGTTATCTGTCACACTCTTCCCTTGCCTGAAGGCTTTCAGGTGAGAAGTAACTTTCATACCTTTTTCTATAAAAAAAAAACAACAACTGTGTAATGGTCTCTCCTGGAGTATGATGTCACAGCCAAATTTGTGACGTTTTATTCAGGTTGTTAAAGTTGGTGCCAACGGTGAAGTAGAGACTGTAGAGCAGGAGGAGCTCCAGGCAGCCCACGAAGAGCTTGAAGCTGTACAAGAGGAAGATGAAGAGGAGGACGAAGAGACGGGAGAAATTGAACCTTCGGTTCCCCACCAAGATGACCCAGATTGGTCAAAGGATCCAGATTATCAACCCATTGCAGCTGTCCGCAAAGGAAAGAAAGGGAAGAAGAGTCGGCTTCGTTACGCAGATGGTGACCGTGACATGGATGTGTCTGTGTATGACTTTGAGGAAGAACAACAAGAGGGTCTGCTGTCAGAAGTGAACGCAGAAAAGGTTGTGGGCAACATGAAGCCTCCGAAGCCCACAAAAATCAAGAAAAAGGGTTAGACTTGATTCAGTGTTTTCACTTTTGAATACAAGAGTACAGGTCTTGAAGCCTCCACCGTCTGTTTCCAGGTGTTAAGAAGACTTTCCAGTGTGAGCTCTGTAGCTACACGTGTCCAAGGCGCTCTAACTTGGACCGACACATGAAGAGCCACACAGATGAGAGACCACACAAATGTCACTTATGTGGGAGAGCCTTCAGAACGGTCACGCTGCTGCGAAACCACCTCAACACACACACAGGTAAGGCAGACGGCTACATTTACCTGTTAACTTTTCTTAGAGCATTTTTTTTTTTAAGTTTTCAATAATAAAAATGTATTTCCCTCAGGCACGCGGCCACATAAATGCACGGATTGTGACATGGCATTTGTGACCAGCGGTGAGCTGGTGCGTCATCGTCGTTACAAGCACACTCATGAGAAACCCTTCAAGTGTTCGATGTGTGACTATTCCAGTGTGGAAGTGAGTGGTTTCCTTAAATATCAGCCGACTTTGTCGTTTATACCGTGGGACAGGCTTTTATTCTGTTTGTTTGTTGTTCACAGGTGAGTAAGTTGAAAAGGCACATTCGCTCTCACACAGGGGAGCGACCCTTCCAGTGCAGTCTGTGCAGCTACGCCAGCAGAGACACTTACAAGCTAAAAAGACACATGAGAACACACTCTGGTAAGTTCAGTTCCTCTGTTCCTCCTGTTTGAAAGGAGGCTCTTGCTCAGTAACCCCACCTTTCTGTGTTGCAGGAGAAAAGCCGTATGAGTGCTACATTTGTCATGCTCGCTTCACACAGAGTGGCACCATGAAGATGCACATTCTGCAGAAACATACAGAGAATGTGGCCAAGTTCCACTGTCCACACTGTGACACAGTCATCGCACGCAAGAGTGACCTTGGTATGTCCTGCATCGCTCTGTCCACAAAGTATTGCTTCTCGTGTTGCATGTTTTGGTTAATTAAATCCAAAAGCTGCCTCTCCTACATGACTATATGACATTTCCTACTAATTCACTGGTTTTACTGGTTTTGTTGTAGGTGTTCACTTGAGAAAGCAGCACTCATTCATTGAGACGGGCAAGAAATGCCGTTACTGTGATGCTGTGTTTCATGAGCGCTACGCTCTCATCCAGCATCAGAAGACTCACAAGAACGAGAAGCGCTTCAAGTGTGACCAGTGTGACTACTGCTGCCGACAGGTTTGTGTTATAACAACCATCCTTGTTTTCTTAATTCATGACTGTTGCAGCTCGATAACTTACCTGTCACCCCTACAGGAACGTCACATGATAATGCACAAGCGTACACACACGGGGGAGAAGCCGTTTGCTTGTAGCCAGTGTGATAAGACCTTCCGTCAGAAACAACTCCTGGACATGCATTTCAAGCGTTATCACGATCCAAATTTTATCCCCACTGCTTTTGTCTGCAGCAAGTGTAGCAAGACATTTACTCGCAGGGTAGGAACTTGGATTTCATTGTACTCTATCCAGCTATTTCTATATTCTAAATCGGTGAGGTGTGACGATTCTGCGCTCGGTCTCACAGAACACCATGCTGCGTCATGCTGAAAACTGCATGGGTGAAGTTCCTGGGGATGAAAACGGAGCCCCAACTCCGAAGAGAGGCCGTCGTGGCAGGAAGAGGAAGATGCAGTCCAGGAGGGATGATGATGACGATGACGATGATGACAACGATGATGATGACAACACTGGTATTTTAGATATTAACCACAAACACAACAGCAGCATGCTGATAATAAAGTTCTTGAATAATGTTCATGTTGTGGATGGATCTTTTATTTATTTATTGCAAAGTCTGAATGTAAGGAGCATTAATTTAATCTGCTTAATGTTGCTGTTTTGTGCAGAGGGTGAACTGGATGAAGCTGAGGAGGAGGAGGATGATGAACTACTGACTGAAATTGAGGTGGAGCAGGCTGCACCAGTTGTCCCCATCCCAGCACCAGTGGAGCCCCCAGTCAAGAGGAAACGTGGGCGCCCCCCAAAGAATAAGCCTGAAAGTAAGTCTCCAACAGGTTCACTGTTTTCAGCAGATTAAGAGCCAAACGGGATTATGTTTTGATGCTAGAGTGAACAAGTCTTCGTAACTGACATGAAATGCTTCATTTCAGCGGCTGCCATTATTCGCGTGGAAGATGAGGTCACTGGGGAGGTCGATGACATCATTGTGAAGAAGGAGGTTGGAGCCGAACAAGACGATGCTGCAGAGGAGGTGGTGGTTGGTGGAGTAACGTCAACCATTCAGATGGAGGAGCTGGTTCAGGAAGGTGAAGCAGCACAGGAGCTGACTGTGGCGCCACCTAATGGAGACCTGACCCCTGAGATGATCCTCAGCATGATGGACCGATGATGGGTGTGAAGGTGGAATCTGTTGTTTTTTAAAGAAAAAGACCCGTCCCATACACTTGATTTTTATTTTTTTGGCATTTAGGATAAACACTTGCATCATGCACAGAAACAAAACTTCATTGTTATTTAAAAAAGATTACGTTCATCATGTGCTGATATAGACTTGAACGAGTGGGGGAAACTTTTAATATGGATTTACCAAACCAAAAAAATGAATTTTTATACAGTTTGGAGTGGCTGTAATTTATAGCAGTGGTTTTCTCTGAATGATTAGGCAGAGAAGGATCTCTGATTTTTATGAAAGTATCCCCGGCTGCATTTGAACAACATGGTTGATCATCTGACCCTTTCTTCTGATGGTTTTTCCTCAGCATGTTTTGTCTTCTCTGTCCTAGTGAGGCAAAGCTAGTTGTTCATGGTACTATACTTATTGTGTGGAGTTTGTTTAGAGTACCTAAAACTCGCACAAATAACGCTAACAGAAGACCTTTTAGTTACCTTTTTGTGTGGACAGAAGCCTAGTTTTAGAGATGAGCTTAAACAAATTGAGATGGATAATTATATAAAGGATTCTTTTCTGAATGATACTGCCACTAATCACAGCCACTTCAAAGTAAGAACTATAAAATATTGGATATTTTGGTTTTCTGTGGTTAGTAAATACTTTTTTTTAAAGCTTATACTAGTTTTTAAAAGCTTAATAGACTGCTTATCTCCTGCTTCTTTCCTGCTACTGTAAAACCTGTAGAAGATGTGTATGTACTAAACATTATCTCTGAGTGCAAGGGGGAAAATAATTGTTTTGCTCTCATGTGTTGTCATTCCACTTTGAGATTTCCTTCTGTACCACTGGCAAAGCTACGTAGCTGCTTGATCAACCTGTGTGGCAGAAGAGAGCAGATGTATGACTGTACAACCAATAAAACAAAAGTAGTCTTGGAACTAATGTTTAGGTTTCTGCAGCTGTAATAACTTGCAACGTGTTTTAAAGAACAGCTGGTTTGGTTCAGCGGTTAATGTTATTGGTTCAGTTACACAAAATAAATTGCTTGACTCACTTTATTAAAATTGGCTGAGAAACAACAGAATAACAAATGTCAGCGTATTTTGCTTGCAAATATATTTTATTAAATGGGAAAATTTGGATGCAATGTTTTTTTTTGTTAGGTTATAAGAACACGCTCTACGTGTGGTGGAAATAAGGGTTCATGTCCGTTTAGGTAGTGCAGTCACTGATTAACAATAAATTCTGAATCTTATCAGAGTTCTTGCAGATAACAATGCTGCATCAGTTAAAATGATTCTTTTACACAATCATCAATCTGCCAAATATTGGCTCAAAATGAGGAAATATAAAAAGCAAGGTAGAAATGGGTTAAATCTCCAAAAAGGGAATGGCTTTTGTTTAATCTATCAGATCTGAAATGTGCTATAGGATTAACTTTATTTACTTTCTTATAAAATATTATATTGAACAGTAATATACAACAATACTAGACATTTCATTTTATTACATGAGAAAATACCGTAATTAAATTGCCACGTGTAATTCTTAGACCCTCCACTGGATGGCAGTATACACATGGGAATTTAATACAGCAGGTTTTTCAAGTTCTTTGGCGTGTTAAATTTTTTTGTAAACAACTGCTTTTTACTATTTTTCTAACTTAAGATACCACACCTTGATTTTTAAAATATTCAGTTTTTTTCTGTTATTTGTCAACCCATTAACCCTGACTTATAAATCACTCAAGCATTTCAAAAGCTTCTAGGCTGAATTGATAAACGTGTTGACTAAACAGACAACTAAGCAAATAAGTCTTAAATTGGATCTTTAGACCCCTTTTTACAAGGATTCACATAGAACCATTGACAGGAGAATTGTTTAAAAAAAAAACTACTGAGTGTTTTAAAAAGGATCAAAGGTTGAACACTTTTGCACTCCTATAACTCAGCAGGTACCTTAAGTGTTTCCTGAGGTTTGGGAGCCGCCTAGAGTTGCAACACTGACTTGGGACGCTGCAACACAACAACTTCAGTCCAAACATAGATGGAAAGCTACTGCTTTATTATTCTCAATTTAAAATGTGTTATAAGAGTGAAAGTGACAGATTAATACAATGAAGTTCCTTGATAAGTGTGTATGTGTGAGTGTTCCGTTATCCGAGCGAAAATAGCCTAAATATAGTATTTTATATCACACCCTGTCCGCTGCAGAGACATTTTTGTGGGACGCCTGGAGTAAAAAGTGCCACATGCTCGTCTTCATCCTCCTCTTTAGCTAAGTAAAACTTGGCCTCCGAGACGGAGGATTTGTCGGTGAAAACGGGAACCCTGACGTCCCGCCAGGGCTCTTTCTCTCCAGTAACCGCCACATTTATACCTTCCTCTTTCTAGGACTCGTCCTCATCATGGCTATGTTTTTCCGCTGGCTTTCACTGTGGTGTCGCCAGCGAAGCAAAGGTAGCAACGGAGAAAACCGACTGAGGCTGAGCGACATGTTTGTTGCCACAGCAACTAGCAAGGCGCGATTTCCGTTTGGACGAGTAAAACTTCAAAATAAAACCAGCAATTTTAGTTGGATTTAGAATGTGTTTGAAAAATAGTTAGCACGTCAGCAACATTGCCATATTTGAGCTTATATGTTAGTCTCTTTTTATTTTAGCTTGTTAACAAGATTTCAGGTTCAAGGACCCAGGCGTTCCTATCTTATAATATTTTAAAGTCAATGGTGTTTTTTTAAAAAAAAAAACCTTTTCTGCTTTTTTACTCTACTTACATTCATTTGCTTTTAGTCTAGTATCAGATAATTTTATCTGTGAGGCCACTTAACTGATATAAGAATAATTCAGAAAAGTCTCCTAAACTCAAAGTATGGACCATTTTTAGGTCTACATCATCGTCTACATTAGACAGAACCAATTTTAAACTAGTATCCTGTATAAGTGTTTCAGTGGCTTTAGCCAGATTTATCAAAATGACCAAAAATGGTAACCTGATATGAAAGACACATTTTATTTATAAAGCTAACCAAAAAACTATTTCCCAGCTCTAGGACTGAAACTTTTTGTTTTCTTCTCCACTTGTCCAGCTTTGCCATTTGTCTAATTATACGTCATGGCTGTAATATATGCTACAATAATAAAGAGCCTAGAACCTAAAATATGACTTAAAAGCAGCCAAAGTACTACCAAAAGACCTTTAGATGATGGCCAACAACTCTAAATTCATAACCATCATGATTTATAAATAATTAAATACATACATAAAGCACATACACGTGTGTGTGTGTGGGGAGGCTGACCTTAAAGAAAATTGTAAATAAATTAAAATTAAAGAGTGATTTGCAATCAGATTTGGTCTATTAAAAATTTTAATGAGCCCATTTATTAAAGGAAAATCAACAAATTTCATCTATCTTTCCACTTTATTTTTTAAAACATTGGTAATTAAAAAAAAGTTAATTCTTGATACACAATCCTTGGGTTTAGGTCACTTATGAGGTGCTAAAAAAAAGTTTTGAGATTTTATTCTGAAATTTTCAGAGCGGAAGTAGCTCCGGCTGTTCATACTTAGCTTACCATCGGTCACAAAAAACTGCGAAACCAAGGAGAAGGACAGCGCCCCGAATAACTGTAAACCTCTGCTAACTGTCCGCAGCATCTCACTGGGAATGGGACTCCGGTTGTGCCTTTCAGGTTGTTGGACATTAATAAAGAGGTAGGGGGCAGCTTTTGTTTTATTCCCCAAGGTCACAAGAGCTCTGACCAATTTTCTTAACATGGACATAAGTCCGGCGGACGTGAAGTTGCTTCGCTGGGATGTTGTCCAGATAATGTCCCCCTACCAGCGGACTGTGTCCTATCGTCCCCCTCTGGTGCTGGTTTGGGTGTTTGAGGTGATCGTGGAAAGGGAAAGCGGGCACTGGGGGTCCTTGTGTGGACGGGAGTGGACTTTTGTGGCCTCCTAGCTGGGCTGGGGTGGGATAAGGACGGAAAACAAAAGTCTGGCACCGAGACGCCGCTCAAGTTTGCGGCTTGAGCTCCATCCTTCGCTGTTAGCTCAAGTAAAGACTCACTGCTGCGATGTGTGAAGCTTGTTTATCCGTCTCAGTGGCCTGCTGCTGCTGCACGGTAAACCTAATCCAGTAATCTGGAATAGAGGTGGCTGCATTTCATTGTAACACCACTTCCCCTTCTCCTCCTCCTCCTCCTCTTCCTCCTAAAAAAGACCCAAAGTATGGATGAACACTCATGTTTACCCTGGCGAGCTCACATAGACTCATACCTCATGATTAAAACAGAAGTAATCATAAAAAAGAAAATAGAAAAATTTCAAATATCCTTCTGGTAATTTGGCATGCCTCATAATTAAAAGACAAAATTAAATAAGTGATAATCACAGCTAAACTATTTGGATTATACATCAAAAATGCCCAAATTCCTTATTTAGTGTCTAGTTTTATTTAAATTATTTTCAGGCACAAGTCTGAACATATTTTTGTCATTTATTCATCATTTCAGTTAGAAAAATACCTGGGTTTAAAATTCAAATCAGTAAAACTTTATTGGATCCCTGATTGGTGTTTCAAACCAGAGCTACTGATAAATGTAAAAATCCCGTATTGATGTCATATAATCTTCTTTTTCCTCACAAAAACTGATTTTTGTTGCTTGAACAACTTCCTGACCATGCACACGCTGCATTACAGCCTTTCTGCTTTTACAAACTCCAGTCTTGTGAGGTGTTTGTGAACAGTGAGCTCATTGTTCACGCTGCTCCATGGAGAGGATTAATCCGGCTAACGACCTCTAATGTAAGGAGAGGGATGAAAGCACGTCTAACAGAGAGGAAACGGTGCTATTAGTCCTCATAATGATCAAGTGTAACCGAGGACGTGATCTAAGTTTAAAGGGGTGGAGATTTTTTTTCTTCTTCTTGTGACAATTTTAAGAGTTTTTGCAGAAGGTGGTCTTCGGTGGGGGCGTTTTTTTTTAATAGGTGAAAAGCCGTTACAGCACCTTCTTTTTACTGTACTCTTAACTTGACCAGCATCTTTTAATCCCCTCCAGGGTGCAACTGAGATTAGCGGTTTAAACTGGACCCCTGATGGACCCCAGAGTCCACATCCTCGCCGCGAGGCGGGATTCCGTAGGAGAGCAGCAGAATAATCTCATATCAGCAGAGTTTTTCTAACGTCAAACCACGATCTGTGTGTTTTGTGTCTCCGTAACTCCAGCAGGTGGAGCACCTCTCTCCTATCTGTCATAATGGCACACATTTCTCAACAATGCAGAGCAGATGTCACCGCTGCTCAGTCCTGTTGGGCCTTCTGCTTGACAGATTTGGTTTGGTTTAAATCCGTAATCTGTGTTGTGAGTGGATTATTAGCTCACGCACGACCCTCTCTTGTTGTGGTTTCCCCTGACTGCTGCTGCCTTCAGGTCTGAGTGTTGGAGATGGTTGGATTTTAAACTTTTTTTTTTTTTACATCCTCTTTGCTCCACGTAGGGATGGTTTTATATTCTTGGACCAAACTCGAGTGGAGAATTTCCTGTTGTAGTCGGCCATGAGACTTCCTGTATGGTGCTGGATGTGGAGGCACAGAGGGGGTGGAGAGCCAGGGAAGGAAAGGGAAAGAAAAGCACAGGCAGACTGAACTCAATGCTGCTGTCAGCGGTGACCGATGTGGTTTGATGTCGTCTCGGACTTTTACCAAAGCGGTCAGGCTTCTGATGATCGCAGCTGCAGTGTCAGGTGTAGACAGGTATGAGGAAAAGTGGACAGTTGTAGCGTCTGATTATTTGCTTTCTTGTGTAATTGTAGGACATGAAGCCTCGGAGCTGCTCACGACCCTCCAAGCATGCAGTGATAGTATTTCTCCACTCAGCAGGTGAGTAGCATTCCTTCTGCCTCTCGCTCGGTCGTCTCGGCTCTTCGGCCGCAAATTTTTAAAGAAATAAATCACAAACTCTTTATCGGAGTAGATAATGCTCTCAACGCTTCCCTCTTCCTTCCCCAGCTCAGTTTGATCCATGAGAAACGTGCCTTGTAAGGAAGCAGGATGTTCACTGGCTCCACCAAGCTGCCACCCACTAAAACCCCGCAGCCCGAGCGGCTGGACGAGGTCTACGCCGCCTTACGTAGAGGCCTGCAGTGAGTAAACACGACCGTAGCTGTCTGCATTGATCCTCAGAAGGATGTCCGCCTTCGTGGATAAACATGGGGTGTTCCTGTTGTCAGGTCGTACCTGCAGGTCCACCAGCTGGAGCTGGACACTCTGGGGCAGCAGATCAGAGAAAACAAGAAGAACAGCCGCCTGGTGAGAACTCTTGCCAGTCAAACCAGTGGCACCAGTCCTGGCCATGATGGCACGGGTCTGATGTTTTTTTATTTATTTAATGCTGACCGTTTTTAAATCTGTGTCTGCAGGGGTCTTTGTATGAGTTGGATAAGGTGAGTCACTCATTTATTGGGCTCATGTTATCATTGAAACCTGTGTTTAAAATAACATGTCGTCCTTTTATAGCAAGTCAAAGCCATAGAGAGGTTCATGCGACGTTTGGAGTTCCACCTGAGCAAGGTGGGTTTGTTTATGTGCTGTAAATAATAAAATAAATGGATTGAATTGGAAAATAAATGAAAGGCGACGGTTCTTTAATTTTACAGAAAAACAGTCGTCACTATCATAGCTTAAAAAAACAAACACTTACTTTTACCTGCAAAAAATTAAATAAACCCTTAAAAAAAGAAAAGTAAATTTTCATGAAACGGACAAAAACGCAAGTGAAAACAGTGTGTTGGTTTTTTTAAAGTGAATATGATCATTTTCTTTGATCTGATACAAAGGACTCATTAGCAACAGATATTTATTATACCACAAAAAAAACTTGTGTCACGTGATTTTTCCAGGTTGAGGAGCTGTACGACGCTTACTGCATTCAGCGGCGACTGCGTGACGGAGCGAGTAAGATGGTGGCAGCGTTCAACTCCGCCACCGGCAGCAAGGAGGCTCGGGAGAGTCTGAGCGAAGCCAATAAAGGTTACAGGGAATATACAGAGGCAAGTGGCTGACCCAAGGTCAGCAAGTCTTTAAAGAGCAAGTCAACCCCTACCAGAGTCTAACTCCACTCCCACTTCATGTTTGAAAAATTCAACAAATGCTGTTGCCTGGCAGACCGAGAGGGCGGGGCCGCTAACAAATACACACACACAGGCTCACAACATCAATGTGACATCATAATGTACCAGTTTACATCATAGCATACCTCTTAGCCAATAGCGGTGGCAGATTTAAATTAGAATATAGTGCAGAGTTTATTACCTGACAACGGCACAACACTGCCAGTTTTAGGCAGAATATTTAAATTTTAACTAAAATGCACTGAAGTGCCAAATTATTGACGACACGTGTCTGCAGCACGATTAGACACTCGTTTATTTAGTTTATCAGCAAAAAAAAGTTTATTTGGGGGTGACTTGCTCTTTAACTGAATGTGTGGACAGAAACTCTGGGTCCAGTCTTCTGTGGTTCTGTCTCTTTTTAGAAGTTTTACAGAGAAAACGCAGCATGATGGTAGCGGCTGATACTTGCCTTTGTCACTGATTCGCTGCACTTTGTGCAAATACATTTAAGGGTGTGGAACATTCATTTAATCAATACATTTGCAATGGTCTCTAGTAGGAACGAATGCCTTGTAACTCGTACTCAGGGGAAAAAACACCAGTGCACCAGTTTTGGGAACTAGAAGTGAGCCACATCACAGCTGAGCTTCAGGCGGCAGGTTTTGGAGTCTTATTTCCTGATATTTGGAAATCTCGCCTCAGTTGGATAACATCAACGTGACTCTACCACTGACTTGCAGCATGAATGTTTTATCTCCACAAATAACACAAACCTGAAGGAGTTCTGCTATGTGGTGGGGTTGCTAATGCTAACTGTTAGCTTCTATTAGCCAAGACGTTCTCTGCTGTTTCCTGGACGCTAAACCAACAACAGCCGTTCCCGCCACGAGTCACGTTGGTTAAGTCCATGAACGTTATGTGACAGTGTGACGTAGATATGTCAGAATCTTCTAATCCTAGAGTTTCACCGTCTGTTTTCTATCAGAAGCTAATGCAGGAGATAGGTGTAGGAGACTATTTTTATGTTCTGCCTGCAAGACAATCAGTATGATCTATTATAATCAGAAATAATCATTAAAATGTTTTTTCAGTGTTCCACACTTTTAATGGTTTTAAAGACGGCTTAAAGATCTAATGATTCATATTGTTAAGTGAAGTGTTGAAGTGCCAGTGTGATGGAAGGTCTGAACCGGTCTCTCTTTTGGTTTCTGCAGCACATGTGCTCCCTGGAGGGCGAGCTGGAGAGCCAGATGGGAGAGTTTCATGTCAAGATGAAGGGTGAGTCTCAGCAAATCTGTAACTTCCTGTTGGCCGCACGCACGCTTTATTAGTCTAGTTCTCATTTCTTTTTTTATCTTCAATGCCTCAGGCTTGGCCGGATTCGCACGACTGTGTGCTGGTGATCAGTATGAGGTAAAGGCCTGCAAACAGAAGCTCACACAGTAGACTCCCTTTTTGTTTTGCTTTCTTATCTTTTGGACAATTTTTGGCCCCGTCAGGTCCTCATGCGTTACGGCCGTCAGCGCTGGAGGCTACGAGGCCGGGTGGAAGTCAGCAACAAGCAGATGTGGGACAGCGAGGAGTTTACGTTCCTTCCTCTCATCACAGAACTTTTGTCAATAAAGGTAAAGAAATCAGATTGTTACTAAAAATAAAAAGTGCTAGTCAAAGGAAAACCGTAAAAGGGCCTTTTTAACATTTCAGATAATGGTAGATTAAAAATATGCCTCATAGGTGCAAAAGTAATTAAATGCAGACAACAAGAAGTGAAATATGCTAAAGTTTAACGTTTGAATTTGATATGACTGCTTTTCTGATTCTAAAACCCAGTGAGAACCAGACATCAGCTTCTTGTGCTATATTCTGTTCACTTGGGCTTGTTTTTAATAATTTTTTTGATAATGATTTTGATTTGTAATCTTTGAATCTGTTATTTTCTGTCATTTATTTTAAGACATTTGTCAACATTGTTTAATTTACTTTTGAACTAATGCATATTTTCATGTTTATGAGGTCAAACCTGGGTCAAACTAATCTTTAAAGCTAAAAATAAATAAATAAAATTAGCTAATGTAATAAAGAAAAACTTCATGTTTTATTTTCAGCACGTTTAAATCTGAGTGAGAAACTGGTCTGATCGTCATAAGCACATGAAATCTCAGAAATTGCCGCCTTCTACCCAGTGTTTGACCTGAAGTTCACTATCTGAGCTGTGTTGGTGTAACTGTCCTGTTGGATTTGAATCTGTTGTTTTTATACACTTGATGTCCTAAATGACCCGGGAAGAGTAGCTAACGCAGTAGCTAATGGGGATCAGAACAAATAAATGAATCGCATCACACCAAAAAAACTGGATCTTATGAAGTTCAGGAAACATGAGCTGAATAAAATATTTTAGACTAAATTACCATCAAAAATGGCTAATGGGAAAAACTTTAAAGGACTTTTGTTCCTTTTCTGATAAGTTCATAGCAGCATGGCTAACGGATCACGGTTAAAGGTGTGGAACACTGAAAAAAAAATTTATTCATATTTTTTATTATAATCAGTCACAGTGACTTTTTCATGCAGGCTGAACATGAAAATAGTCGCCTACATAGACGGTGAAACATTTGGTTCAGAAAAGTCTGACCGATCTGCATCCCGCTGTCGCTTAACATTCATGGACTCGCCCATCTTGGCTCGCGACGGGGAAGGCTGTTGGTGATTTAGAGTCCAGGAAACTGCAGAGAACATCTCGACTCCCAGAAGCTAACTGTTAGCATTAGCAAGTCCACCACATGGCAGAACTTCAGGATTTGTTTTATTTATGGAGATAAAACATCCATGTTGCAGAGCAGACCGAGTCAGTGGCAGAGTTATGTTGCTGTTAGCCAATCAGAGGAAAGATGTCCAAATATCAGGAAATAAGTCTCCAATTCCTGTCTGAAGCTCAGCTCTGATGTGGCTCACTTCTAGTTTTTGAAACTGGTGCACCAGTATTTCCTACTAGAGACTGCAAATGCATTGATTAAATGATTGAACATTTTCAGAAAAAACGGTTGTTGCTAAAAGTATTTTCTAGCATCATAGAAGTGAACGAGTCTTAGGAGAAGAGAGGAGGGTGACTTATTTTAACAGTTGGAAAGTGAACTGGAGAAATCTGCTGGAAAAGCCTTTTCATCACCAAACTGATAAAATAAGGGAGAGAGAACAGATCCCTCCCTATCCAACGTTTGGTTGATCTCCATCAGCCTCATGCAGAATGGTAAGTCAGAGCCAGTTTGGCTAATTTCGTGCTTGCTTTTTAAAGCAGAAGACATTATTTGGCAGCAGTCAGAGAAACTGAAGTGGCTCCACCATCCAAATGATTTTTTTTAATCAAAGATCCAGATTTTTAAAGCAGAAAACAAACTATAGGAAGTGTTGCTTCCTGTGATTGTAAAGCAGGAGCAGCAGACTGTCCTCCTAGTGAGATAACACACATTTTAGCTCGTTATCGGTCCACATTTAAATAAGACGCCCAGAAGCCTGCATTTGTGGTCAGATGCTCCAGATAATCATCTGTTGCTGAACGGTTTCTGCTCGACTGCGTCTCAGAGGTTTGCTTGTTTTGGTCGCCAAGGTGACGGAGCTGAAGAGCCTGGCTAATCACGTGGTGGTGGGCAGCGTGTCCTGTGAAATGCTCGATCTGTTCTGCCCGCTCCCGCAGACGCTTGCTGTAGACATCAACGACCTGGGGACGGTCAAACTGAACCTGGAGGTCACCTGGAGGTCATACACACACCCCTCTTGATTTATCTTTACCTGATATTTTTCTGATCATTCAATCTTTACTCTGTTGCTTTTCCTTTTCAGTCCGTTTGATAAGGATGACCAGACGTCCTCCGCCAGTACTGTTTCCAAGCGGCTGCTGTCCAATCAGAGCCCTCCTGACACGCCGTCCATGCGAGAGCAGGTCTTCTACGTGAGTAGCTCTAAAGGATGTCTTTATTTTCTATTAAAATCAACACAACTGCATGTTTTTGTTCTTTATCTCACTGATTTCTGTCGTTACTGTCACTCCACTGGCCCGTTGTGTTCCAGCTGCTCCCCAGTTGTTTAGCGTGTAGCGGTAGCTCTGACGTGTGTCACACAGGGTTGTGTGTTCGGGCGTGTGGTTGTGGGACTCCTCGTGAGAGGAGAGTGAACGGGAGCAGCGGAGGCTTGTGTGGTGGCAGCAGCATGTTTGAGCGCACCTGTGGTCCTTGTAGCTGTTTGATAGTGGTTGAGTAGCAATTTGTCCCTCCTCTTCCTCACACCAACGAAGAGCGTCCCTCGCTACGGGCCCAGGCAGAGCCGCTCAGTGATGGAGGCTTTCCCAGGCATGGCGGCATCTTTACGTCGGGAATTCGGCCGCACGACGTCCCGGTTTATCTCATCACAGCCGGTGTGTTGGGGCGTAGCTGTAGTTTGGTTTTTAGCAAAAATCATTTAAAAGCAGTCAACAAGTAGGAGTTTTGAAATGATTTGAGTTGACCTCCGATCAAAATCTGATTGTGATGAAATTATAATCTTAAAATGCAAGAAAAAAAGTTTTTTTTTTAAATTTCGTGCCTGAGGAGTCGAGGATTTGATAACAAACATGGTGACGGTGTTTCTCTTCCTCTGCAGTCCCTGCTGAAGCGTCAGGGGGAGATGGAGAACGGGACCGTCTGGTCCAACTCCTCTGAGTCATCCGATGACTCCTCCAGCCCGGCGTTGGCTCATCACACTCAGAGGCTGACGGCCTCCAACTTGCTGCAGACAGCTCCCACCACTCAGCTGTCACTCACACCCAGCAAGTCCAGCGTGTCAACGCCGTCGCTCTCGTCCAACCAGGAGGAGGACGAGACCGAAGGTGGGGACGTTTTCACACAGGCGGAGGCAGTGCCCAACGGGCACCTGCAGACTTCCTGCTCTCACAGCCCGGCTGCAGAGAGCAGCTCAGACTGTGCTGGGACTGACGGGGCTTCCGTCCAATCAGAAGAAATCTCTGAAAGCCCCTGTCCTGACAGGACCACTGCAGCTCTGGGGCTGTTGGCTGATGAATTGTCAGCAGAGGAGCAAGAAGCAGAAACAGAAGGGGACACTATCGATGTTTCAGAGGGACACCAGGAGGAACAAAACAAATCCTATCAGTCTGTTCAGGAGTCAAAACAAACGGAGAATGTCCCAACGGTGGGCTGAAACCAAAATCCTCTCGTGTGACGTCTCGTGTGTGGACTCTGCTTTTTATTAAACTCCTGCTTTCATTGCTCCTCCTCAGGTCTCTTTCCCCACGTCAGCCAGTTTCACTCAGGAAGTGGAGACTGCCCTGGAAAGTTTCGACTTTCTCAACTATTCCGATCTAGAAGAAGAGGACGAGGAGGAAGATGAACCACAGCAGGGGAGCGACAAAGATAAAGAAGAACATGGTGAAAAACGTGAAGAGGACCAAAATAAAACAGAGGAGAAAATGGAAGAAGAGCGGCAGATTGTGGAGAATCTTTACTCTGAGGGGAGGTCAGCGTCAACAAGATTCAAATATTTACTGTTTTTTTTTTAAATTGTGATGAATCTGCAGTTAATTAAATGATAAAACTGAGGAAGACGAACAGATGATGTAAAGTTCTTGTCTCTCAGCAGTGATGAGGAGGAAGCTGATGGTCTGGAGTTCCTTATGGAAGCTCCAGAGGGATTTAGGAATTCAGATGAGGACCGTTTATCTGAATCACAGGTAAACACACACGTTAAATCTGCTCAGATTCGTGTCATGTTTCAGACTTCCAGTGATAATCCTTGGTTTGTTTGTTTTGGAAAAGGAGTCAAACATTGAAGATGTTCAGGACTTGAGTCAGGTGGAAATTCCAGAGGATAAAGCTGAGCGACTCGAGGAGCAGCGAGACGGTGAGGAGAGTCGGTAAACGGATGTGGCAGCTGTTATGGAGTGAGACATTTCCTTTGACCAGCTTTTGATGTTTTCAGATGAGGAACCCTCACAGGATCAGCAGGAGTCTCCTCCCTCTCCCAGCTAGTTCGCTACTACAGTTTCCATCTGTGGAACCACGACTGATCCATTCGTCCCTGACGTTCCAGTGCCATCGCTATCCATTTCCCCCCACACTGCCGAAATGGAGGCCTTTAGCTTGTCCCAGTCGCCGCTCAGACAAACAAACTCCTCCATCTCGGTGGAGCTTGTGCTCGTTTTTGCCTTGTTTACGTAGAAAGATAAACCCGGAGGCTCCTGCACCTGGATGAAAACACACACCGCATCATGACGCCCGGGTTCAAGTGGGAAACCACTGGAGTTTACACGTTCTTTCTGCTCCTGTCATCTTAAAAATTCAGTGTCCAAAACATTTCAGGAACAGATCCAAGCGGCCTTGTGTTAACATTTATTAGTGCATTCTCTTTTTTTATATATTTTACAGAGACACACCAAGTTGCTTTAGCAGGCTTAGAGGAAAGCTCCGTGTTGGTGGATGTGAAATCCTTCTGAGGTCACTGTTAAATCAGCCTGGAGCTCTTTTAACGTCAGAGGAAAGACTCCCAACATGTGATGTTTGTCCCAGGACAAGAACTCATTTCCCAAAGCAGGAATGTTCCCTGAAAACAAAGATTATCTCTTATTTTTAAATCATTTCAGTCCAATCTGCTTCAGTCTCCAAAATGAATGGATACGTCCTCTAAAAAAACATCTGGAGCTTGTTTTTTTTACAGACATAAAACCATTTGCAGTGTGGAACTATATTTAAACCTGCATGTGTAGCTGTCTCATGCTGCCAGCATGTCTGTATTAATAAATAAATAAACTTAAATGATCAGTTTCAGTGTGTAAGCTAGGAGCCGCTCCAAAAAAAAAAAAGCCACTCGGACTGTATCTGTGTCCAAAAGCTGCCTCTCGGGGGCGCTGTAGTCTCATTGATGTGCTTTAACGCATTTCTTCAGAAAAAAAAAGCCTCTTCACTCAGAAAGTGCCTCAAGTGACAGATGTTTAGGTTTGACGTGCCACGGCTGGACGGATCCGGTGGGCGACGACAGTGTTTATTTTCTGAATCACTTTAAGAGTGTGCAAAATAAAGAGATATTTACTGTTTCATATTAAGAATTGTATATGTCCTGAAAATGTTCAAATGTTTAAGTTCAGAAATGTTTAAACTTTATAAAGGTTTCTTTAAAAGTAAATGCGTCTCTGTCGTATCTGGTTACATCAGGATGATCGGAGAACTTCTGAGTGTTGCTGCTGCTTTTTTAATTATTACAGAAAAGTTGGGTTTTAAATGACGAAAAGACATTTTATTTGTGTTCATTCACATTAATAAAAACTGCATAGGTGATCTTACTTGTATTCAGGAATAAAAGTGTAAACTACCAGTAGACATGGCTAAAACCAAGCAAACCTTCAATGAACGTGAGAAAGTTAAACCAACAACATAAAACCACAGTGCAAGTCATCCCCATTAATGCTTGGAATATTGACCCTAATCTGGTAAACTGGTGTGTTAACCAACATGTAACGTTTTAGCTCACTGGTATAATGCAAAATACAAGTGTAGATAAAACATCAGATCACAGCAAAACCTTCCAGTTGTCATCTTGTGGCTTCATTTCTGCAAAAAAGAATAAATGAAGTTAATAAGTTCCCATGAAGGAAATTAAATGTTTTGGTTAATTTGTTAGAACTATGTCCTCCTTTCTTTTTCCTCCCTTCCTCAGACAAACAAAACTTTTTTTTATTCTGGCTAAAAGAATGAAATGAAACTTAAGCTCATTTTGGTTCATTACCATGGCAACAGACCAGCTATAAAAGGTAAACACGTGTAAAAGCACCAGTTAATCATCAATCTTATCTTAGACAGAGGTCAAAGGTCAAACCTTCTATTTTCTAAAGTATGGCCTGTATTTGATAAAGTGCCTTCTAGAGTCCTGGAAACCCCCCAAAGGCATCTTACAACACAGTCAGTCATTCACACAGAGTAGCCACAGCTGCCCTGGGGCTGCCGAGCACTGGCACCACCGGTCCCTCCGACCACCACCAGCAGACAAGGGGGGTTAAGTGTCTTGCCCAAAGACACAATGACAGCAACAGACTGAGCAACCAGCAACCTTCCAATTACGTGGCGAGCACTTAACTCCTGTGCCATCGTCGCCCCAAGAATTTCAAAATAATTCAAGTTACAGGACAAGTAAGTGTCAGAATGATTTATTAATCGATTCTAATATCTATAATAGTTATTGGGTTTGTTTATTGGGTGTAAAAATATTTTTAAATGACCAGAGACATCTAGAAAACGTTTGATTATTAAACAAATATATATTTATGTGTCCAGGCAGACGATTCTATGATTATGCTCTTTTCATGATCCATCCATTCATTTTCATCCGCTTATCCGGAGTCGGGTCGCGGGGGCAGTAGCCTAAGGCGAGAGGCCCAGACTTCCCTCTCCCCAGCCACTTGGGCCAGCTCTTCTGGGGAAATCCCAAGGTGTTCCCTGGCCAGGTGAGAGACATAGTCCCTCCACCGTGTCCTGGGTCTACCTTTGGGTCTCCTCCCGGTTGGACGTGCCCGGAAAACCTCACCAGGGAGGCGTCCAGGAGGCATCCTGACCAGATGCCCGAACCACCTCATCTGGCTCCTCTCGATGTGGAGGAGCAGCGGGTCTACTCCGAGCCCCTCCCGAATGACCGAGCTTCTCACCCTATCTCTAAGGGAGAGCCCAGCCACTCTTCGGAGAAAACTCATTTCGGCCGCTTGTATCCATGATCTCATTCTTTCGGTCACTACCCAAAGCTCATGACCATAGGTGAGGGTAGGAACGTAGACCGACCGGTAAATCGAGAGCTTCGCCTTCTGACTCAGCTCTCCCTTCACCACTACAGACCGGTACAACGCCCGCATCACTGCAGATGCAGCACCAATCCGCCTGTCGATCTCACGCTCCAGCTTTCCCTCACTCGTGAACAAGACCCCGAGATACTTAAACTCCTCCACTTTTCATCATGCTTGTAAAAAAATTTTCTTTCTGCAAAAACAAAATTCAACTGAGCATCGGCGTTAACTAGTTGTGTGTCATTAACTAAACATCTACAGCTGAGCTTAATTAAGCCTGATAACTGAAATGTAAGCTGGATATAATTCTGCTCTGCAGTGCAGGTGTGCTCAGGTGCGTGTGAAGGTATCTGAGGTGCAGAGGGGGGTGTCCTCACCTACAAAGCCAACGGCAGCTCCACGGCCCCCCCCAGCTGATGTAAAGCAGTACTTAGTCCAACCTTCAGCTCTGAGTAGTCGGGCTGTTCTGTGTACTGCAGGGACATCACTGCTGTCAGGTAGGTTTGAAATGCTCCTGCAGAACACACACACACACACACACACACACACATCAGCTAACAGCACACTTTTAAGTTACAAGCAATAGCACTTAAACTCACTGGACACTTTCTTCTTCCCAAAGCAAAGGCTCAGCAAGGCTTTCACATCTTCCATGTACCTGCATTGAAATGTTTTTAAGTATTTTAAACTTTGTCCCATTCCAGAGCAAACGTTATTAGCTGTAGGATGCTGAGTAATAACAATGCTGATGAACTCTCTTCACCTGCGTTTCTGGGTGGCCACCTGCTGCGGTTGGGTCAGTTCAGACCACGGCAGCTTCCCTGTGTGCCAGTGCAGCATGCAATAACCCAGAGACTGCAAGTCGCTGCGCCGAGACGGAGCTATAAAACACACACACACACACACACACACACACACACACACACACACACACACACACACACACACACACACACACACACACACACACACACACACACACACACACACACACACACACACACACACACACACACACACACACACACACACACACACACAATGTCCACAATTTACAGTCATCCATGTAAACACTACCAACAAAACTCAAACTGCACACATCAGTTCTAAAGGTCTAACAGGCAGAATATTTTTGGACACAAAAACAGGAATAAATCAGCTTCAGAAGGGAAAAATAAAGCTGATTTTGTCATTGTTGCCAAACGGACAGATGGGAGTGTGGGCGCAGAGCTGGAAGGAAAGAAATTATCTGGCAATGCGTGGACGCCGACATTTGTGATTATTAGATGAAACTGGAGTGAAGGTTTTTCATTTGCAGAGAAAAACAAAACAAAAACCATACCGGCTCCTTTGTGAGCATCCAGGCTGATAAACTCCACGCTGCCTTCATGTGGTGTTCTGCTGCCGTCACGATACTCGACATGCTTCCCTCCAGGACAGAACCTGAAGGCGTGGCAGTACCCTACCAGGTACACCTGTCAACACACACACACACACATGCGTATGCACGCGCACACACAATACAAAAACAAAAGTACTAAAACAAACATTTCATTAAGAAATACATTTCAGAAAGCAGAGCAAAAAAATAACAAATTATATCAAACTAAAATATTTTCCCCTCAGAACATCTCTCACCTCTGATTTGGCTCCAGGTTTGATGTAAACGTTTTCTGCGTTAACGTCAGCGTGAACGTACTCACTTGAATGAATGAACTGCAGCACGTCCAGCTGAAAGGACGAAGAGACGCCACGTTTAACCAGGAGAGCCGAGTCAAACCCGTCAGACGATGAAACACTCACTATTCTGCAGGCGAGCTGAAGAACAACTTTCTCGGATAGAGGCTCGTTTTGCTCCTCGATGACAGAGTGGAGAGAGCGTCCCATGTTGGGGAAAATTAGAAACCTTCATCGACAGAAAAATGAGAAATCGGACTCAAAGTAAAATGTTTTCATTTGATGTAAACAGATTCAATTTGCACCTGTAGGAATCTGCATGAAGACCAAAACCAACGCAGGTGGGAATCCCCAGAAAATCCATCTTGTTCTGTTTGATCCATTTGTCCACTAGAGAGAGAAGATGTCTTGTAAAATTAGTCCCGACACGTGTTCTCTGTAAAGGCTTCTATTGTCTGACTCCTCTTTTTATGTCAGATTCATTTACCTGACGTTGACGCAGACCCAGTTTTCTGATCTTAAAGGAAAACTTACCAGAAGCAGGTTTCGCAGCTCTCTGCAGAAAATTCTGCTCGTTGAAGATTCTTCCATCTTTAGCTCCCTAAAACAAACCAGATCTAAAATATATCAATTCTGTAAAATGGAGAACTAAATAAGAAGAGGTCATACATCCACCTTAATGGCCCCTCACCCACAGGGTAGCAACTCTCCATCGTGTTTTTGGTACTCACCAGTTTGAGGATGTGATCCGATTCTTTCAAACTGGGCTGCGAAACTAAAAAAAGAACCAAAACAATCGGTTTAAATAACAAGTTCCTTTTCTTGATTTTTTTTTGTTTCGAACAGCAACTGAAAATCTCAGAGTCTCACCTTCATACAGGAGTTCTGTGGTGCTCTGAGTAGACAGCTTGATCAGCTTCCACTTGTTCCCCATCGTGTCCGTCACCTCCTCGCCTTCCTGCAGCGGCTCCACCGTGGGCGCGTGCTTCGCCTTCTTGGCTTTGCCCCTCCCTGTTGTTTCATGATCAAACACCAGAAAAGACCCGTAGAAAACCAAATTCACACCGATTCTATTTAACTTTTTTCATTTATCTAAAGATTTAATTAAGTGGGAACTTGTGTCCTAAAATGTAGCTGCACCTGAAAGATTATGTTGATTGAAAAGTTCCCAGGTGTGCATGATCCAGGCTGTATTTAAAAAGTATTGTATTTTATGTAGGTAGGGGTGGATGACTAGGACGGCTGACGCTCACCTTTTGAAGGAGACTTGGAGATCGGTGAGGAAACTGATCCATCCGCAGTCGACACTTCAGTTATCACACCTGTTTTATCCTCTCCTGCTTCCTTCTTAGCAGGACTGCGAGCCTTCACCTTTCCTCTGACTACACAAAGATCGAACAAGGATTAAAGAAAGAAATATCACACTAAGATGAGACTGTTAGGTTTTTATTGATTGTGCTGAGTAAGTAGAATTCATCTCACCAGAACGAGGGGATTTTACAACAGAGGGCTCCACCACCTGGACATTCACCATGCTCAACTTTAAAGGAGACCCGTGAACGTCACAACTCTCATCTATCGATACAAAACAAGGCCTCTAAATTAGCATGCACAACTTAATCTAAATGTAATTGCTGATTAGACATTAGTGGTAACATTCTTCCAGAAAGGCAGCCGTCCTTTTTCAACAGCTCAATGATTGTTTTATTTACTTTCTGTCTTGTCATTTCCAGCGGGATGAGTGGAGGGCACCGCGAGTGGAGAAGCATCCTGGATGCTGAATTCAACAGCTTTTTCCAGGCGCAGGGAGTTACGGTTTTTTCTCAGTGCAGGACGAGGAGAAACTGAGGTCGAAGTGATGCAGTCTGAAAAATTAACACATTTATTACCACGTTTAAGTAAAACAAGCCGTTAGAAAAGGTTTCAGCTTTGTTTCCTGTAGACTTACAGCTTGTGCTTGAAGCGGGGCTCGTTTTGTCTACGACCGTGTCTACCGCCGCTGCTTCGTCCTTTAAAAAGTCCGCTGAGGTTGGGAGTTCAGGTTCATCAGCAGAAACAGGAAGTTTTATCCCGCACGAAGGGCAAAATTTAAAATCTGGCTGCAGCTTGGTCCCACACTGAGGGCAAAAATGGAAAGGCATTCTGAAAGAAAAGGCGAAGATAGTTCCATTGTCAATTCAAACTGTATGAAACAGTCCAGAGGGGGAAATGAGACAATGTTCATTCAGGACCATGGAGCTAAAACATGTTACACCAATCTGAAAAATGATAAAAATGTGTGACCATCTAATGCAAGACACTGTGATGCACAAACTGAACAATATTGCACAAAAGCAGGTCATTTATGCAAGCCGGAATAAGTAGAATAGTGGAATGTCTGATGGATGGAAGAGAGACAACAATGATTTTCTCTGCTGTCTTCAATATCGGCTGCAATTTCATGCAGTGTGATTACCAAATCAGACAGTGGTGAAACTGCTAAAAGTGTACTCAACAGTCCCTCTGTAACAGGATGCAAGTATGGGTGGTGGGAGATGAGCTTTCCTCATCTTTTGCAGGATTTAGACAATGGCAGCTGGTGATGTGTGTCCAGGTGAGATCCTCTGTCAGGTAGACACCAAGGAACTTGGTGCTTTTGACTATATCCACCATTGAGCCTTTGATGATAAGTGTCAAGTGATCACTCCTTGTCTTCTTAAATTCAACAACCATCACTTTTGTTTTATCTACTGTACATGTAGAGACAAGTTGTTGGCTTAGTACCACTCTGTTAACCGCTGAACCTCCTCCATGAGTGCTGACTTGTTGCAAATCAGTCCCACCACAGTTGAGTCATTTGCAAACTTTATGTGGTCTACAGTTGTGAGTCAGCAGCAGAGTGTACAATATGGATTCAGTGTTGTGGAACTGTTCCTAATCCTGAGGTCTGTTGGACAGGAAACCCATAATTCTGTTGCAGAGGGAGGTGTTCAGTCCAAGCAACTAATAATAGTAATAGCTCCTTTTTGCTCACTTATCCTGTAGACACAGGAAAATAAAAACTTAAAAGTTAACATTAAAACATGGAAGGTAATGCCCAAACTGTCTGTATACAGTAACGAGAGGGTTTTGTAGTGAGTACTTTTAACGTTTGTTTCCACTAAAGCAAGTCATTCGTCAGGCCTGTTGCCAAGGAGGAGCTCAGACACAACAGGAAAACACTGCGGCATACTTTGATAAGCAAAACCTAATTTGATGTTAATTTGCATAAATGATCTGAACGTGACTGATTCATTGCGTTTGTTTCATTTTGAGCGAGATAAGGGTTTAATTTTAACAAAATGCATCTGATGTGAGCGTCCACACAGAATAAAGCATGTAAATACCGAGATGTGATTAAAATAATCAAACTACTGCTACATAAAAAATGTCGTTTTATTTTAGTGAATAAAAGTACTTTATTTTATATTCAGCTACAATCTTAGAATCACATCAGATACAGAGCTAGTACCTTCATATTTACTTTAACGAATTTGCCGTTCTCCAGGACTAAACTATATTTAAACTGACCACGTTAGCCAAGTCGACATAAAAATCTGTTAGCTTGTTTATTTTAGACAAAAACTTCGGCTCGTTGTCGCGTTTTTCAGACATAATTTACAGTAAAAACTTCTGCCTGATTCATAACATATGTTCTGAAAACTACACTTTTTTTAAGATAAAAAACTTTCAATACCTTAAAAACGCCTCCGTTGTTTTGGTTCAGTGATACTTCTTCGCTGCATCAACAGTTGACGGCCTTTACCTGTAACTGAAGTGCTGCCCCCTGCAGGACATTACAGCATCATACAGGTAGCCCAACTAGGGAAACGCCGCTTTTATTTTTTTAATTTCCGTTTGTTATTTACATAAAAAGTGATTTAACAAAAAGACGCATTTGAAGAGAAAGCAAAGACTTGAAATAAAACTGGAAAGCAGACATAAAAAACCTAATTAAATATTAAAGCCAGTTAACTGTTCTTTTTCTGTTGTGAACATTATTGTAAAAACAAATTCTTATTCATGGATTTAGTATTATGTGTCTAATAGTAATTCAGAAAAGTTTTAAACAGAGTGAGGTGATGAAGCAGTTTGATTAGACAAATTACAAAAGGAGCTTGATTACACTAAAGACTGATCCAAGTGTTCACATAAATAGAATTTATTTATTTTGGACATATAACTTACACATTTTAATATGAAAGCGTGGCACAAGTGACAGCATGCATCATATACTTCAGACTAACCAATATAACATCTATTCTTAATGAAAAATATTCAAAGATTTAAATTCATGGACGGAAAATCAGAATACAATTGTGTTTAAAACACTACATCTACTCTTTAACAGGAGAAAAGAGGCAAGCATCAATAAGGCAAAGTCTGCAACCACAGTAGAGCTGCTGCAGGAAAGTGTAAGCGTGTTTAACTTTTAAATCCTGTTAATCCAGTGTTTATGACTTTTGTAAAACATTAGAAAAAGATCAGTAGGACTGACAGTGACAGTAAACTAATATACAGACCCATAGCAACTGGCTTTTTTATAAAGCAACACTTCATCTTCTTAGTTTTCGAAAATAAACCCATTCAGCAACCCGGCACATTTTAAGTAAACAACTATTGAATAATTCACTAATTTGTCATCAAAGTGGTCTTCTAGTAAAGGTAACGAACATCACATCTCAGAGTAAAAGTTCCTTTATCCCTGAAGTCACATTATATCAGCTGATTAATACAAATAGTCATTTTTATGAACCTCCACAACAGTTTCACCTTAAAAATTTTGGCAAGTTTTTATGAACTCTTAAACTAAAGGAGTATTATACTGTATTTAAAGGTTGGACCAGCTGATTGATACGTGAAAAAGACAATCCTGAGAACAGCAAACTTTGTTGAAATTAAACTGGATGCATTCTAGGAAGATATCCACAAAATTAAGTTCTGAAGGATGCAAATGTAACCTATTCAAGTCCTTTTTATAGAAGAATGTTATCTCTGCTATCTGAAATGTCATCATTTGGTCCTCTTCTGTTTTAGTGTGTATTTGATCAGAAGGCAGATCTCCCAGACAAAAGGAACTCAGTTTAAAAAATAACGAGAGGCTGTAAATTAATGTTTCAGACTTGAAAGAAAGGATGGAGTTGGTCAAAATATGTACTTTCGGAATTTGAAACAACTAGGCTATTTTTTTTAACATATTTATTTCTGATATCTGAATTTTTTTGTAATGTTAGCAAAAGTGCACTTATAAAAACGTCCCCTAGCAAACTGAATGAACAGTGAGATCTATAGGTCTCCTAGCTCTGGTGAGATTACAGCATGAAATAAGACACTTGGTAAAGAATTAGTGGCACATAAGTGGTGACCTGAAGGTTCCTGAAACTTCACCCATTGAAAAAGTCGGGCGTATCAAACTTAAGCGCTAATTAGCCTGCTGGCTCACTGCTCCATAGAGAACAGTTCAGCATTGATGAAAGAAACCAAATATGTACGGTAGGCATCATAAAAAAATAAATACCTCACACCTAACCAAAATAAACCATCCACAAACCCTTGCCCTGACAAACCTGTAACTTGCTGCTTTGTGGGGCAAATACCACAGATGATGTAGATCAAGACGAGCTTCAAAACAAAACTCCCGTTTTCTTATACTTGGATATTTCTCTTTTTTTCTGCAATACTATGTGAAACCCAATTTACTCTAACATGCGCATCTGCCTCGGTCTGAGCCCTCTGAGAGGTCCAAGTTGGTGGGTCCGTTAGTGTGGACGGTTCCGTCTGGGATCCAGGACTTATCGACACACCGCTCCATCCTCTTCATGATGAGATCCAGCAGGAAGTCCACGGCCTCGTTCACGTTCTGCCCATTCGCAGCACTCGTCTCAAAGTATGGGATTCTGCGTGAGGTCACATGATCAGAAAACACTCTTACAAGTTAACCCGAAACCACAAACCCCCCATAAACACCTCAAAACCCCCAACACATCTACGGCCTTCTCCAACACTTTCAGAACTAAAATCACGAGTATTAACCGCAGAACCTAACCAATGAAAATATTGTTGCTTGAGGTAATTTAACACTTCTTTTTCTTTAGATTGCTGCTGATTACAGGCGTTTCTAACGGCACCAGAACCGGATGTTTCATACATGTAGACAAATATTTGCTCTTCAGGAGGACCAGTCCAGTCTTACTGAGCAGAGTTCTGCAAACAACGCAGCCACTGCCTCTTTCACAAACCTTTCAGGAAGACGTTTAAACATGGATGGATCAAAAACACACGAACATACCCATATTTCTCTGCCAGTTCACGAGCTTCATCTTCACTGACCGCTCTCTGATCCGACAGGTCACATTTGTTGCCACACAGAACCACATCTGGATTTTCACAATAAGCGTGAACCTGTAACTGACCTGAGACACATTATCAGGTGTTCAGTCCTGGCTCTCATCCATCAGCTTTTAGAAGAACAATGACAAGAATTATGAAATATGACCACAGCGGCAGCCGAAGCTCGCGCTACACCTGACTTTGACCAAATGAGGGCTAATCATGTGTCAAACCTTCCGGAGTAATAACATCAGGAGACATACTCATCCAGTTTCTGACGTTGAGGAAACTTTGCTCATTTGACAGATCAAACAGGAGGAGGAAACCCATCGCATCTCGGAAAAAAGCAGTCGTCAAACTTCGAAACCTGACATTCACCAGGAGACAAACCAACAAATTTCAGAATATATTAATAATGTTGGGAAAGATGTAATATAAAATACATTTTATACCTCTCCTGTCCTGCAGTGTCCCACAGCTGCAAGTGGATCTTCTGTCCTTTGCCTGAAGTTCCATCTGGACCTTTTGAATTGTACACCTGAGGTGAAAAATGCTAAACAGGTCAGGTATCTAACTCGATCTGACTGGTTTGGAAACCTGTCAGGATGCAAAGGTATTTGACCGAGTTTTTGCAAAACCTGTAGTCCCCCCGCCCAAGCATTTCGAGATGAGAATATTTACAATTAGGTGCTTCCTTAAATGAACTAAACATATATATATATATTTTTTTTTTTATCCCAAACTTTTGGGATCACAGTGTCCTGGAAAACTGAGAATCTACATGTATGATTTTAGAAATTGTATTTTAATATGTATTAATAACAGCAAGGATAAAAAGGCTTCTGAAGGTCTTCCGGGTGATTGTTGATAATTTAACATTTAACTTAGTAAATCACAGCTGCAACATTTGGACATTTGTTCTCACAGCACTTACTCTAATCCTACCAAAGAGCCCATTTTAATTTCTAACATTTAGTGAAGTTATTTCAGTACCAGGATGTCCTCGTGGAGAATGTCAGCAGCATTAAAGCAAGAAGATTGTAAATATGAACTTGAATCAGCTGTTTGCCAATGGTATGAAGTGTTTATTCTTAAGGAGGGTGCTGCCTACCATTAACCAGCTTTAGTCACACCCCGTTTCTGTTGCAACAACCATCAGCAGGCTTTTGTTAAGAGAAAATGATTAATCCTGTGGGAATGCATTTACGGCTGGTTCACAGAGTATCTGGCTAATAAAGAAATCTTCAGTTAGACTGGGTTAACATAAATCCTCACCTTTCTTTTTTCTCTGAAGTCTATTCCCACTGTAGTGATGAACTTGGAGTTAAACTTGCAGTCGGTGTACTGGTACAGAAAGCTGGTTTTCCCCACACCGGAGTCACCCAGGGCTAGGAACTTGATGAGGTAATCATAGTCCCCTTCAGACATGGTGGTTCCTTAGTTTCTGGAAAGGGGACACAAAGAAGACAAGTGAAATTAGAAGATCCATAAAGAACAACCCAGCCCAGCCTCTTGCTTGGAATCCTGACACTTTGATTTTAAAGCTAAACTTAATCACATTCATCCTGTACATGAAGGGATAACCATTTGGCTTGAAGTGGGTGTGTCTCAGAAAAGCCCTGCTTTCTGATTTGTGTAACAGACATTTAGGATTTTTATAAATCACTGTGTTGCATTGCAACAGTGTTAAACAGATGCAGCATGGGAGCTAGTGAAGTTAAGCTGCTTAAAGAAAGCAAAAGTATTTTAGATATAGAGCTGGAATAAGAAGAGCCTGCAGATGAAAGCCCTACGCTCTACCCACAAACGGTTTAAAGGTGCGGATCACTGAAAAACTATTTTTTAATTATTATTTCTGATTATAATCGGTGACTTTGAGCTTTTCATTCAGGCGGAACATGAAAATAGTCTCCTACACCCAAATCCTGCATTATTTTCTGATAGAAAATAGACCGTAAACTCTAGGATTTGAAAACTCTGACATATCTATCTCATTTAACATTCATGGACTCACTCATCTTGACTGGCAATGGGGAAGGCTGTTGTTTTAACGTCCAGGAAACAGCAGACAATGTCCCAACTAGTAAAAGCTAACCATTAGCACTAGCAATACCACCACACAGAAAAACTTCTCCATGCTTGTGTTATTTGTAGAGATAAATAAATAAATAAATAAATAAATAACTTTCATAATGCAAGGTGCATTATCGTTGTGATCCAATCCATGGCAAGGTGTTCAAATATCAGGAAATAAGACTCCAAATCCGGCCTCTATGTGGCAGCAGACTTGTCGGTGCTGACTGGTGCTGACCCAAGAAATTCTGGGCTTTTTTTGCCCCGAGTATGGCTTGCAAGGTATTCACTCCTACCAGAAACTACTGCAAATGTTTTGATTAAACAAGTTTACCACACCTTTAACATTTAGGAAGTGCTGCCAAGGAACAAAAGACTTCATGGGGAAGTCTACTTTGCTGTGATGGATCTAAACCTCCAGAAGAGAAAGCCGTTCTCCTACAGCAGCTCCACACATTCAGCTAATCATCATCATCATCGTCATCATCTACGAACTGTAACATGCCCAGCTCTGACAAGTAAAAACAAAACACTAAGTGATGATGAAAAAGGAATTATGTGTGTTTCCCGCACCTCCGCTGGTCTGATGGATTGTGAAACACCACCCCTGCTGTTGCAACAGTATTTTGTAAAAAGTCTTCTTTTTATAAGTAGATTTAATGTTTATTTTATGAAACGGCTCAAGTATATCCTTGAGTATAATATAACAAAACTGTATCTACACTGGGATGTTTCATACACGCTTTAAAGTTTAAAGCGTGTATGAAACATCGCAGTGTAGATACAGTTTTGTTTAGTTTTTTCTTAAGCCAAAGATATACAAGTTTTACTGAATGCAGTTAGAACTTTACTAAAATTTTCTAAGTCTTATGACGCAACTATTTAACTGCTAATTAATTGTATTAAGTCCCACATAAACTGGTTAGAAAAAGTACATTGTTTGATCTATCGGATGTGAAATGCTCATTTGCGACGGTTCGCTAGCTGTGGTCAGTTAGACGGCAGCAGATGTATCACATGATCAGTTCACTGGCTTGATAAGATTTCAGACAATCCTTGCATTCTTTCAGCATGTGCAACACTGAGCCTTTAATCTGACCCAAAAGCAGATTAGTCTTTTGCAAAATCAAGATGCATGATAAATGTGTTGTGATGGAAATGACTGCAGGGAGAACTGATTTGGCCATAAATGGTAAAGTCAACCAGGAAACTAGGATCCATTTTATCATTTTATTGTTCGTTTCTTCCACAGTTTAGTAAAAGTTATTTGTTTACCTTACATGTTTCAGCTAGTGGCTGTAGCCATGCTCAGATCTCGGAGGATGGCTACAGCTACTCTTACTGTGTAAGAAAAGAACAAAATGGATTACGGACAAAAACAGTACGAATGCACAAAAGAGGAAACTAGGATGTCAACATTTTGACTCAGGAAGGTAAAAAGTTCTGAAGGAGGATCTGAGCAACTTTAACCTTTCATCAAGGGAAACTAGCTTTTGGTGGACTGCATGGAGTAGCTGGAACAGTTTGCAGCGGAGTGTGAAGCAGCTTGGATGAGAATGAGCTCCTTTAAAGAGCAAGTCACCCCAAATCACTTTTTTTTCCTGATAAACTATATAAAGGAGTGTCTAATCATGCTACGGACACGTGTAGTCAATAATTTGGCAGTTCAGTGCATCTTGGTTAAAATTCAAATATTCTGCCTAAAACTGTCAGTGTTGCGCCGTCGTCAGGGAAAAATTCTGCACTGTATTTGAATTTAAGTCTGCCACCGCTATTGGCTAAGAGGTATGCTATGATGTCATCTGGTACATTATGATGTCATAATGCCATTGTGAGCCTGTGTGTGTATTTGTTAGCGGCTCCGCCCTCTCGGTCTGCCAAGCAACAGCATTTGTTGCATTTTTCAAACATAAGTGGGAGTGAAGTAAGTTTCTTGTAGGGGGTGACTTGCTCTTTAAATCAGAGACCATGGTCTTGAGTCAGAAAAGGGTAGAATGCCTTCTCCGATGGCCACGAGCTTCGGGTAGCGACCGAAAGAATGAGATCACAGATACAAGCGGACAAAATGAGTTTTCTCCGCAGGGTGTCTGGGGTCTCCCTTAGAGATAGGGTGAGAAGCATTCATACGGGAGGGGCTCGCAGTACACCTGCTGCTCCTCCACATTTAGAGGAACCAGCGGAGTTGGCTAGGGCATCTAGTTAGAATGCCTCCTGGACGCCTCCCTGGTGAGGTTTTCCGGGTATGTCCAACTGGGAGGAGACCTAAAGGAAGACCCAGGACATGCTAGAGGGACTATGTCTCTCAGCTGGCCAGGGAACGCCTTAGGATTCTCCTGGAGGATCTGGCCCTAGTGACTGGGGAGAGGGAAGCCTGGGCCTCTCGGCTTAGGCTACTGCCCCCACGACCAGACTCCAGATAAGCGGACAAAAATGGATGGATGGCTGGATGGCATGAGCTAAAGTTTTGTACAACTGGTGACAATCTTGTCTCCTGGCCTCTTGACTTGATTTTAAATGTGAGAAACTCAATCAGAAGCATTTCAAAGATGGCTGACAGACACAGGATGCACCAGAACTCAGTGGTGTCACAACAATAGGCCTAAATATTTGGCCATTTACTTTAGTTCACTGATAATTTTAAGAAAAAAGGATAAAAAATAAACTTTAGATTTAAAACCTACTTAATGAAGAACTTATAGATAAAATATAAATAAGAATAAAGGAATCAAAGGCTCTTAAGTCCTGAACCTTTGCTGCCACGGTGAACAAACTGTTGGTCAGTGGTCAGTGGTCCGAAGTTGGAAACCTGGAGGAAACTTTCCCCACAGCAGTTACGCAAACAAGCTTCCACCAACCCACAGATGTTGTCAACTATTCCTGAGAGCTGAAATCATTTTAGATAAATGTTTTGATAAGATGATGTGAGCTGAGGTTTGACCTCATTTCCAAGTATCTAAAACCATTTGTATTTAAAGACTTCACACTTAAAAATAGTAGTGAAAAAACAGGTCAAAGAATTGCAGAAGCACACGCTTGACTGAAGGTTGCATCAGCATATTTCTGCAGATTATAATCAGTTTAATCAGACATTTCCTTACTGAGAAACATTTGAGCGCAACATGTTTTAACCTCATTTCATCTAATGAGTGAGCACAAGGAAGTAAACACCAAAGTACAAAACAACTATCTAATACTTAATATTAGATATAAAATTGCAGAACAGTCTTTGAGTCGGCCGGTCTGTACGCTCTGGTTCTACCTCAGCTGTGAAAAAGAAGTTGGCAAGAAAACACCAGCTTGTTGACGCGGTTGCATTAGCTGCAAATTTTTGTCACCAGTAACTAAATGAAAAAATTATTGTTGCTTCATGACAACGATCTGATTTGAATTATGACCTGTAAACTGATTTTTATCAAGCTACATAAACATGGCTGCCAGTGGTTCAGATGTCTAAAAGTAGCTTAATATAGTTAACTCAATAACCTTTAATTCTTCACAAGTTAATCTAACTTGGGAGAAGGGAAAAATAAAAGTCTTGTGTTTCCCAAAACCTTTTAACCTGGACAAACAAGTCCCTGTTCTACTGCAAAATCTAAGCCTCTGATAACACCGGACTTGACTTTAATGGAAAAGGTCGTTTAAATACCAACGTAGAATCAAATAATGGTCCCCACTTAAAGATAAACAAATTTAGAGTCTTCAGCAGCTAAATCCTCTTAAAATAGACCATCAGCAATATGTTTTGAGATTGAATTCACATTCAGATGAGGCAGAAATCAAGAAACTATGAACTGAACTTGGCTTACTGACTTTGTTCCTACAGTGGGAGAGAACCGTATGGCTAGTACCACCTACGCATCAGCTAACAAATAGCAGCTTTAATCATTTGTCAAGGATAAAGTAGAGGTCCCACCCTGGGCAGCTGTCCAACAGAAAGGCAGGAGGCTTATTTAGGGAGAAAAAATAAACAAAACATGTGCATAAAATAATTAACTTCTGTACAAGATCCAGATAGATGCTGCTCAAGGGATCCTGGATGAAATCAAAGGGTTGGATTTTGAAGAGGTGTTGCCTGATCAAGTCATTAAAATACCAAATGATTTAACAGCAACTGATTGTAAAAGGAACTAAAGACAGACACCCTGAGGGGAAAACAACTTAATTAAAGCAATAAATCTAAGAATCCTCAACTGGTCATCGTGTGGCTTTTACTAGTTTAAGGAGACTTATTTTTCCTTTTGAAAACAAACTTCACAGCCTCTCTTTTCCTTCCAACATTAATCAATTTCCCTCTGGGGTTAATAAAGTATTTTTGAATTGAATCAAACTTATACCTCAGCAGTTTGTAAAATAATGCTCTCACAAGCGGAGAAGCACGTATGTGTGAGCGTGTGTACCCGTTATTATTTCACACGGATAAAGCTAACCGTTCTGAGTTACAGCAGGTGGAACGTGTTTTTGACACCTCGTCGCCATGAGGGTGGATTTAAAAGCCTCTTGTGTAACAACAAACACGCCGTAACGCTGTAAAAAAGTTACACTTTTCCAGTAAAAGTTACACTTTTCCAGCGTCCTGCTGCTACTTCCAACAGATGCAACACGTTGGTTATTTCGACTGACATTTCCTGAAAATAAAGTACTCACCAGCCGCAGGGCGTTACTTCTGCTGCGTTCCGTTCTGTTTTCTTTTGAAAATAAAACGATTTCAAAAAAAGTTCCACAATTAACCGTTGAAGGAAATGGGGGAGTTAAATTAGCGGTTTACTTTCTTTCTCGTCTGAAGCCCATTAGTGGACATGAGTTTTCTCTGAGCACCCTTCTCTCTAACTTTCTGAGGTTGTCGTCGCCTCCTGGTGAGAAACAGCTCCTCCCTACGGAGCTAAAGGTAGCTAACAGGTTTGGCTAACAGTTGTACCAAAAGCTGATGCGCTGTTAAAAACGGCTCAGCCTCCGCGGAAGCGCGCGCAATTAGAAATGCGATTGTAAAGTAATTAAAAACACGTGAGTTATGTACGAAATTAAAGCTAAATGCTTCAAATGAAACATTAAGTTACGTTTAAATGTTGAAAACTAATGATAATTCAGATTGTTGTAAAACGGAAGTGTCACACCAAAATAAAAGTAGGACAAAGCTTTCTCCTTTAAAGGGTAAGGTTGTGCGACTTTAGCATATATGTCGATGGACTTTAGGAACATTGATTACAGATCCAGAGCAAAAGGCCTGTAACGTTATACTATGGAGCGCTTCGCTCCCCTCTTAATTTGGTGGCCTCTTTTCATTTATTCTATAGATAGTAGATGGTAAATAGCCTGAATTTGTATAGTGTCTTCATAGGGTTCTAAACCCCCTCCACACCCACCCACCCCAGGATGCTTCATCCCCAGTCATCCGCTCATACATTCACAGGCTGGTGATGATGAACTATAATGTAGCCACAGCTGCCCTGGGGCGCACTAACGATAGCGAGATGCAGAGCATGCGAGGCGAGTTAGGTGTCTTACCCAAGGACACTACAGCAGCTTTCTCTAGCAGAAACCAGGATCGAACTTACAGCAGATTACTGGACAACCCGCTCTAACTTCTGAGCTACAGCCACCCTCATGTAACATTGCATAAGCTCTTTATATTAAATTCTAAATATTAAGATTTAACATTAATATCTGGGTTCATTGCATTCAGACATGTGATTCCCTAAATAAATGTGGTGGAAATGATGCTTTAAAGAGCAAGTCACCTCCAAATTAACTTTTTTGTTGATAAACTATATAAATGAGTGCAATCGTGCTGTAGATGTGCAGTCAATAATTTGGCACTTTAGTGCATCTAAGTTAAAATATAATATTCTACCTAAAACTGTCAGTGTTGCACCCTCTTCAGGTAAAAACTCTGCACTGCACTTGAATTTAAATCTGCCATTGCTATTGGCTAAGAGGTACACTGTGATGTCATCTGGTTCATTATGTGACAATGTCATGGTGAGCCTATGTGTGTATCGGTTAGTGGCTCCGCCCTCTCAGTCTGTCAGGCAACAGCATTTGTTTAAGCGCCTTGTGATTTTTATCTTGAGAGGCGCTATAGAAATGACATTTTCTTCTTCTTCTTGCATTTTTCAAATAGAAAGTGGGAGTGAAAACAGACTCTTGTAGCGGGTGACTTGCTCTTTAAATATTCTCACCCCATTTTGTTATTAGGGACAGTTATGGACCTGGACAAAAAGGTGCTTATATAATTGCACTCTTTTATGTAGCCTAAAAAAGTTGTAATAGTCTGAAAAACTGTGTCTTTAAAAAAATAACATCAGGATGTCAAATTGTCATCAGCTTTTTTAAATACAATTTTTTATCATTTTTACAATTAAGCAAAACAACCTACAGAATGTATCCATTCTGGCATCTTTTGCTTGGCTTCCAGTCCATCTGACAGCTTCAGAATCCCTTCACTATTCTGACTTCAGTCTGTGAAGTTCTTCCTCAAAACTGTTTTTTGAAGTGCTTCAGTCTGATTCATTCTGTTTCTTCGGCACATCCTGGGTTAGTTGTTCTGACTTCTTCGGTGCCTGCTCAAAATATGGTTTGTAGATGTACATTCCACCTACGACACCGAGTGCTGTGGCCAAGGCCAGCTGTGTGAACGGCAGTCGTCGAAACATGACTGTCTTGGTCAATGAGGAAATCTCAACCTGCAGACAAGAAAAACAATAAAATTATCTCAGCCAATAAACACAAGCAGCTTTAGCAAGTGACTGCAGTCTTATTTAGATCAGTCATAGTTTATATGCTCACTAGGAAGTAATGTAACACTGCTCCTCTTTTTCTATACTTGAAATAATTTTATAATGTTCTGTTGTGAAACTTGTCACTTAGGACACATCATAAAAATATGACCTACTTAAACATTCATGTCACACTTTATAGTACTCCCTTATAAAAAAGATAACACAAAGAGGTTCAGGACTTAAAACATCCCAAAAAACGCATCTGGTGGATCATAACCCACAAGGCTCAGAAGACTCTGTGTTTTCAATAAGAATGTTGGCGACACAGCATTAAACCAGAAACAGTCAAGACCTTTTTTACTTTATTCTAACTAATCAAATCTATAAGATTATGTTAAGAGGCTGGCTGGGGCAAATAAAATAAAATGAGGCAAATTCTTACTGCTTACATAATGCATTAATTATCTGTATCTCTCTTGTTAAAAACACAAATAACTAACGTGTAACAAACTGCTTTAGAGTGCCTCAGCGTTTTACCTAAACTAATAAAAAATATCTGAATCTCCAAAAAGATCACCACACGCCACACACAAAAATAAATTGTGTACCAAATACTTTTAATTTGAAAAAAATTAAATCGGACATACTAACAATAACAACTTCACTATTTCCCAACATGGTCGATGAATGTCGGTCAAACTGGACATTTGAGCGACTTCAGTTAGGATTCTCCGTAACTTTCTTAACTAGCATATGAAATTATTTATATGATGTTTCTGTACTTACCTCTAACAGAAAGGGACAGACTTAAAATGAAAAAAATATATATACATAACAAGGACTCTCACGTACAGCAAGCGAACGCTCTTCTTCTTTTAAGAACTAAGACAGGTCGGGTAGTAGCTGCACGTGCTCACAGCGCCCCCAGGTGTATGGCGCCGCGCCATAGAGGTGGGAAAAACCACATCACGTTTATTCTCGACTGTTCAATCTCCTAACCAACCAGCTAACTAACTAATGACATTTCTTTAAATGCGATTTAATGATGGTTCTGTCAAAAGCAGAAAAAGTCAGGGATGAATAAATGTTGCAGTTAAAAATATGAAAAACATAAATAAAAAAAATAACGTTTTAATACGTTATCTTAAATATTGATAATGATCTGCAGCAGTCGTGTGTTCATTATTGACATAATTTCGTTAATAAACTACTCTATAAACAATATGTTTTTCGGACTTTTCAGAAAGCGGAAGGTTTAACGTGGAGTCTTTTATTTTGAAGTCAAAGGAAAACAACACACCGGAAATAAGCCAGGGTGCGGAAATGCTGCGCAGTTCTTCTGAATCAAATCTAGAAAGTGGATGATGAAGTGATGTTGTTAAAGCTAGTTAAACAGATATAAGATCAAATATAGCTGGAGCAGCTGGACGCTTTCGGTAAACTGATCGTGAGAGATTTTTCTTGAATCGAGGAGCTCTATTACAGCTTGGTTGAATTCTCACCTGGCAGGTGAACTATGTCCGCGTCAGATGGAGAACATCCGATCTCGATTGAAGTTTGGGAGCAAAGGAGATGACGTGAAACTGAGGAAACGTAAATCCCGTCTGTACTCAAAGGAGGATAAGGACATTTTTAACAACGGTGCGAATATAACTGAGTTGATATTGTGAACACCGGTTGAGCCATAAAACGCTGTTATTACTCAGTGGTTTGTGTTATTCTACAGGTGTGCTGGGGGTTGTGGTGTTTTCTGTGGTGTTCAGACTGATCAACTGCCTCCTGGTTCAGACCAGCTTTGTCCCTGATGAGTACTGGCAGTCCCTGGAGGTGTCCCACCGCATGGTCTTCAAATATTCTTCAGAAAGACACAAACATCTCTGTTTTGTTCCCTTTAGTATATTATCAAAAGAAAAAGGCAGTCAAATGTAAAACAATTATTGAAGTTTATTACAATTAATCAGTAACAAAAATATTATTATAGTAACGTAAGGCAGCTTTATTTGTACTGTACCATTTCATACACAGCATTTCAATGTGCGTTCCCGGAGAAATAACAGCAAAATCAACGTGACATCATAATTAAAATACACAAATACATTTAGATCACATTAAATTCACAAGTCTGATTTAAAGCCATACAATGCAACTTTTTAATATTTTTAAATAATTTTCTTGAGCCAGTATGAGCTTAAATGACCCTTTACAGGGTTAATAAAATGTCACCCAGACCCCTACCACCCTCTGTGGCAAGAATATCGCACGTGCTACTTTAGAGTGGTAGGCGCCACCTGTTGTTGGAGTTAAAAAATGGAGCTGACACACCTGTCACTGGAGTCTCCTTCCAGCATGTTTTAGATCATGAACACAGCTGATATGTTTAATTTAGTGATGAATCACTGCTGTAGAAATGAATGAAGACAGAGGAGACATTTCAGCAGTTAGATTAGGAGTTAAAAAGATTAATGCACAGCAAGGAGATAAGTTTATCTGTTGGTTCTACTAAACAGACACTAGGGGGTGCTAAAGGCAAGCCAAAAACGGTGTACCTTTAACAATAAGATAAAAGGAAAAGTTAAAGAGCAAGTCCCCCTACCAGAATCTGTTTGAAAAATGCAACAAATGCTGTTGCCTGGCAAACCGAGAGGGCAGAGTCACTAACAAAAACACACGGATTCCAAACGACATTGTGACATCATACGGTACCAGCTAATATAATAGAGGAGCACTTAGCCAATAGCGATGGCAGATTTAAATTCAAATGCGGTGCCGAGTTTTTACCTGAAGAGTAAGAAACACTTAACAGTTTTAGGCAGAATAATTTAATTTTAACTAAGATGCACCGAAGTGCCAAATTAGTGACTATACATGTCTACAGCACGATCAGACAATCATTTATATAGTTGATCAGCAAATAAAAGTTTATTTGGGTTGACTTACTCTTTAAAGGGTGAGCAGTTACAGTGCAGAAGGTGCAGCATAAGATACATTTATTCAAAGGCCAGTGAATACATGACAGTTTTCAATGTTTTTTTTTTTTTTGAAAGTTACGAAAGTTTTAATAACATCTAAAACTAATCCGAGATAATCTGGATATTTCATTCAGTTCCCTCCTTAACAGTGAGACTTATGGGTATCTGACCTGGGAGTGGAAAGCAGGAATCAGAGGATTCACCTTTCCTCTTTTCTTTGCCTTCCTCTACAAGATACTGCACCTTCTAAACTACGACTCGGTCCATCTCCTGGCAAGTTCTTTTTTTATTTCCTACTAATGAAGTTTAAAATGAGCATTTATCCACTGATTGAATCTCCTGCTGCAGATTTGGCTTCCACGAATCGCCCAAGCACTCCTGGCTGCTTTTGCTGATGTAAAGTTCTTCTTCCTCGTCCAACGGCTGGAAAACCGTGACGTGTCAAGATGGGTGGTAAGAAGCGGTTTTAGCATTCTGTGTATCCTTTAGATTGATGCTGTTAACTCTTACACATCATCCCGACCTGGTCTCCAGTTCTTCTGTCACCTTTGCTCCTGGTTTTCGTGGTTCTGCTGCACCAGGACACTGACCAACAGCACCGAGACCACCCTCACCTCTTTGGCTCTTTCTTACTTTCCTCTGTCAGGCTCCAAAGCATACAGCAGGTACATTTACATGCTCGCTTCTTTTTTTATTTACTCAAACATGTTAATCGCACGTTCCTCCTTCCAGTAAAAAGTACTTGTTCCTGGTGGCCTTGGCTGTGATTGTTCGACCAACGGCGCTGATCGTCTGGTTTCCTCTGTTGATGCACCATTTCTGTCAGGAAGAACAGAAACTGAGACTCATCACTCATTGCTACATCCCTTTAGGGTTCGTACTCTTCAGTTACGCTCTGGTTTATTCCCCATTCATTCCCTTTATCGTGTTGTCTCGTTTCCAGGACGCTAGTGCTTGTGATTTCATCTCTGATTGACTGTTTCTTTTATGGAAAGGTAAAACATGTCACACAGGTTTACACCTTGTGTTTGGAGTCATTTATATAACAGCTGATTTTTGCTCCAGTGGACGCTGGTTCAGTTCAACTTCCTGAAGTTCAACGTTCTCCACGGCGTGGCAGATTTCTACGGATCTCATCCCTGGCACTGGTACTTGACTCAGGGGTTTCCCGTCGTGATCGGACCTCACCTTCCTCTCTTTCTTCACGGATGCATGCTGGCCTCCAGGAAACACAAAATCCTGCTGGCAACTGTTGTGTGGACCATCTTGGTGTACAGGTGAGACATCCTAGTTATTTCGTCATGAGTCAAAGCAAAAACAGTTTTATATTTTAAATGAGCTGCTATAAATTAATCTAAATGCAATGTTTAAGAACTTGTTACAATATTTTGTCTCCAGTTTTCTTCCTCACAAGGAGTTCAGGTTCATCTACCCTGTGCTGCCTTTCTGCATGATCTTCTGTGGTGAGCTTTTTTTCTGATTTACTTCTCAGCGTCTGCTCCCAGATGCATGTTTTCATGTCAGCTGTTTGTCTTTTCACAGGGACATCGCTGGCTCATCTGAAAGCGTGGCGTCGATCCGCTGCGGTCGCCCTGTTGGCGTCCAACCTGGTTCTGGCTCTGTACACCGGGCTGATTCACCAGCGAGGAGCTCTGGATGTAATGAGCCACGTTCAGATGCTGTGTGACGTCAGCAGGAACTCCACCGTCTCTCAGCCGGACGTCCTCTTCCTCATGCCCTGCCACTCAACGCCTTTTTACAGGTATGGTGGAGTGTTTTTATTAGGGGTGGGAATTTAACACGTTAATTCTGAGTAATTAATTAGACAAAAGTAACTCCCAAGCACCCCACCGATTGGAGCTTAAAAAGTTTACTTTCAAAATGTACACCCTTATATATCAAATACCAGCAAGCTGCACCTCTAAAAAACTGCAGAGCCCAGGCTACAAGAACATATAAACCTTTTTATGTGCTACAAACAACTAAAACTACAATTAAATCAATCATGCAAATCGCTTTCAAGAAAGAAGGAAAGAAAGAAAGAAACTAATATTTGACTGTTTTGTAGTTGGTAGAAAGCTGGCAGTAAAGCCTATTGCACACTGGAAGCATCAGCGGTGTGGAACGGCAGCAGAACATCACTGCTTCAAATAGAATCCATTATAGTCTATGGGGCAAGTCAAACCAGCCGCGACACTGCAATTTTCAGTCACGTCCCAGAAACATAGGATTGGGTTCTATTTTTGCCGCGAGCCGCTTTTGGGACTTCCGCAGTTAACATAAGGCTAGACAGGAAGTCATACACGGTTTCATTGTAAAATCCCCAGTCATTTTCAAAATAAAAGTCTATTGCAGCAATGCGATTTCATATCTACGTAGATTACGTCAATACAAGTGACCTAACCACTTATTTACTCCCTGCATTGTTCCAGAAGTGCAGTGGTGTGTTTTTATGGCTTTAATCCTGGCAGTGGAGAGGAACAACATCACATATGACATCAAACAGCAATATCAAACGTGATTTCCTTCTTTTGGGTTTAATGACGGGCGGCATAAACTCGAGGGATTTTGTGATCTTGTGAGTCGAGCGAGGAGCACAGCGGAGAAGCCTCTTCGCGACTGAGACTCTCCCAATGTGCGCTGGAGTGCAGAGATTGTCGCGAGTAAACCTTTCCGCTGCTGCGCCTCTGTTGCTTCCAGTGTGCAGTAGGGGTAACTTTATCCACATCAAGTCTTATTACGGCAGGAGGGACAATCATACCAAAGAATTCATCTTGTAACTCTCAGCAGAACTTCCCCCAAACTCTACACTACACCTCTATATATAATAGTAGTGCTCTGCTGCCCCTTGTGGTCAGTTCAGTACACATTTACAATGTCCATCAGTATCACATATACTAATATTTACACATCCCACAATGGTTACCTTTATAATGAGACCAAAGTAAACAAACAGACCTTGCGGTTACAGAAACATACCCAGTGTGGTCAGGTCACCTGTGCCTCACTAACAATATCATTAATAAAAAAGAAAAGCTTGGGGGCTAATTGTCTCAAACGATTTAAATGTGATTAATCAAGATTAATTAATTACAATGCCTTCAACTATTTAGATTAATATTTGAAAAGAGTTCCACCCCTAGGTTTTATTCAAATCTACATGATCATCATTTGCCATTTGCAGTTAGTTTGATTCAGTTTGAGTTGCAGAAACTTTAATGTGAAATAATGTACGCAAAACCTTTGCTGTCTTGTGTCCTCGTAGTCATGTCCACTGTCCTCTAAAGATGAGGTTTCTGGAGTGTCCCCCAGACCTCGGAGAGGAGGGTTACGCTGATGAAGCTGACCGTTTCTATGACGACCCTCTTTTCTGGCTCAGGACATCATTTCCATACAAATCCTCCCTACCAACACACCTGGTTTTCTTTAATGTTTTGGAAAAGGTAAAGAAAATAAAATAAAACAATTCACGATGATCTTTTTGAAACAGATCGCAAACATTTTAAACTTTTTACTTTCTTCAGGATATCTCTGCATTCCTGCAGGGTAATGGTTTCAGAAGGACAGCAGAGATATTCCACACTCACGTTCCAGAGGGAAGAGTTGGAGGAAGCATCTTTATTTATGAAAAGCTCTGACATCAAGAACATCTCTAAGAAAAAAGGTCATGTGATGTCAGTGCAGCTGAAATAAATACTTTCCACTCAATTGTTGCCGCTTTTCAAACTAAAAGCAAGAGACTTTTATTAACAGGTAAACTAACTGTGGTGTTTTTCCAGTATTTTGTTCTCAAGGACATTTAAAAGAGAAATAAAAACAGTCAAAACCGTTTAAAACAAAGCTTGAGGTGGAATGTCTGAAACACACTCAGACCCTACATTTAACCTCTTCCACGGCATTTAACTTCACTCAGGATTTTAAATCAACATTTTAAGTTTCCGGGCTGAATAATTTTCAGCACAAACACGAACGTCATGATAGCAGAAACTTCTTTATCTCTCATAAAAGAGTCAAATCCTAAACTTCAAGATTTTTAGCAGCAATAAAATAACTGTACAAACTTACCGAAGGAGACTTTGCATCCAAATGCAACCCTAAAGTTAAAAGAACCCAGCTATCACGTTGAGATGAGATTTGTTTTTCAGTATTTGGGGTCAAAGGGCATTGGGCCCAGTTCTATTTTCACGTCGGCCATGTGTCTGTCTGAGTTTCTTCCTGATCGACTCCACTTTCGTTCACTGTGTACCCGAGATCTGGCTCTCTGCTGCTTCCGCTGCTGCTGCTTGGCCCTTGACTCCTCTTCTGAGACGGTGTTGGGTTTCTGAAAGGGTCTGCTGTAGCACATGCATGCACACACACACACACACACACACACACACACACACACACACACACACACACACACACACACACACACACACACACACACACACACACACACACACACACACACACAACCCAAAATCAGAGAAATTTTCACATCATTAAATACACAATATTGTTTTGCTTTTTTTAAACACATCTCTCTGACAGATTCCTCTTTATTTCTGTCAATTAAGCACAAGTATTTCTATTTTTTGCTCCATGCCGGTGCATTGACACCCTCCTGCTCATTAGCATGATGAGATCAAGTCCATCACATCTCCGCTAAACCCGCAGGAGACTCACCGTGGGCCGCAGCTTTTCGTGTAAGCTTCTCCAAAGAAGTGCCTGTAGACAAAGTCGTCCAGATCTCCGAACACATCGTCGTCGTCCAGGCCGTGATATTCGTGCATCTCCGTCAGATAGTCTTCCACTCCGCTGACAAAGTCTGTGAACAGCATGCGGTCGTGGATGAACACCCCATTGTGGAAGAAGTTGTTGATGAACATCTCCAGCTCCTTCCAGTGGTAGAAGTGCTCCACCTCCTGCTGCAGGTAGCTCTGCAGCAGCAGGTGAAACTCCTCAGCTCTGATTGGCTCCGTGGCCGTGTTGAACAGGCTCATGGACTCCTGGTAGGCGCAGTCGAACACCCCGGTGCATCCTTTCACGCTGGATCTGTGGTGTCCTTGTTCTTCCTGAACTTTCCTACCCGATTTCCGCGTGTTGTGGAAAAATTCCGGTTCGTTTCTGGGATGGTGAAACTTGTGAGACCTTTGGTCCCGTCTCTTCTTGTAAAAACTCTGAGCTTTGTGGAAGAGCGTCGTTGCCGAGTCCTTAAAGTGTCTGAAAGTGGACTTGACAGAATCAGAAAACTTCCTCAGGTTCTCCTTCACGGCCTCTTTGGCTTTTTTGATCTGCTCCTTGTGGTGGTGGACAAACTCTTTGGTGGAGTTCTTCACAGCATCGAAAGTCTCTTTCACTCTCCCCGCCATGCCACCTTTGGCCTTTTTCACGTTGATCTCGGGGTCTCCTTTGGCCCTTTCGTCTTTGGTTTCCACATACAGCCTCTCCCACAGGTCGGAGCGCTGCTGCTCGAAGCTCAGCCTCTTCTCCAACTCCGTCAGACGTCTCTGCAAATCCTCTGCCTCTGAGCTGCCTTTGGGCATGCGACTTCTCAGGAGACTCAGCTCTCTCCTCAGCTCCTCTGTTCCCCGCCTTTCTTTGTCAAGCTTCTCTCTCAGTATCTGTGCCTCAGCCCTCATGTTTTCCCTCTGAACATGGAAGTCTCTGATCTGCAGCTGCTCCTCCTCCAGCTGACTCTTCAGCTTCTGGTTTTCAGCCCCCATCGCCTCCAGATCTCTGATTTTAAAGCGCAGGTTCCTCAGCTCCTCCTGTAAGATGGACAGAGACTTTTCCTCGTGCTCCAGAGAGCTTTTCAGGAGCAGGTTTTCATCTTTCAAACTCTGCTGCTGGACCATGACGTTAGTCCTCTCTTCAGACGTCTGTTTCAGCAGCATTTCCAGGTCGTCTCTCTGAGCCTTTGTGTGAAAGAGGACAGCACACAAAACAAACATTACCAACGTTCCCTCCTGCTTCAGAAGCTGGTTGCATCATTCCCGTTACCTGAACATGGTCCCGCTTCTCACTGAGCTCCTGGTTTTCTCTCTTAACTTTCTCAATCAAATCTGAGAGCAACGAAATGACTTGCCTCTCATCTAGGTCGTCTCGGTCAAAGCTGATCCTCTGAGTCATTAAGAGGAAAAAAAGGGAAAAAAAAAAATAAAAACTTTAATGAAGTTTGAGTTTTACAGCTGGATCACCAAAGATCACGAACCAGAAATGTTTGCAGAAATTACTTAAAGGGACTTTACGGACTTTTGAAATTTTTATGCTCGCGATTGCCCCCTCAGGCCAAAAGCGTAACGGCAGCTTCAATAGTAGGCTCGTGCACGAGGCGCGCATGCTGTACGTGCACACTCCTTAACGAAAATAACAGTTGAGACAGTCCCGTGTGTGTGTGTGTGTGTGTGCCGAAGGACAGGAGAACACGCAGCAAATTAATTAAATCATTTGGTTCTGTACCTTTCTCTTCAGCACAGCCGACAAAGGTTTATGATGGGTCAGTCCTCCTGTATGCTCAGATCATTCCCTTCCCTTGCTTGAAAAATTGTTCCAAAATGAAAGTTGAACCCATGTCTTTTTTATCTGTGAATTCAATGCCGTTCGGCGAGTCTCAAATAAGAATTTGGGCGTCTTATTACTGTAAAAAATATATCATTAATGTAAAAAAGAAACTCTAAATAAACTATGATCACATCCAAAATCGAACCCAGGTCTTCTGCATGAGAGTCAGACATCTTACAAGGTGAACTACACTCTGGTAAGATTCACAGTATCTGTAACTTTTATATCCTTGATGACACCTGAAACAACGTCAAACCAAAGAATGGTTCGGAGAGAAAATGGCTATTTTGTTGCTAATTTGCAGGAAATATCTAGAAGTTCTACAGAAAGTAGCTAAGGGTCCTCAGAAATGTAGCTAGGTTCATCACTAGGCGTTAGGAACAGCGACAAAGTCGCTGAGTTGGCACTCCCTCTCTCTCTGCTGCTAAAGCTACTGATAGCAAATGCTACGGGCGATGCCTGAGCGTGAACGCGCATGAAGCAGCCTGCTCGACCCGAGCAGCTCTCTTTTTCTGTGATTTTACAGAAAAACAGGCAATCACAGTAAAAATGCCAGGGCTCATTCTACAGGACCAGGGCATTGCAGGAGAATGTATGAAGAAGAAATGTATTATTTCTATACATGTTTTGGCTGTCAAACTTACATAATGCCCCTTTAAATGAACAAGTCATCATTATTACAGTTTATTTATAATTCCTGTTTCATGCTGTAAGGAGGAAACTGATTTGCATCTATCCTGTGTGAATAATAGCTCTTTGTGTCATAAACAAACGGGTGCCTTCTGTATTTCCTCATCTTCTTTTTGAATGTTAAAATGTGTATGAAGTAAATCTAACACAGATATGTTAAAGCAGAAAGATGCATTACTGTTGCCTATATTTCTGTTTAAAGGAACAAATAAGAATATGGTAAAGTCAATGCTTACTTCTGCAAATATTCTGCTGCAAAGCAGCTTTTTTTATTCCCTGAATGGTGAGTGAACTCACCTGGTGTTTTAAAAGCTGCTCTCTGACGTGCCGCTGAAGCAGATCTCTCACGCTCACGAGCTCGTTCACTTGGATTTTCTCCACTGTTTTCTGCCTCCCCTGAATCTGGACTGTACCTGCAAGAGAAATGTGTAAAATTGATCATCTACAAACATCAAAGCGATCTGAAAGGAAGATACGCTTTAAGTTTCCTACCGTGGAAGTGGCCGAAGCCCATACTGACGGCTACGATGAGGGCCAGAAGGATGCATTTGTTGAGGATGCTGCCTTCAGGCCCTCTCACTCGCTCATCCAGAGGAGCAGCTGGTCGAATGTCAGCCTCCTCCTCCTCTGCTTCACTTGAGCACGACTCTGGCGACCCCTCCTCCTCCCCCTCAGGATCAGTTACCACACTCGTGGTGTTTTTTCTCACCCTTCGCCTCCGTAGGACAGGACTGGCTCTTTGCCCCACTTCGTCTTCACTGCTGCTCGAGTTTGTCTCCACAGGGAAAACTACAGTTGGGATAAAAAATATCAGAACTGCACAAACATCAGAGGGAAAACACTGACTAGTTATGACCTGATGCTTTGGAAAATAATAATAAAAAGACTTCTAGAAGTGAAAAACATCACGTGAATCTGTCCGATTGGACCAGACATGTCCAAAATCTGTTTTATTTCTAAAATGATGGATTTTTGTCTCTAGCATAAAATTATGTTTTTGTATTTCTAAAAAAAAAAAAAAAAATCCCACTTTTAACTTTCCATATTGGATCTTTTCTTGAAAGGTTTGGACAGCTCTGCATTAAACATTTAATCTCAGCCTGTAAAAAACAACTTCTTTTTATCTATACTTGACTTTCTAAAAGTTATAATATTTTGTCTTAATAAAAAGATGCAACATTCATCAGTGCAAGCCTTTAAGACACCGACAGCATGACGTCATGCAAGGTTAAAAGCATAATCATCACAGCAAACCCATTCAGTAACAGTTTCACAATAAAAACCTTTCTAAAATGTTAACACGTCTAAAAAAATAAAATAAAATAAATAAAACAATACAATGGCTGCTAAATTCAACCTTTTTACAGGCTAATATAGAAAAAAGCACCACAAGGCGGCTGCAGCATATAGAGCTCCATAAAACTGATCTGACGTGTTCATTGCCCCAGAAAGCAAACTGATCAACATTCTGTTGGTAGGAAACACAAAACTGATCCAAAGAGAGGCCCATGATCCACCCGTGACCACGTCCTATATATCTGCAGTAAGTTTTAATTCATCTTGGTTGCTTTAGAAGATGACAAATGGGGTCTGTGGGTCGGGATTTGAAGCGCAGGAGTGAATGCCTGTCACTTAGGAGCAGCGTAATCAAGCTAGATCTGGGTCACCAGGTCAGCCAGAGATCCTCAGACCTGCCTCCCTCCAGGTCATTAAGACTTTCTGAGCCAGATGTGAGACCTCCAGAGTCCTGAATCTGTCCCCATGACTGATTTGGTTTTAGAATAATTATCAGTTTTACTTTAATATCATTTGAGTCATGTTCCTAATCAGAAATGGTTGCTTTTATGTCAGGCTACCTGGTATTCTGTAATTTGATGTAAATTTCAGCTACAATTTAACTAAAAGCTAAACAATAGGCTTAAACCTGGACCTGATTTGAAACGGACAGTTTGGACTTGGTGCTTTTTGGTAGTTTTTATAATAACAAACTAGTTCAGTTAAGGTGGAGAGGCAAGCCTTAAGGGGGAACTCCACATCCACGTTCGCTCTGAGGAACACCTTCAGATCAGATCTTCTCACTGATACTCAGAAAGGCAACCTTCAGATGAGGTAAAACGATGATGTCTACGCATGAAATGTTTAATGTTCTTTAGGAAGGTCACCTTAAATGACATCGGCTGACATTTGCCGCTGTATTGCGACGTTTTTGAGGGAGTGGGTCAGATTTTTCATAAATAGCCACGCCGTGGACACATGCAATAAACAGCAGCACACATCTGTCTCACTCAGACACTCATCAGGATTAGGCTGCATCCTGTTAAATTGAATCCATTGAAATCAGGCGGAGAGAGACGGTACCCATGAGCCGGCTCCTCAGACGGTAGCTCAGGTTCACCAGAGTCTGAGGAAGATTCCAGCGACTCAACAACAAACCTGCTCAGGCAGAAAGGTTTTGTAACTAATTCACTGACGCTGACCGAAACGTGAGGATTCCTTGGTCCTACCTGTCTCCAAGGCAGTGAAGGTGTAATGGCTGCTGCAGGAGGTGCCGAGGAAAAGCTCCTCTGAGGCGGTCGCTGCCTCCTCTGTGTGCTCTCCCTCCTTAAGCTCTCCCAGAGTCACGATGTCAGAGTGATCGCTGGAAGATAACACGTGCTCCTTTCCTACATCGCTTTCTCCGACCTGGAGTGGACACGTTCCAGAGGGCGTTAAAGGCAACAGATTATTCAGAAACCACAAGCATGATAGTTTCAGGTGCTCACCTGCGGGGTGTGCAACGTCTCTTCAACCGTCTGTTCTCCCAGCGTGCTGTCAAGTGGTTCACCAGCTTTTTCTTCAACACACAAAGCTGGATGTGCAATAAAAATTATTTTTATGACAAATTAAGTTAATTGTAAAATCTAAATAAATGTCAAAAATTAACCCATTCATTTGACTGTCCAAGAAAATAGTTATCTAGGAATTACATTTTTATGTCACTGTTTACAATTGTCAAACAGTAAATTTGGCTCAAAGAAAAGTGAAAACAGATTTATTTTTAAGACATTAACCGGGTAAAATTCATTTTTCATTTTAACTAAAAAAGCAGTTTTAAACAAAAAACAATGTAAACACATTTGTGTAAAATCAATGAGATGTACATTTGATTGCATTCCTTACTTTTTATCGGTCTAAGCAGCGGCAGCACAGAATCAGACAGTAAAGATAATTATTTTGCTGTAGAGGTGGACTCTATAGCATCTTGTCTTGGAGCTGCAGGTTCTGACTCTAAATTGTTTCAACGCTAACCCTGCAGGGAATAAATGATTCAGACTTTTACCAGCAGAGGCTGAAGCTTGTGATTCCAGTTCTTCCACTGTGGAGCTCTCCAGCATCTCAGTTCCATCTTCAACCATAACATCAGATCCCAACGTTTCAATATCAGAACCCTGAAAAACAAAAAAAATCAGCAGAAGGAAAACAGACAGGTTGTAAATGGTGAACATGGTGGATTCTACAGCTCCTCGTTTCCCTTCAGTCATTGCTTATAGGAGTCAGTTTGCCATGGCTCAACAGTTCTTTAGGGCTTTTGAGGGTCTTTGAACATTTTTCTTTGGATGCTTTTGCAATTGTTTATCCTCCAGGTTTGCTTCAGTCCTGTTGGGTCGTCCTCACCATTAAAAAATCAGGTCCAATTTTTGGATTACCACACCTGGATGACAGAGTCTTCACCAATATTTTATAACAAAATATTATTTTCCAATCAAATCTTAAGCAATCTTCATGACTAGGGATGCATGATAAATTGGCATCAATATCGGTATCGGCTGATGTTAGTAATTTTTGAAGATATCTGTATCTGTCCGATAATTAAAACTGGCCCGATATTAACAACTGACATATTTTTCATCTTGTTTCCGTTTGTGTATCTGTTTCAGAGGGTACTTGAGGTGATGATGTGTAATTGTTTAGTCCTGTGACAGTGATGGTAATCATTTCAGAAATGTAAATGTGTGTGTGTATAATATATTGCAAATTTCACTTTAAATAAAGCAAAACATTCAAAAACTAAGCTTGCATAATTTCAGTCTTTACAAAATTAGCTGATTTCAGAAGCTTAATCGGTATAGACAAATATCGATTATCAGCCATAATAGTGATATTAATATCGGATATCGGCCAAAAAAGATTAATATCGGAGCATTGTCGTGACATAAAAGTTTATAATAAATAACAAAACTACATGACTCATCAAAGCAATCAGTTTAACAATGAGCAACTTTTGCTGCAAACTATACTGCTGTAACAACATATGTGTCTATTTTAACCTGTTGATAAACATATGAAAAAAACAAGGATTTTTTTTTTACCTCGTTGCTGAGAATTGTCCATCCACAGGAGGACTCTGTATCACTCGATGATTCTGACATTTCTATCAGCAAAAATGTTCTTGTGGTTAAAAACTTGAAGCAATATATTTGTAAGAAAATAAAATGTCACATTAATTTTAAGGTGGCACAGGAGTTAAGTGCTCGCCCCGCAATCGGAAGGTTGCAGGTTCGAGCCCCGCTCAGTGCTCCGTTGTGTCCTTGGGAAAGACACTTAACCCACGTTGCCTGCTAGTGGTGGTCGGAGGGACCGGTGGCGCCAGTGCTCGGCCTCTGTCAGTGCGCCCCAGGGCAGCTGTGGCTACATTGTAGCTCATCCCCACCAGTGTGTGAATGGGTGAATGACTGATTGTGTTGTAAAGCGCCTTGGGGGGTTCCAGGACTCTAGAAGGCGCTATATCAAATACAGGCCATTTACCATCTTCATTGCATTTACCATTTAAGGTAGTAAGACACAAAAAAGTAGAAGTGTCTAACAGCGGCTCCTAGTGGCGAAAGTCTCAAATAGCACCACAAAAGAGCAATAAAATGATGCCAGCGCGGCCTCACAACACCAACAACAACAGTCAGTTTGCTAAAACCTTAAGCTGCCAGCGGTAAGCCATGCAGTTTCTAGCTGTAGCAGACGCGTGTTAATGTCAAAAACAATATTTAGCAGCGGTTAGGTGGCTACTCAAGTCACTTTAAATGGTTGTTTCAAAAAACACGTGACTAACAAACAATTGCAGCGCTATGGACGACATCTATTGGTTTCGGTAATGAATGTGATCATACCAGAGGTTTCAAGATAACAAAAATGACCAAACTCACTCGCAGTTCGTGCTCAGTAGCGAGGCAGCTGTTTTGCAGGCAGCTCCAGTTATTGCAGAACGCCCAAACCGTGGTTATTACAATAACGACACAGCGAAGCTACTGCGCATGGGCAGTGTAGTTTTTGAGTGGTAGAACGGACGAAAGAAAAATGGAGTTCTGCAAAGTTTAAAACTACATTTCCCATAAAACAGCGCAGTATCAAAACAAACAGCGAAGGTGGCGCACATTTCTCCTAAACTGTGGAGGGAAAGAAAAACATAAACAAGGAAGCGTGACAAAGCAGCCCATATTTTAATAACAAAATGAAATCTATTTGAGTTGTCATACAGCATTTACAATATTAGGGAGGTAAAAATAAAAATGTTTAGCAAAACAGAGAAATTTACTTAGCTATTTTAATGTACACGTTGCTACCACCCCTTGTTGATGTCAGTAAACGTGTTTACAAATTTATTATTCAATAATTTAATTATTAAGATGAACTAATCTGCTTAAAATATCTGTTAAGATCTGCTGTGAACTCCCACGTCCGCACCATGACTTCCTGCATCAACAATTTGCCCTGTTGTTCAACGTATTTGTCCATGCAAATTCAAAAGTATCCCTGTAAAGTGCAATGGAACTTTGCATCTTTAAGTCATCTTAGTATATATATTTTAATAGGTCAGTGGATATTTTAAGCAGTCTACTCATCTCATAGCTACAGCTGTGTGACCTTGTGATAAATTTTAAAAAATTGCTTATTTTTTAAGCAAAACACCAGCTAAACAACTATTTCTTTCTACTGAAGGACAAAAAGATTAACCAAGCTGAAATAGAAATAGTTAGCAAACTGATAATACTGAGGTAAACAGAGTGTGTGATATAAAAAAAAATCCAGACACCAGGGTTATTTTACAATTTTATTTAAACTGAGAATCAGAGTTTTTTCATGATTAAGCATTTTCTAAAATGTTTCTACCTGAACATTTCTGAAACAATAAAAAAAACTTGCAATAATTTTTCTGACACAAAAATATAGCAAAACATAAACAAGGAATATCAGATAGTATAACAATTAGATAAAGGTACATTCAATTTCAAAGCTTGTAACCTGTTTATATTTAGAGGGAGAGCAGCTGTGAGTCCCCCTGAGCATGTCTGTAAATGACCCACAGCGCTGCTCCACTCACAAGGGGACAGAGAGCAGGTCAGTTTCTCTGCTGACCAAACTCTCAGTTTGATCCCTTTTTATTCACATCCTTGGACAAGAACATATTTCCAGCATTTATTGGGATGAGAAGCAGCTGATTAACATCCTGGGTCACTTGTTTGACCTCAGTCTTACAGTAATACGCCCCCCAAGTGTCTTTCATAAGCTCCAATACAGAAACATGACAAACAAAAATTTCTGAGGTAGCACTTGATTACCTGCATGAACTATTAAAGGCCCAACTTAGAACCTGTAGGACTCTGGTAGGCATGTTTGGTTATGACTAATTCATGTGTTTTGTGTTTTTATGAAACTGGAAGTCAGTATCTTCATTGCACAGCACCTTTTATAAAGTGTTATTGGTTAAAAAAGGAAAATAAATGGTTTTAGTATTTTTAGTCTTGGTTTAGATTCAAGGTTGGGTCTTTAAAACTTCACAAATACAGGGACAATAAAAATCATTGAATTTAAATCTGAGCAAAAGCAGGACAACATGACCCCTCTGGATCTTTCACACATTTTTACCCCGAATGACAACAGATTCAAATGCAACAAAAACGTATTTAGTTGGAATCAGTGATTAATGTTTACATTCTCATTTATGGGAAAGTTACATCAGAGTCAATAAATGAGTCTGGTAACACTGAAAACAGAATCTAACGAAGACAGAATGCATTAAACTGTGTCTAAATGCAGCGGTGACACAAAAACAAATCTTTGGTTTATATTGTTTGTCTTTTAAAAGAAAGACAAACTGATTGTGTCACTTCTCATCTCCTATGATTGAATCCTCTGCAGAATCCTCTGATTAAAAATTCAGAAGCATGAGAACATTTGTGCACCCACAGTCTACAGCCTCTCCACACATAAAATACCTCAAGTCTGCAATAACTTTGTACTTGTAAACTCTTAAAAACCTAAATAAAAAGACAAGGACAAAAACGAGTGGATGCACATTCTCACACAACTGCACTGCCGCAAGACAGACCACTAATCAATACAATAAACAATATTTATTTTACAATATTCACCTACATTGTACAGACATCTGTTTGCAACAGTTTATGAGGAAATCTGCAAAAGGATCATTTGGTCACTATGCATATTACTGATTATTCCCTCCGTGAAGCGCCTGTTAGCACTTCCTGTGAACCCACAACCCTCTACACCCGTTCCGTTGCAGGTCAAGGCCACTAATGTGCAAGGCTTTGTTTGAGTAGCAGCACCTCAACTGATCTCCAAGGTTACGTTTCATCTTTGGTCTGACGAGCTTTGATTACTTCTCGTTCCTCAGTAACCTTCAAACAGTCGAGAGCCTTAAAATAAAGTCAATCAGCAAACAACTCTTTGGGTTTAAAGCTTCACGGTCACCGCTGCAAATCGGCTTTTCATACAAAACTACAAGGCCGACAAGTGCTAATATGTACCAACTCTACAGCAAAGAAACAAAACTACAAAGTAACTACAAAGAGTACTCCTCTGTGTACATCATCTTCTAAGAAAAATAGATTTTTTTAAGAGGTAAAACATTTCTTAGTGTTCATTCTTCACTTCAATCTCTGATTAAACACTTCCACAAACATTCTTCATGTGTCGCGTCCTCTCGTGGAGCTGCTCCCTCACACAGACTAAGACTCTAGTTTCCCCATTAGAGGGACGCTTTCCACATTAAGGCCAAGTATAAAGCTTTTCAGTCCAGACACGCCTCTGCAAGCGATTCAGGTGTGAATGCTTTTGCAAATCAAAGGAAGAACACTGGAGCTCGTAAAAACAGACGTTGTGGTACTTGGACAGAAACAACAGAGGTTTCCATCAAACATCTGAGCTACTGGCACACAATGTCAGAAATACATTCATAGCTTCTTCTATTTTTTTGTCATTTTCTATCTGGCAATCACATTAACAGTTTAGTACTGAGAAGATACCCTGTCAGTTCACCATGTAACACTACATTACTTTTCAAATGTACTAAACCATGTTCCCTGAGTTTTAGGAAAATAAAGAATAAGACAATAAAACAAGAACATCTTAAACCAGGTAGTATAAAACCGGATTAGCAAGGGCAGCTGCACACTGACGTACAAAACAATAACGGACATTCCACTTCTCAATAATGGACTAAATGAGCAGAAATATTATTAATACTGGCTCAGTACCTCAGCAACACCTGAGGAGTTAAATAACAAAAGTGTGTGTGTTTCAGTCCTTCATTCCACACAGCCGGTGGAGCGAGAGGAGGCTGCAGCGCCCTTACCATCCACCAAATCAAACAACGCAACAGACAAAACGACGGGATGACGATCAGAAAACAGTCATCAGGAAGTAAAACATGTGATGGAATAAAGCAGACCATCATGTAACACAAGTAGTTATTAAATATTCAGTGGGACGTTCACCCAGAGGCAAACTGAGGTAGATAATCAGCAAAAAGGACTCACGATTCCCTTCTGCTCCAGTGATAAACTCTCATAAATAATGTCAAAAATGTCACATTTTACAACATTTAAGACAATCTTCTTTAAACATTCAAGGTTGGTGAGATTTTTTTTCTTTTTTTCAAAACATACACAAATTTAAAAAAAGTTCACTAAAATATAAAAAAAAAGAAGTGAAGAAAATTTTATCATTCTCACAGCCAATGTTTCTTTTTTTAGGCATTTTTTTGGTTTCTTGTTTCAGTGAAGCAAAATATAAATAAATATATCTCTATTTTGCTTTTTTTCTTTCCTCTCAGGCTCACAAAACTCCCACCCTGGCATTCAGACCTGCAGCCGTTGAAATAAAAATAATTACAGTCTTGTTTGGACTCACTGTAGGGAAACTGACGGCTCTGGTGTCTACATGGGGACGTTTCTAGTTTACAGCTGATAGGAGAGTGATAAAAACTCTCTGGTCTAGTTTTATGTTCCAAAGTTTCATAAAATCAGAGTTTTTTACCATGTATTCTGCTTACCCGTTTTTCTACAAGTCTCTCACTGCCCTCAAACACACACACATGCAAACTCATGGTCACACACACGTCTACACAGGGAGAGCAGACTGATAACTGCAGTGGGCTTCCTGATGACTGATGTCAGTAACAACAGACTCTTTTCCCTTCAGGTGAACGCGACTCTCCTCATGCGGCTCTCCAGCGGAACCACTGGCCTCTGAGTCTTCACTGTCCTCTGCTGTCGGAGTTGGTGGACGACTGTTTGGACCGGAGGACAAGTTGGTCAACTCCGTCTCGTCGTGAGAATATCGACCCGAGTCACCAGTTTCGTGACTGCCCTCGCTGTTGGAGGATCCTTCTGCATCACAGGGACTTTGGAGAGGGGTGGGCTGGTTTGGAGACCCTGACAACTCTTCTTCATAGGCCAACACTGTGGTTCCTGGCTGGTAGGACAGGACGCTGTGTTCCATGTCCTACAACACAAAGAAAGTTGTTCAGTCTGTTGTTTCTACACAGAGGAGATCCCCTCCTGTCCATTGATTACATCTGATTATTCAGAAATCACTTTGGAACATTTTACCACAAACAATCAAATCCACAAAATGCTAATTATGGTTTACTGATCAATATTTATCTCTCAGAATCCTACCTGTATGACTTTACTGCCCTTTTTCACATCAGATCTGAAGAAATACCATTTCCTGTCCTTGTCAGTGATGTGTTGAATGGGGCCGAGAGAATTGATGATGAGATTTGTTCCACCCTGCAAATAAAACATGTCCTGATGTGAAAAAGGCTTCACTGTGAAAACATGACTAAAATAGGTTTTACATTTGTTTTCATGACATGGGAGAGTTTCACAACTTTTATAAACAATTTCTGACTGAACAGCAGGGGTTTGGGTTCGTTTGGGTACCTTGGCATCGATGAAATGTCTCTGACTCATCATTGGCACGGCCATCTCAGTGATCTGAGCGTGTCCCTCAGATCCCAGAAGTATTGAAGCAGCAGCAGTTGTTGTCACTTCTTCTGTGTAAGTTTTAACTGCAGAAAATTTCCTGTGAAAAAAAAAAAAAAAGCTGAGCCACTCAAAAAACAAAGATAATGTACAAAAGTAATTACTGTTATCTCAGAGTTCAGAGATGCCAAGTACCTGTTTTTGCCTCTGCAGACGATGATGAAGGCACATATAATGATGCAGATGAGAGCGATGCAGACTCCCACAGTGATACCGGTCATGGACTTCTGGTCCAGGTGGTAGAAGCCATCAGAAAACCCTGAGATGGAGTACAAATAACCATCAGCCCAGTTCTACAACCCAAAAGGAACTACTGTACAGCACCATGTAATCCTGTTGCCAGGGTGACAACTTCACTAACCTGTGGAAAGTGTGGAGCCACGAGAAAGTCCAACATCACCACCAGAGGAGGGATCTAATCTAACAGTCAGCTCCACCGCATTTGAATAGGGTCCATCACCCATGCTGTTGGAGGCAGACACCTTCACCAGGTAAACCTGACCAGGGCTCAGGTTCTCCAGCAGCGCCATGGTGATGCTCCCTGTGGCAAAGCGTGAAATGTGGTCCATCTTTAATCACCCAAAGAGAGGCGGACCATAAAGTTTTTGCCTCTTTTTCTGCGTATGAACATAACTCCTGCAAAGTGTCAGACTGACCCATCCAGAACTCGTTGGTGCAGTAAAGAAAAAACAAAAACCTATTCTCACTGGAAAAGCTGGGGGTCAGGAGATCAGAGTTATTCACATTCCCTCCACACATACCACCCAGACTCCTGACCACCAGGGTCCCTGAAGGGACTTCAGGGGGGATGGACATTCAGGCGGAGGTGGGAGGGGGTTCGGCTGGAGGGGCTTTGTGAACGGTGTCACTTTTGACCTCTTTGCCAGTGGCAGAGGGGGGAGTTGTGTGTCTTTCTTGTGTGTTTCCTGGGGTCATCTGCCCTTAAAAACACCTCTGCTGAAACACACACTAAACACAACAAGAGCATTTTAACACTAAACTTTGATCTTTTGCTTTATATCAAAACAAATTTGTATTTTTGTGTTTTCTGATAAGATAATGTATCAAATTAACAACATTTTACCCTGCAAGGAGAAGATTGTCAGCTATCACACACATGATTGTGATCACAAAGCCACGCGATCAGACTAAACACACCTAAAACGTGTCAAATCAAGTAAATAAAAGTTTGCATTTGCAACCACAGTAAAACCTTTTAATTGGTCTAAGACTAAAATCAGTGAGCTGAGGAACACCTGATATCACAAGAGGCTGAAATCAGAGCCATGACCAGAGAGGAGATCTTCATCCCTTTAATAAGTGATGAAGATGTCCTTCACGGTGTTCATCAGCCTGTGCACCTCCTCCCCCTTACCTTCTTTTTGCAGCACTTTCCATTTCCCAGCCATCCAGGCAGTTCTAGAGGCATACAAGATGGTGTAGTGTGTCACAGCTACATTGGGTTCATCTGGGAGTTTCCATGAGACAAGTGCTGTGTCCGCCTCAATCAGGGACACTTTGATGTTGGACGGAGGTCTCGTGGGAGCTTGTACAGGACAGATAAAAGGATGAAGTTTAAAACAAATACATATAATGAAAAATAAATAAAGATGTAATTATCAAAGTGTGCATGCTCACAGTGATGTTTACCTTCAGGAAACGTGGTCTGGTACGCCACAGGACTCCAGGGGCTGGAGAGCTGGTCAATATGGAGGCGAACAGCAAACTCATACTTGGTGTTGGGCTCCAGATCTTGCACAAAGAGGCTCTGCTCGTTCCTGTTGAAAGAAGCTGTGACTTAAAAAACAAACAAATCCAACTGATAAGAGGCTATCTTAACAGACTTTAAACCAAAACACAGAAATCCTTAATGATTTCATTGTTTTGAAATGGGAGAAGTGGTTTTTCCTACTTCATCTCCAATCAGTCAGATTTTTAAAAAAATGTCCAGGAGGTGGAGATGTGGAGCTCTACTGGCTGAGCCTGGTCACACGGATACCTGATCAAAAGCTCAAACTACTGCTAATTACATCAAACACACACAATCTATGTGTTTAACAGCAAATCATAAACTGGCACTAAATAAAACTTATCTGAACTGATGAAAGCTCCATCGATCATTGCATTTCATAGAAATGTCATCCTACAATTGGGTGATAATAAATGAAGGGGTTTTGAGCTCGTGTAACAGATAAATTCTTACGTCTGCAGGTAGAGAACCAGCGAGGCATTCTGAAGGCCTACAGGGTTGCAGCGGATTGTGTAGTTGACCACATTGCTGGAGGTGAAGGCTGGTCGCCCCCAGTGTAGAAACACAGCACTGGAGCTGTTGGTCCGGGCCTGAACGTTGTTAGGTGGAGGTGGAGGTGGCACCAGGCGATCTCGAACAGCTGACAAGTGCAGCACATTGAAATTAATTTGTATTTTAACTCAAATGAAATGTCAGGAATATGTGAAACATAACATTAAAACGTTTATGATCACAGCTGCACTCACAGACACATCCGGGGGTGCTGATGGTCTGGTCTGCCTGGTATCCGTCTCCAACAGCATTATAAGCCAGAAGCTTGACGTGGTACTTCTTTCTTGGGTCTGAATTTAGAGAAAATAAAGCACTGAAGCTGGATTTATGCCCACAATTAAACTACAAACAACAGTAATAATTCAAATGGAGCCCTGGTGCAGTGGCAGATTTGTAAAGCCAATAGGAGGCAGGGGTGGCGTTTGAGACAAAGCTAGACTGTGAGGGTTTGGGGTCAGCCTGGTCTGATGGTGTGGTGGGAACAAGAGGTGAGGCAGTGTGACAGATGCTTAGTGATGTGAGTCAGTTTCTACAGCTCCACTATCCATCACCCTGTCACCCCGGGTCTTTTGATTGCAAACAACAAAGCCCTTTCTGCGGCCCTGGTCAGGCCTGCTGGGCAGCGGTCAGCGGCCGCTTCTACCCAGGTCCTGAATCTAAGGGTCAAGCTAAGAGGCCAAATCTCCGGGGAAGGATACTGCAGGCAGCAGTGACCCTAAAGACCAACTCCTCAACAAAAGCCATCTGACCAAATGACCCTTCTACCACTCAAAAGAAAAACCAGGGTTGAATTTAAATGTACACATTTAACCTAAAAGAGGAACATTTTCAAGATAAGCAGAAGTGTGTTGTTTTTTATGCTAGTTACAAACATGACTGTGGTATTACATAACTAAATTATACACTAGACGTTTTTCCAGCAACATTCTCATAGTTAACACACCATTTAGCGTTTTGTGTGTTCAGCCGAAAGCAAAAACACACCTCTGCTGCTGCAAGAGTGTGAGAAGAAAGAAAGAAAGAAAGACCGCAGGAGATGAATTAGTTTCTATGGAGGCAACAAAGTTTAGAAGGGGTGGAGTTAAGCCCTGAGGAGCTTCACTGGAGCCACACCAGGGGCCAGCAGGTCAGGCTGAGATAAAACTGAAATAGGAGATGAGATTACTTTTGCTGAATAACAAACCCAAACTAGCCAGAAGTTTATTTCTGGCAGCTAAAAACAACAAAATAACTCAGTGGGTTATCAGTAAAGTGACTTGTATGTTATAGGCCCCTGATCTGATCTCCATTTGTTCCTAAAACAACAAAATAAAACCTACACTGATGGAGCTTTGGTGCAATCTTGTTATCCTGAGTTGTTGTTTTATTTTAAAAAGTTCCTAAGGCCCAGTGCCCACCTCTAAAGAGGAGCAGGCATTTAAAGCACCTCTTCTCATCTCCACGATACAATGGGCCTCCCGTAATTATGCACAAGAGGAGTTCTGAGGGGGGAAGCTGTGACATCTGGGCCATGACCTTTGACATGGAATCTGGGCAAGCTAAATCCTGCAAAAGAAGGGGTTACACATCTTGCTCTGGGGGGGGGGGGGGGGGGGGGGGGGGGTCGGGTCCGGCAGAGGAAGTGAGTAGAAAAACAGGGAAACACCGAGTCAGAATAAAACCATGCTTGGTGAAGAAGTCTCCTGATAAGAGCTTCGATCCACAATGGGAGGTTCTGATGTGCAGCACCAGATATGATTCATGTACACATTTTTAACCAAGATTAGAAACAACTTTTATCATTCAAACATTTAATCTGCTCTGCCACAGATAACAGACACAAAAATACTATTATTTTTATTTATTCTTTATTTAACCAGGAAGATCCTATTAAGATTAAAAACCTCAGTTTCAAGTGAGTCCTGGCCAAGAGGCAGCAAAAGATACAGTCTCAATATTTCTCACTTACACAGTCAGTTATATGCAAAATTGCATTATTATATTAGAGCCCCACATCTTTTAATTTACTGTTTTGTTTCATTTCTACGTATTCTTAAGGTAAAACTTGGCTGTAGAAAACTCCATCAGTAAGAGAAGCCATTAATTATTGTGTTTGTAATAAAGAATAAATTTAAGCCATTTGTGGCCCTCTAACCCCCTCTAAACCCCCCCCCCCCCTTTTTACGGCTGAAATTCAATTCCTGTTGGCCCCTGAAGTTTTGTTCTGTTGCAAAAAGCCCCCCCCCCCCCACACACACACACAGGCCCAAACAGGGGCAGTAAACATCAACTCCTGCATGAACCCTCACACTGGCATCTATCATCCATCCCGCCCTCCACCCTCCTCTCTGCTGCCCTCACTCACACAAATCATCACACAGACACACACTGACAATCACGCAGCTCAAGCATTAAATAACCTTTAAAGATGATGGCTATTTCGGTCTAGTTTTCACACCGAGCACGCTTCATGGCATCCCTAACAGGAGTGGACAGGATGCAACACGGCGCGCATCTGTGACATAAATCTACAGTTGAGCACACTGCGCAGTCTGGTGCCAACAAGTATGAGAGGTATTTAAGCCTCAGCGCAGACTACGTGCTCCTCTCTTGAGTTTACACATGTGGGCGGAGGTCACATCGCCGTGCCATTAATACTCATAAGGAGCCCGTCCAACACATTCCTGCCTCTCATGCTGTGCTTTCAATCATCTGAGCTGTTGCAAGTGATGATTTCAACTCAGAGTGTGTTTTCCTACAGCTGTACACGGCGCTGACTCAGCAGCATCTAGCACTGCTACAGCTGACCACTCAGAAATCAATGTTATTGGCAGAATTAAATAAGCAGGGATAGCTTCTGTGTTCACCTTTAAGCAGGTTAGAGGAAATGCCATTTACAATGCAAGGAAACCTAAACTCTGAAAAATCTACTCTTGCGCGTCTTGAATCATACATTATCGTAAATATTCAAAGTTACTAAGTAATTAAATGTAACTTGTAGCGCAACTTCTCAAACACCAATCAAAAAAGCTAAACAGATGACCAAAAATCTGAAAATAATCATCCTGTCAGATTGTATCTGTTGCATTGTTGAGGTTTTGACCTTATTTCTATGAACTCTGCGAACGGTCTATTTTTATGACAACATTTGCAGTAAACACTGGTTCAATCAATGTGCTTATCATCAAAACGCCTTTTTAAAAAGTTTGACCAAAAACAATACGTGCAGAAAAATTCATAAACGTATAGAAAAACTTCTACGCGACCCAAAAAAAAAAGAGGCTGAGAAAACACATTTCCCAAGACACATTAAAACAAACTCTTGTGCAGCTTGTAGCTGATGGTAAAAAGAGATCCTGGTTAATGTTTCCCTGCAGGTACAAATTGAGTTACTTTATTACCGACATTGTGAGTTTTCACTGAGTTTATGACTCTTTTTTTTAATCATTCCAAATCCCATCTTAAGATAAAACATTTAGGGTCAATCTAGATTTATATTGTGGTAACTTATGACTTTGTTTCTTTCAACTGATGTTTTTATATGATCACTTTCACAGAACAAGGGTCATCAAAGCTTTTTGAGATCTTTCTCGGTGGCGTATCAGTGTTTTCCCTGCTGCAGGAAGTGTTTTCACACAGGAGGTCACATACTTGAGTTTACACCTCTCCTCTCGTGCTGCAGCTTGGAGCAGTACGACACAATTCCCAAGACCTGGCCATTGTTAGGCCAACAACTCAGCTGGTCAGGGGATGCATTTCCTTTAAGTCTTGGCTAATAAACTGTCTTTGTGGCTCTGAAAGCCAAACACAATGAGAGTCTTTGATGTCCGTGCTCCTCCAGCAACGCAGCTCAAAGCAGTCATAAAACAGACAATAAATCAGCCTCCACAGAACAGCTTTCTTCCTTTAAAACACTGTCCTGCAAGCCTCTTTTAACAAAGGGGAGAATAAAACACACAATACATTTAAATTTAGCAGCAGTTCTGTTCCTGATTTAGCTACTTTCAGCCAGATTCAATGCATTTAAAAGTTCCCGTTTAATATTTATTACAATTTTAAATTCAATAAAGAGGTGAACAGAAAAATAATCTTTTTAAAACCAAACTTAGGTGAATATTTTGGGTTTAGAAGTTTAATGTAAGAGTAAGTCGAATCAGTATGTCTTATGACAGGTATACAGAAGTGTTGCATATATTATGTAACTATCTTAGCTACAGAACTTCCTGTTTTATAAGTTATTTGCTGACCACCTGGTTGACCTCCTCTAGCCACAGATGGTCAGATGTCCACTCCTCTGGCATGAGCCTCCTTTTCCTCTTTCAAACAAAACAGCTAAAATGAATCTGACCCAAAGGCCTGAAAAAAAAACTGCCAGAGGGAGCAACACACACAAAGCTCCTGCTCAGAGGTTGAGAGGTCATAGAAGTGGGATGTGGTCCCGTTCTCCCTCACGCCCAGAAAACCTCTGCTCAACACATGACAAGAATCTAGCTTATTAATCACTCTGCTGTCAGCAGAACCTGAAACTGGTTTAAAACGTTAAAACCACGTGGCTTTGAATTAAATGTACTGAGTTGGCTGAACTTCTTGTGTTCTCTGGTGGATTCCATTTGAACTCAGAAGTCAGGAACACAGTTACGTCTAACATCTTTCACAGATCTAAAATGAATGAGTGATAGTTACATGAAGTCCCTTTTATTAACGTGGAGGATTAACTCATCACTCCACACCTAACTTTATTAGAAGCAGTTACCACAGATCAGAGTCACACATGTTTCTCCTCAAGTTATGAAAGCTTTACTGCAATGTAAGGATGACCTGAAGAGCCACTAAAAAAGGGCCGTTCTGTTTACTAAAATCAGGCCCATCTCCGAGGCCTAGTCCACACATAGCCGGGTTTATTTAAAAACGAATATCCGCCCCTCCAAAAACTTGCATCCACACCACCTCGTTTAAAAAAAAAAAAAAAAAACTGTCCACACGTACCCGGATAAATATGTTGTTAATGACATGCCAGACCTGTAGGCGGCAGTACTTCCCCCGTTCTTAACCTCGTCCTTCGTCTGTGGTCTTCCGCAAGGAGCAGTAATTCCGCTTGCAAAAACAAACAAGCAAAAAGCGCTTGGACAATTGATAAAGCGAGCGCAGCTCTGAGGGCATCCATGCTGTCGGCTAGTGTAAACACAGGTCGCACACGTGATGTCAGCATGTTTTTGTCACGGAAAGTGACGTTGCGGACCTTAAAACTCTGGTTTTGTCTGTCCACACGCAGACACCCAAAACGGAGAAAACGCAGATCTTCACTTTGGCCGGAGTTTTTAAAAAGATCCGTTTTCGTGTGGATGACAGGCCAAAACGTAGAAAAATATCTACGTTTTGGCAGATCCCCGGCTACGTGTGAACAGGGCCCAAGTGTATGAACACAAAACTGGGATTGACTCCTCTGGTCTGAGAAGCACCTCATGCAGCAAATATCATCAACGTTTTGTCAGATCAAAAACTTGCAGTATAAATACAAAATGTCACATGTTGGTATAAATAACCTTGAGTTACTAGCATGGCACTGGCATATGAAACCAAACTCACCGAGGCCTTCGATGGTGTGTTTATGAGCTGAAGCTTGCAGCTGCAGTGGGGGGCTCTCAGGTTGGCTTTCCTCGTGGTAGAAAAGTTTGTAGCCCAGAAGTCTGACCGAGTTTCTGGGAGTCAAATGCCAGCGGGCTGAAATAGTGGTGCAGTTTAAGGGTTCCAGATACAGCTCTGGAGCCAGAGGAACTGGAAAGAGACAAAAATCAGATTTAAAAAGTGTTTTTTTTTAATTATTTTAGAAGAAGTTTAACTCGATTTTAAAATGCAAGATAAAGGTGCATGTGAGTAAAAGATTGTTCTGTAACTCAAAATAAGTCATTCTCTTCATTTACCTTCTAATTTTTATAAATTGGAGAAAAATATACTGGCACATTATTGTGTTGAACAGAAGAGCTTCCTGACCAGGTTATGTTAACGACCATAGGATTCTTCACTATTTCATCACAAGCCAAAGACGATCAATAAAGGGAGTCTTTGGTTCATTTTGGAAATATGAAGTTTGCTAAAATTATCAGACATCTTTTCAAACATAAACTGGAAAACTGATGAATAGAAAAGCTAATTCTCACTCCACAGTTACAGCAGCCCCTCCAAACAGCCAGTTAGTCTCTCTTAACATCATTGATACCAGTTCTTCTCCATACTGCTGCTGTGTCTTGTGATTTAAAACAAGCTCGGCTTTTTGAGTGAACTCCCTCATCGTACCTTGAGCACTAGATGCCTTTGGAGTGCGGTGAGACGTCCAGGCGGATTGCTCCCCCCACCCGACACTGGTGGCAGCAGCAATACACAGAAGGTAGATGGTGTCAGGCTGCAGGCTTTCCAGACGATGTTGAGTCTTTTCTCCTGGTAGCTCTATTTGTGATCCTATGCTCTCGGAACTGATACGATAGGACAAGCGGTAGCTGGAAACTCGACCACGGCTCAGCTTCTGAGGGAGCGGCTGCCAAGACACCTGGATGTCTGTGGGGCTGTGGCTGGTGAGGCTGAGCTCTGGGGCCCGCAGGGGAACTGTGAATCGAGAAGACAGGAGAGATCAGGAAATCCATCATAAATGATACCTGGTTATAATTATTGAATCAAAAGCATCGCCAACTAAGTCAGGAAAGCTAGTACGAATTAGAATAATGCATTTAAATTTGGAGGAGCGTTATAGTTTCTTGCAGAAAGGGTTTTAGGAGCTCAATTTTATGTTATTTGAGACTTTTTTGTATCATTATAATAATCACCACATTTTCAGATGGTCACTTAGTTGGTTTAGAAGAAATTAACATCAATCAACTAAACATTTGATGGAAATGCACAATATTACAACACTTGTGAAAAAACAAATAAGGTTATTTGTAAAATACATTCCCCATAATTAGTAAACTATAACTTATTAAGTTCTCGATAGCAAACATTTCCTATTTCTACATGATTAATCCTTCCTGCTGATTAAACCTCACCATCCTCTAGCGTGTGCTGGAAGACGTGGTCCGACATGCGACTGGCTCCCATCGGCATGTAGGCCACCACGTAGAAGGTGTAGTTGCGAGCCGGCTCCAGATCATCAATAATGTAACGGGTCGTATCGTTTCCAATGACAACTTGATATTCCTCATTGTTCAATCCTGGACAAATGACAAGATTGTAATTTGAGGTTAAATAATAACACAGCGTCCCGGCTGATCAAGTTTACACAAAAGGCTATTTGCCCCAGCTTATGATTTTACACTAAACTAATGAGTTTTTTTATTATTATTAATTATGCATTTATTAGAGTTCACTTTTAAAGCGTTATAGAAAAGTTAAAAGTTCTAGAACAATTCCACCACAAACATTTTAAAGTCTTGTTGAACCTTCAAATAGAAAAGAAAAATGTTCATTTTCGTGCCTCAAGATGATGTTAAAATAAAATACCTGGTCTAATTTGTGACCTGGTAAACAAAGTACTTGAGAGTAAACAAGACATCCTAAATAGGCTGCATACCTCAGTGAGCCTCTGTGAAAAGAGACAAAGCTCGTCTTTCTGTCCAGTTCACGCCGTTTTGTTCCCTCACAGAAGACACCATTTTAAACCCTCCATCATACTGACTAATTAGTTTCTCAGAGTCTCAGTTTAGTGCCAGACCTCTCTGTCAACAACCTCAGGTGCAGAGAGCACCAATACTCAATCAATGTCGGGGAACAGAGATCATTTCTGACCAGGAACAACGAGAATGAGTGGGATAAATCTATATCAGAAGCTGGAAATCCCTGGCAGAATAACCCAGAGGGAGTTTGTTCACGTCCTTATCCTCAATAACATCCAGCAGGTGTTCCTTTCTTTGACTTGAATTCTTGATCATTTCTTTTCTTAGTGGAAGTCAGTGGCTTTGTAATCAAGTGCAGTGCTTGAATGAACAGGAAGCAGGTTTTACAGAAATGTTGGGAGCCTTGGAATGTGACTCTTGTTATTAACAGCAAGAGTTCCCAGGAAAGCTAAAGGACTTAAAGGTTTTTGTGCTTTCTGTGAACTGTTTAGCCTTTATACTGCATTTTATCAGCAAAGGAAGGGACCTTGCCTCTTGAAATACCACAGGTCAGTAGTCCTGATGATGATGCTTGTTTGTTCAAAAAGCTGCTACTTTATTCCTCGTTTTGACCTCCAATAAAGCAGAATTCAAATAAAAATGCTTTTTTCTAATAATGTTCTAGGTACTTAATGCTGCTGCAAATATTTTTAAATGTTCTCACAAACATTTCTGCACAGCTCTCACCTTCAGCTTTCATGTAATGAACAGAGTAAGCAATGACTTTATCCGCGTTGTACTGAGGCCTTTCCCAAGCCAGGAGGATGGCCGAGCTCGACACAGTGTCAGCTCGGATGTTCCTGGGAGCGCTTGGCCGGTCTTCTGACATCACCACAATGAGCCTTGCCATGGACAGAACAGATCCCAGCTCATTTTCCGCCTGGCACTGATAAATGGCGTCATCTTCAAGAATGATCTGGTTGATGACCAGTTTGCTAGAAGACACACACATGGATACAGAGAATCTTCTTCCTGGGGTTCTTGTTGTCATTCTATAATTACTTTAACAAGCAGTGACAGTTAAATAAGGAGCAGGAGCAAATTATTGGAAAATCAACTAAAATCCAATTTGCGCTGTTGTAAATTATTTAGTTTCCTTTCGACTGTAGGAACAAAAGTGCATTTATTATTTAAACAGTTTTGACTTGGCTGACGACAACTGTTAGTCGAGTTATGGTATTCAGACAGAAAAAGATTTATAGGATGCCAGAAAATTAACTAAACCCAAGGGAAACATACCTATGGTACATCTTGATTCGGCCATTGGAGTGGACTTTCTCTCCGTTCTTAAACCACGTGACCTGAGGTGCTGGATATCCCTCAGCATGGCACACAAAACGGGCGGTGCCGGCACGCGGACGGGTCAAGCTTTCAGGCCACTCCACAAAAGAAGGTGGTGCTTTATAAAACGACAACATCACACCAAGATCAAGAATAATAAATCATCTATAATAATTAAAAATATTCTCAGTCAAACACCACACGTGGTCTTTACCCAGCACGGTGACGTTGGCTGAAGCGACGGTATAGTTTCGTGTGCCAGGAGTGGTGGCTCTGCACATGTAGACTCCTCCATGTTGGGGCTTGATGTCTGTGATAATGAGGTTGCCATTTCCCAGTACCTTGGTGTTGTGCACGTCAATAGATTTGGTGTCTGCTCGGCTCCAAGAGACAAGGGGTCGGGGGTTGCCTGTGGCCAGGCATTCCAGGATGGCAGTCTGATGCAAGGACACTGAAATGTTCTGAGGTCCAGCGATGATGCGGGGTCTCTGGGGTAGCTGGGGTAGTGGAGCTGCACAGAACGAGGTGCACAAAGTTGATACAGATAGTTAGTATTCATAAATGAGTTATAGGGATAACATTCAACCAAAAACAAAATTCTGTATGTGTAAATAAACAGCTGTTTGGCACACCTGGGGTGATAGTCAGGGTTGCCTCTGTGCTTCTACGACGGCTGGCAATATTGGTGGCGATGCAGCGGTAGTGTCCAGCATCCCCTCGCTGCACCCCCTGGATCTGAAGAACACCACTGGGCAGGACTGTAATTCTGATTCATAGAGAAGGGATCACCAAGCACAAGGCAGATATTTTATAGTTTGTTCCCCAAAAAGAATCTGCCTGACAAGAATAAAAGTGAGAACCACAACCTGCAAAAAAAGGGGGAATCAATTTTGCTTACCTTTCAGTGGAGAGGGGTAATGTGACCCGGTTGAACTCCCAAGTGATGATGGGAGGAGGGTGCGCACTGATTTTACAGGAAAACCTGGCAACGGAGCCTTCCGTCACCACTATGGATGTCGGCTGGAGTGCAAAAGTGGACATACCTACAGCGAAACAGCGCGAGAGAAGCTTTTAGAGAACTTTAGAGATTTACCTTTAAATACAACCGATGTCATTGTTTAAAAATCTCACAGGGTCTGATGGGCTTTCAACTAACGTTTTGGGAAAGGACTCTCAGCAATAGATATTAGCTCAATATCTGTTGAGTTATAGCAATATTTGTGCTTTCTAATGCATGTTTTTCCTCATATCCAGATGTGAACATGAGAAAACCCCATCATCTCTAAACTAACAGATACAAAAACAATCCAGCTCTGTTCTTTAGCCTCTGTGCATTTGTTCAAAGCTGCGTCTGCTGCTCTATCAGCAATTAGAGTTGAATAAAAATGTAAAAAAAAAAAACAAGAATCACAGATTTTCAGTCTTTTTCAGATTTCCACAAGCAGAACAAAAATGTTTATACAAAATACGTCAGATGTGTTAAAGGAAGCATACTCATGCCAACTGTGAAAACAAACAATACCAATATTTATTAACTTCATGTTCATCCTCCTCATCAGTGTGTGTTTTTTTCCAACTTTTGGCAACATCTCGAAGTAGCCCCAACATTTGAGAAGGACCTACCGACAATTTGCGCACAACAATTAACTCCCAGAGAGTGAATGAGGAGAACGACGATGCCAGGTGTTCTGGTGCGAACCAGCAGGAGGGCCCAAAGTCCAATAAACCTTCAATAAATTATGACTTTTACACATTTGGCAACTTGCTTACAAACAATGCTGATATATTGTGTGAGACTACGTGATCTTATTGGACAGTCTGGCTCTGATGTCCCCACCAAGGTCTAATTTAATCACATTAGTCCTGAGCTGTTACCCCCTTAGCTTCAGCCCCACTGTGGCTGTTTGTTGTGATGATGGAGGGGCCTTCTAACCCCATTTCCCACATACACACCCACCATGTGTTGAAGTGAAATGCCTGCAGGGCTTTGGAGATGAGTGGATCTGATACCGTTTTCTCCCGATTTTCCCTTCCTGTTCAGGCAAGTGATTCTGGATTGACAAACACCCAGCAGCATTCATTGATTATTGATAAACCACTAAGACAAGGGCTAAAATCCATAAATGCTATGGCGTGTTGTACACTGGTCAGTGAGGTCTGTTGCCTTGAGCGATGATGTTTTCCAAAGGGGCTCTTAATTTAGTTTTTAAAATCTATCATCGTTTTTTTATGTTTTACTAAAGAAAACCGGTCATTTATTTGATCCTGCCAAAGCATTGGAACATTAAACCACTGGGTGAACATTTCAGCTGACGTCCTTACTACAACACAGAACAAATACCTCAGCCTATTCCTCAAAAGCTTGAAGAAACAGTTCTGACCATCTGCCCCTCTCAGCAATGTCACCTCTCACCTCTGACCTCCACAAATCCAGGCTAACACTCAGCTCCGGCAGAAAGCTATTTGACCACCCCAAAACCAATCCTGCTGCTCACTAATCCCAAGCAAACTGCCTAGAAATCACTTTGACTATTCTTTGGCTGTGATAGTTTACAACCAGTCTGTGATCCTTTCCCTGTTCTTGTCGTTGGCATTTGCCTTTTGCTACTAGAGCTGACTTCATTGTTATTGGCCAAAATTTCAGCATCAATAAAAAGCTGGGTTGAGCTATAATAAAGCCAACTTTCAGAGGTCAGTGATTAGAGCCTTAAATATACAAGATAAGTTTTTCAGAATTCCTTCCAGTTTTTTGTTTCATAACCTCTCTAATCTCAAACCTAAAACAATAGAGTGAAGCTAAATTTGCCACACTTCCTCACACACCAGATGGGTTTTCTGATGGACACATCCCAGCAAACCAAAGGTCAGCGGGCAGGTCAAGCCCAAACAAAGATTCTCCTACAAATGGCAGAAGCTTTGCCCTCTCTCATGTGGTCAGTTTCTGGGTCAGAGCACAAAGCTGGGACGCTCATTCGTTTAGTTGCAGCCACTAATTCTCTAAAAGACAATGTTTCATTTTTGTCCCAGTGCTGCTCTGCATGCTTGTGCTCAGTTCTGAGGATGGCTAACATATCCACTACCCTATATTTCTCATCCAACCCACCCCCAAGGGTCCAATCTTTACTGGGAGACATTAAAACTGATCATCCTTTCCGCATCCTACAGGCTAAATGCTGAACACGTGACCATCATTATACTTGTACAGCATTTAACAACTCCCGTTCTTATTAGTAAGATCTGTGCTCATCACAGCTGTTTGCTAAAATGAGACGTTTCCGTTTTTAATTCTACCTCTTCTGCTGGGGGGAAAAAGCCACGACTGTTAAACAAGGTGATAAGTTCTTTACGGTGTCAAATGACCCATTTAAACATGAAAAAAGTGAGAGGAAGAAGCTGAAAAAGCCAAAAAATCAATCTTTAGGTGGGCGGCAGATGTGCTGCTGCTCACAGTGGCTGCAGGACAGTCAAGTGACCACTGGCCTGGCTAAACAAAGACCTATTCCCATGAGCAGTGTGACCTCTGAGAGCACGGGGCAGGCAGTGGGGGAGCAGTGTTGGAAAGAGCATCCACCCCCCTCCTTCACTTCCTTATCTATGCCACTAAAGTTTTCCTATCACTCAACAGCAAACCTCCACTGACACAGAGGCTTCATTGTCTTTAATCTCCACGTTGGATCAAGGTTTAAGCCAATCTGCAAACCTACATTCTGTTTTTAAAGCTGCATGCTATGTTTAAAAGACCAATACAATGGCAAATAAGCTTAAATAAGATGTGCATTTCAAAAAGATAATGAAAGTAAGAAATGAAGCTAAAACTGAAACTGAATCCTATGATGACTAATGAGGCAGCAGATAAACTCTGATAAAGAAGTTTTGTACCACACATCATATGAAAGTTTGTCTTCTTGCCCACCATCTATATAAGACAGTTTCAAGAAACCTTTGACCTCAGGGCCTGCTGTTATTGGGAACCATGGTAACCTTTCATCTCCAGCAGAGGAGAAAAACAAGATTCCAGGCTTTGAATTGTCTCCCTTAAGGGCATTTCATTCATTCTCATCTCAGTTCAAACTGTGGATGATTTCCTTTTGAATTATTGGAGCTTGTAATTGTGACACGCCAGTGCACGGCAAATGCATTCCTTAGCAACATAACATATTTGAGCTGAGATCCTGTGGACACAACAGGAAGATGAAATCAAACTAAAGCAGCAAACCTTGTTTAAAGCTTTTGTATACAGTTTAGCATCTGCAATGCTTTGATCTGCGACACTTTTGAAAACCAGCTAAAAACTGATCCCCAGACAAGAAAAAATCATGACATATTTATAATAGTTTACTCTCATTTTTAAACCACATTAACCTCATATGAGCCAACAAAATACAGATGCTTGTTCTAATCTTACATTATTTGAATTTACTCGACATTTCTTTAGTGTGACACCTGCACTGATTTAAAATTCATAAACTTTATTAGACAGTGTATCATTGTGCTGCCTTCAGTGGTGTTCTCGTGCTGACATAAGCATAAGAGAATATATCCAAGGCATGCTAGATTAGCCAGAGATCATCAGATTCAGCTGATAATGGAATTTGTGAGAATAACATGAAGAGAATCACTGAATCAAAACTGTCCACACTGGTGAAATGTTTATCTGAGGTGGATGTGTAAACCTTGACACCTACAGATTTATTTCACACATCCACCGGACGAAAGAAATCTGAGATTGCATTTTCTTTTCTAGCCTCTTGTGTTTGTGGTCACGTGCAGTAAAATGGGGAACTATCTCTAGAGGCAATCCCTCTCAACAAAAATCCCCATCAATCAGAAGTTTGTTGACTAAAGTCACATGACGAAGCTCAGGTGTCGCATTCCTTCTCATCAGGGCCAAAATCCTATTTCACCTTTGTGCTTTACGACCTGATGTCAGGTTACTCACTCTCTATCAACACCTTGTTCCTCCAATGACAACCCGCAGATTTACTAAATGTGTAAAGTGTTAAAAAGCTCCCACAGAGCATCGCTCTAACATCCAGGACATAAAGCGTGTCATGAAAGCAGGCACTGAAGTTTCCCACGTGTTGTAGCATCCATCTTCATGTAGCTTTACGTCACACAAGACCACGTGGATCAAAACGTTCTCCAAAACAAATCTACACAAGGATTTATGCTAATAAAGGTAGACTTGGTAATAACTAACAATTACAATAAATGTCATTAATCCTCATATGGTGACCAAGTCCAGCTGTTCTCATCACCTATTTTGGGACAAACAACTGCTCTAAAAGAATCAGTCTTCTTTAGCGCGCTCGGGAAGTGATGGAGACAAAAACGGTCAGGGTGGAAAAGCCTTTCAGTCTTTCACCAGAGTAGTGAGGCGGAAAACAATTGTGTGCAAAGGCTCCGATCCCTCCTGACCTGCAATAAAGTTTGGCCATTTAGACACTCTGTGTGTGTGTGTGTGTGTGTGTGTGTGTGTGTGTGTGTGTGTGTGTGTGTGTGTGTGTGTGTGTGTGTGTGTGTGTGTGTGTGTGTGAGAATGCTCATCACTTGTGACAACCCCCACCATTACGTCTGCGTCCTTCAACTGAACGTTTCTCAGGTATGTGAAAATTTTATGAGCTTCCAGACAGACCTTCTAGCAGGTCTAAGTGCTATTTTAAAACAAACTAGTAAAGCTTAAAGGCAGTCTTTATCACCTCTTTATTTCAAGCTGTAAAGCAAGAAAATTACTCGATCAATTAATAAAACTATGTGTACTCTTCAGGTACTCTCTAACAGCAAGCACTCTGCCATATAATTAAATCCTACACCAGGATAGTTGATATAAAGTGTTAAGAAACTCACACTTGTTTATATCTTATTACAACTTATCTGCACAGAGCACACAGCTGCTTGACCTCAAATGCCTAAAAATTACATAAAACATTAATACCAGTCAGTATAAAGCTGCTTTTCAATTTTTATACAAGTTATCGAGTATGAAATCAAAATAAAACATTTAAGATTGCGTCTTTCTGTACAGTTGGGAATGCACTGGTTTAAGTGCGAACAGCTACATGTCTTATAAATGTGCCAAAGCAACTGCCTGGTGGCAGGAGATGACATAAGGGTCCCAGAAGACCAACTCAGCCTGAAGCTTTCCTTCCTCCCCCTTAAAACTAGATTTTAGCTTGCAGGGCACTGGAAGAGAAAGCATTCCAAAAGAACAATTCCTCAAGCAATCAGGGTGCAATAACATGAAAGCCCAGGCCAGTGAATAGGGGTCATCTGTTCCTTAGCATTAGAAGGCTAATTTCCTGGACAGCTCCTAACCCTTCAAATCTCCTGCTCCTTCATTACCACACCAATGGGCCTTTCCCCCAACACAGGCTACATTTTGAACACTCCCAACTTTGAAGACTTTGATTTTCTTTCTGCTACCATCAAAAGCATATCTGGATGCATGTATGAGCACAAAAAATAAATCACAGACACATTGTGTCATGTATGTATATATATATATATATATATATATATATATATATATATATATGTGTGTAGTGTTGTTCATAACAAAAGAAACATAAAACTCACTTGCGATTGTAAGACGGGCTTTCTGGCTCAAGATTGTTCCATACTTGTTCTGAGCAAGGCACTGATAGCACCCTTCATCTGATTTGTCTCCTCTTCTGCTCTCCACCTCTGAGATAAAAAGGGAGCCATTGGAGAGCAGGTAAACCCGTTCATTCGGAACAATTTTCACTCCATTTTTGAGCCATCTAACGTCAATGGGTGCCTCTCCATGTGCCTGGCAATCCAAAATAGTGGCTTCTTTCCGCATGACGGTGACATCATGGGGTTCCTTGGTAAAGAGTAACTCACTAAAGCTTAAAACACCTGGGAAAAGAAAGACAAGAATGAGAGATGTGCTCACAAGCAGAAGGCACACTGAACTATTTACACATAGGATTATGTTGCTGTTAGTAATTACAAAAGCTCTGGGTATCATTAGACTTAGTCGCTACAGTTTAACACAGCTTAAGCATCAACTAGTGTTTTAAGAAGTTACCAGCTGAAGGACTACAGTGCAGTCACATTGCAGCTTTTATTTTCTCCACATAAATCTCTAAGGTCACGAGCAGAAGGTGAAACGGATTAAGCAGTAATCTCTTTGAGTTCACATGTAACACTTATGCTAACATTAACTTTTCTAAAGTAAGGACTAATAACTTTAAACTCATTTCTGTCATCACGTCAGACCTCCGTGAAGGGGACTAGTCTAAAGCTAAAGGCAGAGGCATGGTTTGCCCACTATTTCAATTTAGTTAAATTTATGATATAATTCCCATGAGTAAGTGATCATGTTTGAGGTCGTTGTTTGTTTAATAAGATGACAGGGCTACAAAAGCTATACTAGTGGTAATTCAGTGTCATTTATTAAGAAATCTAACCAGTTAGTGCGTTTAATCAAGATATTTAAAGTAATATGTGTGGCATGGTATGATTAACAATAATAACTCCATGGGATAATAAATGTAGGAAGAAAGGTCAGCAATGGAATTAAATCAAATAAAAACGCTTAGAGCTATGGAATGTATGCTAATGAGTGCAACTATGTTAGATTACATTTATAAACATGCTAAGTGAACATTTTAACAACCATAAGGAAAACCGCTAACTTAAAACTGAATTAGATAAATTTGGATGACTTTCTGCGCCACTTAGTGCCACTCAGACATTTAACATTACAATGATCGTTGTTTCGACTATTTAAGTGCATAATATCTTAGCAAATATAGATATAAACATCAATAAAACACATAATAATGCCCACTTAAGCCTTTTGCGGTCACTGCACATAGCTAGCAGTCAGTTAGCTAAATGTCAGCTAGCTTAAGTTAATTAGAAGTCGCTCTAACGGTCAGTTTACGAGAACAAACTTTGAAAAAGCCTTTAAAGTGTTTCCAGCTCTTAAATCTCACACAAACACACAGGAAAGATGCAAAATGCAAGAAGTCATCGACGCGTAACCCTTTTTAAGTTTTATCCATCGGTTTTATCACACAAAATATAAGTTTTCAACATAAAAGCTTCTTACCTGTGATTGGTAAAAAGATCGCAAAAAGCAGCAAACGCTGATATAGTTTCCTTTTGAGAGGAGCCATTTATATTAATCATCCGTACATTCTAGCTACAATCACATAGCTGTTTCCTCCACATGGACCGCACTTCTACTGAGGAGGAGGAGGAGGAGGAGTAGTGGTCAGAGACCCAGGAGGGCAGGTTCCCTCCTCCGGCGATGGACAGTCAATTAATCCCCTCCAACGTGCCGCGCCCCCTGCTGGTGAAACACCCCCAGGACAGGTTCATAATATCCATGCTGCTGAGAGCAAAATATCACTCCTGTCTGTACTTTGCTTTCAAGAGGACATTACCTCTTAGATTATTTTATAGGTATCTTGTTAAACAGTTCTCCAGGCTTTGTGAAGAATTTTATTTAGGCTTTGGCAGCTTTTTCTCTCAGTCTCCAGTCTTTCAGTAGAGCACATGACCATGTTCTAGGAAATATTTGGAAGACTCTTACTTATGACTTATGAATTTTTCAAGATCCTTAAACTCAAGGGATGAGCCTGTTGTGTATTGACACAGACAACTAAGCGAAGCAAACCTTTTAAACTGATGAACATGATTTGATTAACAAAAACAAGCATTTTAGCACCAACAACGTGACACCCAAAGAGCTAGTGGTTAAAAACTTGAAGATCAGATGATGTACTGCAAGTTGGAGAATCAGTTCTGGTGCATGGCATGTACGGTGCTGACATGTAAACAACTGAGGGATCAGATCCAATTATAGTCATGTTCAGCTCAACACTTAAACCCTGACCAAAAGATGTTGTCTCTCCCTCCATCCTCCATCTCTTCTTTCTTCCTCCACCATCTCTTTCCTTATCAATACCACTGATTCATATTGATGAGAGCAGATTCATCACTTTCAGAGACAAACTGCACACCAAATGGTCTCCACAGATTCAGGGAAAAATATGTTAATGAGTTTGTCCCTTAAAAGTGCGACCTGCAATTACGAGGAAGCATTGATAGGAGCAGCACAGCTGCTGTGTCAAAGTCGATATTGATCCGATGTCCATCACTTATTGTAGAGAGAGATCCAACCCTCCCCCTGGTCCACCCCCTCCCACCGCCTGTGAACTATTATTCAGCAGCTTGACCGCCGCCCAGCTGTGATGACCAAAAGGATGACAAGAGAAAGAGCGCTGATTCAGTCACAAGGGAGAAATCCTGTGTTTTAGTGAAGGATTAATGTTCATACATTCACAAAAATGTATAAGATAAATGTTTGACTTACTTGTTCAAACTATTTCAACTTTGTAAAACAATTTTTGTGCACGCAAAAGAAGAAAAACATTGGATTTCTTAGATCCTTCACTTTGAAACAATCAGTTTTGCATTTGCACCACAGATGTAATTTAAATCTAAAAACATATCACTCTTGCGTTAAAAAAATATATAGTTCCTTGTTCTTCAAAGAAAAAAGCAGGATCTGTACATTTAAAAAGTGAATGTTTTAATTTAAAAAAATTAAATAAAGAATAGATTTACATCACTGTCCAATACGCTCAACCACAATGATCTTTGGTTTCTCTAACTTCTCTCTGACTCAGTGGTAACCGGATGATTCATCTTTGCTGTGCTAACTCTGTGTCACTCAGAATGACCACAGCATTTTTCTCTTACATAACGTGAGAAAGTAGAAGCTTGACTTGTTTCTCCCTCCCTCAACAAATCAAGACTACAGTTTGAGCAGCTGCCAATACAGCTCAGCCAGTGGGAGGAGTGATGTTCAGGCCGCATGTGGACGCGGGTCAAGCTCTGCTGAGGCTGGATCAATGATGTACCATTCATTATCAGGATATGCATCATGCTCGAGACGTGAGTAAAGGGGAGCCAGCTTTCCAAAGACCATCTGCCCTTTGCTTAGGGTGGACATAGGCCCATCCCCACTGACCCCAGAAGTGTCCGAAGAGCAGGCCTGAATGGTGTGTGTGACCTTTCCACTGACCCCCCACATGGGAAGGGATTTTTAGTGCCCTGATGAGAAGGTTGTGGAAAAATTAGGACTGTTTAGCTGAAGCCCAGAAAGAATATCCTCCACAAACTGGTTTTGTTGATGTGTTACAAAAGGAGACGATGTTGAAAGTAAATCCTGTAGTTAAAAAAAGTTAAAGGCAAGAAATGCAAAAATGCATGTTTCAGTCAGAGTGATTTAATTTAAATGTCTAAGCTCTGCCTCTCAGGAAGCGAAAGACCCATTAGCTCCCTCTGCTGGACCCATTCTGCATCAACCTCGCTTCTTTTTTTTGGGTGAAAAAGTAAAAAAAAAAAAAATAAAAAATATATATATATATATATATATATAATTACAAACATAATAGTTAAGCTAAATCAACATTAGATAAAGTTCTGAATAAATGTTTAGAGACAATCATCAAATCTGTTGCTAATGTAAAAAAGTGGCATGCAGGTTTAAAAAAGTGTATTTAAATAACTTTATTTAGTGTATAGTTTGTGTATTTAAACTTTCAGTGCATGCACCAGAATCACAAGTGTTTCTATAAAAATAAACCCCAAACACAACTTACTAGAGCTTCCCTACATCCTCATGAAAAGACAGGTTAGGAAATAATTATGTCTGGTAGTCTCACCAAACAGAGCAGCTTCCTGCTCTTCTGCCCTACTGGTGCAAATTGGATTTACAACCGTCATAAACAACACTGCTGCAGCTAGTGCTAACAACAAGCTAACACCAACATGAGTCAACTAATACTAAAATAAACCCCTACGTAAAAAGTTCCAAACTGTTGGACAAAAATATTTAAAAGTCAAGTAGCAACAAAGCCAGGTCACCATCAGTCCGTGGTTTTGTAGCCTCATTTGGCTTCCTCAAATTAGTGTAGGCCGTGCTGCTGTTCACTCTGGTTTTAGCTCTTTAATTCACATTACTCTCATACTTTTACTCCCTGGCTCTACCATAATGCAAACAGAAAAAGCAAACTTCTTTTACTTCTTGTGCTTTTTAATGATGATAGGCAAACAGAAAATGTTAACCGCTAGCATTACAGCTAAAAGCTGTAAAGCAGGTAAAAAGTGCCTCCTAGGACACCTACCCCCTCCCCAAAACTATCCAGTGCAGTTTTTGTTACACAATAACATCAGTGTTATGCAATATTGTGTTCAATACTTGTGCAATACCGAACATACATAAGTTTGTCTGCATCCCTGTTGCTGCATAGTTCTAGAAACACAAGTTTCCTTTTTATTCATTGTTTTTAGTGGTTGAAGGTTACAGTAATAGCCTCAGCGTGTTTACCTGCAATCTTATTTTTCTGTGGCAAGTGAATTTCCCCACTGTTCTATTTTAATCAGCAGAGTGGTGTCAAATATGAAACTGCTCAAATTTCTAAGTCAACAATCACTGAGATCAATGTTTAAGTTTAAAAAACTATCTTGTGTTATTTTAAGTCATTACAGCTAGGGATGTAAGAAAATATCGATATGGCAATATATCGTGATTTTTTCCAGCAATATTATATCGATATTCAGAAGCCGTTATCGGAAATATCGATATGGCAATATATCGTGATTTTTTTCCCTGCGATTATTACATCGATATTCAAAAGCCGTGTATCTAATCTTTGAAAGAATTTACATGCAAACATTTGTGTATTTACTTTTCGTTTTGTGCAATTCAATCGCCACCCGCTAGTTGGCAGCAGTGTGCAACGGGTTTTGTTTCCACCATTTAAAATGTAAATCCCTCCTTCATGGGTCAGATACCTCATGTTAAACATGTTACGTATCAGTTTGGACAGTTTATTGAACATTCTTACAATAAATTCATTAAAAAAATTGCTTGTAACGTCTGACTGAATGTATTGCAATACATCGTGAAATATCGTATCATCTCCTCTGTATCGTGATATGTATCGTAACGTCAGAATTTCAACAATACACATCCCTGATTACAGCTATGTTTTATAGTGTTTTATAATGTCTGTCATCTGTGATGAGAATCAATTAACTAATGCACACCAGAAAGAAACATCAAACATGCGGACATCACACCGTTGTTCTAATAATCATTTATTTTGGAAATATATTTTAATTCAGTCTGCTTTACCATAAGTCTTACATTTAAGAATGAATCAGTTTTGTCACTTGTATATTTAATTACCGTAACGCACTTTGTGGTGGTGCAATAACAAAACCTGTCCCATCAGGAAGCATTGGAGAGAAACATTACGTCTGTTATACGTTCATTTTATAAATTGTAACAATTAGTACAGTTAAATTCTACAACAAATTACAAACGAAGGCCTAGGTATTTCACTTTTTTAAAAAAGGTGCTTATTTTAAGCCAGGCTCACATGTAAACATTAAAACACGTGCACTTATAGCATAAGATGATATTTTCATAGAGTGGTTTATGCTGTCGGCAGGTGACAGATTGGCAAAGATTTAGTTTAGAAGTAAGACTTGTTAAAATATGAACAAAGTGCTTCTTTTTAAAAAGGCATGAGTAGAAAAGAGCGATGTCAGAAACCCTGTTAGCTTCCTCCCTCGCAGATCTGTAAACATGGCAGATAGTGTAAACACGTTTCAGTGCTCAGAAAGTGTTAAAACCACTGCTAAAGTACAGCTGCTTACAAAAGTTCCCATTTTGAGAATTATACTCTGTACACATGTTGAAAAAAAAGGAAAACAAAAGTGCACTCTTAAAAAACAGAGCACAGTGCTGCAATTAGACACCTTAATGACTTCAAGATAAAACAAACTAACAGACAAAAGGCAGTAAAACTATTTAAATGTATAAGGCCAGCTTGTGTGATCATGCTCATGCAATGCTGCTACCCAGAAAGAGAAATAAGCTTTATTTTTTCATTCATATGATACAGTTTAACTAGCTAGACTAATCTGAGAGTTTTACCAACCAATACTTTATAAATCTGTAGAAGTTATATTTTCTTATACAACATGTATTTCTGTAATATCAGAGAAAGTGACAAATCAAGTGATATTCGTCTATTTTACATCAGTATGTACAGTGTGCACAGTGTTGCAGCACATTCTAACACTGCATGCAGTTATTTATTATCAGTGGTCAACAACACAAAACACAAATTAGATACAGGATAATGAATTTACCTTTTACTGGTCCTGATGGTGCTGATACTGGTGCAGCACTACTTTAATGATTTATTCATACACAGACACATGGAGTTTAACAGAAGTCGCTCAAATCTGTATGCAACTTGTAGATTTTCTGCAATAAATGCTTTTGAGGTCCATAGATTTTGACTCTTCTGCATCTATTTAAAAGAAAGGAATGATCAAATACAGAAAACGCATCTGAGCCATTTTAAAATACACCACTGTCATTGAGATTTTCAAAATAAAATTGTGGAAAACTCACTATCAAAGACATTTTTCACTGATAAATATCTTCCAGAATGACCAGAATTTAGCTCAACTGTGTTTATGGATGTATGTTAGGGCTGTTGCCTTGCAGCAAGAAGGTCCAGGGTTTCTGCATGTTTCTCCCTGTGCATGCATGGGTTCTCCCCGGGTACTTCTGCTTCCTCCCAGAGTCCAAAAATATGACTGTCAGGTTAATTGGTCTGTCTAAAATTATCCTTAGGTGTGAGTGTTTGTGTGTGCTTGATTGATTGTCCCACGTGTCTCTTGTGTTGCTCTGCGATAGACTGGCAACCTGTCCAGGGTGTACGCCGCCTGCTTGCCCATTGACTGCTGGAGACAGGCACCAGCCCCTGTGACCCTACATGGAATAGCAGGCTCAGATCATGGATGTGTATATGTAATGTTGTGAAAATTTCTGTTTGCTTTTATAGTCAAAATTATTGTTATATCAACCTTGACAACCTTGTTGGAGGGTCTTAGTTGAACCCATAGCCCCTTTTGTCAGTTTGTTTATTGTTGTTAATGTTATTTTTATTAATATTATTAATAATTATTATTGTTATTATTTTATGATGATGTTGATGTTGAGTGATTCTGATTCAGATCAGATTATTTAAGGTCGAATGTTTACGACATCTAAATCAGTTTGATTCACAGTATCGCTTTGCATTATTTCACAGAATAAAGTTATTTTTATACTATTTCAAAGCATTTTAGCAGAACGAGTACATACATACACCTTTGAGCGACTAACAATCTAGAATCAGATAAAATGAAAACCTGATGAAAACCTGATTTTAGAAGACGTGGAGTGACAAAAAATACCTCAGTTACTCCAGATTTTTGCATCCTGTTTTTAACGTGAGCACCAACAGAGAAAAGAAGTAAGGGTTCCTTCATCTGTCACACAGCTGGTGGGTTAAAATCCCCTTCAGATGCACAGCTTGTTTTTTCCACCAGGCCATGCTGCCTGGCTTTTTTTCTGACCACAGTAATGTTGTTTCCTTGCGTGCACACTAATCCACCCCATCGAAGCCTTGTGTATTCTCAATGGCGACATTAAGCTTCTCCTTCAGTTCCTCAAATGACTCGTAAGGAGGAAGGTCCAGACGGTTGAAGCTTTAGGAGGGAAAAACAAAGAAAACAGGGTTAGAATTAAACAGGAATCATACAAATCTGTAGTTAAATGAGATTCCACCAAAAATGATCAATAGGAAAACATACTAAAAATGTATTACAATCAGACGTGTTTTATTATTTTCTTATTTCCCAAATAATCTGGCCTAGAGTTGATTTCAAGTGTGAATTAATTTAAAAGCTGTTTCCTTGAAATCATAACAAAGATGTAATGTTTTTAATGAGCCAAGTGGAACAAGATGAGGCTGTAAAACAAGACAAATTCATCAGAAATAGCATGACATTCTCCAAAGCCTCCATCTTCACTAAATCCCATCAAATGCAGCAGAAAGGGCAGTATTTCCTAATCAAATTTACTTTCTGAATACAAAACCAAACCTAGAAGATCCAAACCTATGTATGTTCAGAAACTTGTCTTTGGATGATGTGCAATCAAAAACAAACATCAAATACACTCAAACTAAAAACACATTTTTGTGCAGACTGTTTATCAGCTACCTGACAGATAACTAAAACAGCAGAGCAGCCAATAATGTAAAAAAAAAAAAAGTATTTAACTTAGCTTATTTAAACGTCAGCGCCCACTTTCACAGACGTTAATACCATTGCAAAACAGAACCACAGAGAAGCACTCACCATGTGTGGGCTCTAGGAAGTTTATCACGTGTACCCCATTGCTCAATGGTAAACAGCTGTGGCCCGTTAGACCCTGGATATAAAAGCATCAGGAAACATTTGAACTCAAAATGGTTGTGCAAAAACTATTTAGCACAAGCAGGAGGTAAAGATTGTTGGTTCATTCCATTTGAAGTCAGAACTTCTAAGGGTCAAGTCAGAAAAGACCCAAATCCAACCATGGCTCTGGCTTACATTTAAAAGTTTGCATTTTTGTCTGAATCTCATCAAACTAGTATAACACAAGAGTGAAAGGAGACGTGATTTTGATCCAGGAGCTCTGGCTACTTACAGACCTAAACATCAGATATTTGTGTTAGATCTAAAAGCAAATGAAGGGTAGATGAGCAGCACTTGTGAGAGCATTTACACAAATTTTCAGTTTGAAGGGTTTCAGTCATGATGTAGAGCTCATCAACCAACACTAGTGATATTCTCATGGCCTCAGACTCCAGACGGGTAGCTGATCTCAGAGCCGAGTTTATCTTCCACAGAAACGATGACAGGTCCGACCCTTTGTTGTTTGTCTTATTTGAAAAGACCTTAACTTAAAAATGACTTGTTCAGCAGAATGTGTGATGTTAGTCTGAGTACAGTTGTATTATCACACACAGAAAATATCAAAACAAACCCAGGAACCAGGTTTATGACTACGTAGGTTTTCTTACCATAAAGTTCAGCAAAGCCGTTCATCGGGACCCGGGACGTTCCCGTCACAAACTGCAAAAGCCGAATTCGCTTCTCTGCATCCATCAGCAGTACGGTCTAAAACAACAATAATAAGACCTGAAAAATGACTGAAGCCAAGGCTCATCTTCAACCAGGTGTGGAAGTTTGTCTTACTTTCCAAAACCAGTGGATCACGATGTGTTCGGCGCAGTAGCCATTCTTGTACTTGGTATTCTGCCTCCAGTCTTTCACATCTACGTCTCCTAGGCCACACATGAGCAGCTGTGGGGTAAAGCAGATGAGGAATTTGCCATTTTTTATCTGAATGTTACAAATTCACAATGAAATAAACGAAAAGTCACCTCAAGCTCATTCTCATCAAAGATCTTGATCAGATCTTGTGGTATCAGCTCGAAGAATCCCTAAAAACACAAACAGTTAACAGATTTCCCTATGTTCCCATTTTTTGTTGCTTTATTGTGTTTCTCTGGTTGTAAAATACAGGGTATCTGCAGGTTTAAGGGAGCCAAATTTAAGACTTTTTAAGACCTTTTTAAGGCCACTTTGACCAAATTTAAGCTATTTTTTAAAATTAAATTTAAGCTATAATTTCCAGCTATTGCCTGGAACCGGTGCTAACCACGTTGCGAACGTGGGATTAGCCATCCAGTTACCATAAAAGTTGCACGTCCCCATGACGCAATCTCGCACTAGCTTAAACAGCTAATGTGTTCATCTAAAAAAGCCCCCTTTCATTACCAACTGAACGTGTATGGTTCCGCTTACGCTAACATCGTACACAAAAAATGCTGAACACTAACTAGAAATTCATGAAAATTGAAATAAAAATAATCTTGTTTATTGGGTCTTTGGTCATTTAAGACCTTTGGAAACTGTATTTAAGGATTATTATTAATTTTGAAGGATTTTTAAGGCCTTAAATTTGGAAAAGCAAATTTAAGACTTTTTAAGACTTTTTAAGGACCCGCGGATACCCTGAAAATAAAAAAATTACCTCCTTAAAAGCCATCATCTGCTTCTGTATTCTGTTCACAAACCTCCACTGTATCACCAGGCTGTCAGCAGATTAGAATACAACCATAATTTAGCACATTAAACATTATAAAATGTTACTTTTGGCTCAGCGGCCCTGTTCCTTACTTAATATATTCCTTCTTGTTTATGTTGGTCACGACAATCTCAGAGCCGTCTGGTTTCAGGTCATGCTGATGGGTCTGAACAGAGGATGTGTGATAAGTAGTATAGTAGAGTACATCACAAATCAAATGTTGGGAGAAAAACTTCGTACCTCTCCAAACAGCTCTTCATCGATGGTGAACCTCAGGTCCAAGTCCTCTGGGTCGTTCACCAAAATCCACTTCAGGGAGTTTAAATACTCGCTGTCCTAAAGGGAAAAACACATTTATCTTAATCGATATGTTCCAGATCCTCTGCAGTTTTAGGATCCATAAGTCATCCCAGTGACACTCACAACAGACTCCATGTCCTGCAGGGTGATCGGCTTCTGCAGCATCATCTTGTAGAAAGGTCGAATGAAGAAAGCTTTGAAGAACACAAAGATGTCAGGATCTACAAAAACCACTTTCACACAGTCTTTGCTGGAAATGGCTTTAACTTATTTCATTTCCCCTAAACTGCGTGCAGGTGGGTCGGACTCACCATCGAGGAGTTTGCCATGAAACACAGCCATGCCCGCCACACGACCGATGAACTTGAAGTAGGACAGATGGTCCTCATTACATAACCCTGAGTTGGGGTTAATCTGAAGAGTGTAGTTGTCTCTGAAAGACAAATAAGATCATGAATATGAGTAATCTTATGCATCGTGCATTTCTCGGTATCATCTTAAGTTTCTTAATTCCTGCTGAAGTCTTACTGCAGTTCCATTCAGACCAGTAAAGGAGCCAGAAACATGTAAAGCCTGAAAAAGCATTGAGAGTTTGGACTCACGTGGCAGAATATTCAAACAGCCCATAGTACGGGTTGAACATCTCCTTAGAAATGAGAAAGAACCACTCTCTGGCCACTCCGCCATAGTCCAGCCCTTTCTCTCCATCAAACTCCACCCACAGACGAGCCTTCAGCAGGTCTGTCTTTTTAACCGCCAGGATACGTCTGTACGAGTCCTCCAGCACCGCGTTTCGTCTCAGCTTCATCTCAAAACGGTTCGGGATGTCAACCTTCATCAGAAACACGCAACATTAAGTTTTCCTCTGCATGATCTAAAGCAGTAATCTCAGCCCCGTCTGCTTCCAGACGAGACTCACCGGCTTCTTCAGCTTCTTTTTGAAGTAGTCGTACTTCTGTTTGTAATCTCGAGAGTACGGCACTGCCTACAGTCAATGCAAATGTTGTGTTAGGTGATAGGAAACCAATGTGAAAACAACATTTGGTTTTATTCTAGGGTTTTATACAACTGTTCACACTCACTGGTCCAGTTATGGCTGAGTTCTGTAATCTGGGATCATCCCACTGTGTGTTTCTGGTGTCTGAGGATTAAAATATTAAACTACATTACCTGATAAGAAAACATATTAAATACTGCAAGAATAAAATGTATAATTTATTATTTAAATGATCATTGTTGACCTATACATACTGTGATCTATGTAGAATACTCTCCCATCAGAGTGGACACGTTCTTCCCAACCAGGCTAGAAAGGAGAAAATCACATGATTTCTACTGAATTTTTAATCTCCTGATTTTAAATGCACATTTACTGATTGTTTTGTTTTTTGTCGTCTGTAGTAAGTGAACTTACTGGCAGAGGGCCAAGATCATTGGGGTCCAGCGAGAGCCCCTTCCTCATGTTCACAGGAACCTTAAACCTGGGATCATCCTGTTCACATAAACAAAAGCTCAGCTCACTCATTTATTCATCAGCTCTGGTGAACAAATGAATGAATGATCTGACTTCTTGGAATTAACTGATAAAACTAAATGTCTATCTGCTGTTTTGTTACAAAAATGAAAATCGTTTTCTTTCGCCAGATCAACTTGTCTTTGAGATTTCCTTTTTATTTACATTTTAAATGTAGCCTTCAGTGGCTGTGCGTGCACCTCAAAAGTCCTAATCTGGTAAATCCTCACCCAGGTAGTTTTCTTTGTGTTATGATCAATAAAAAAGGGCCTTCCATTTGGAGCGCTGCGAACTTCCCAGCCTACTGGTAAGGAGCCGGATTCAGGTGTAGCCTCCCGGTTTGGCGAGCGCTGTGGAGACAGATCAGGCCTAACAGGCGTCTGGGGCGGTGACAGGCTCTGAAGTATGCCTGCTCCAGTCTGTGAAGCAGCTGACGGTGCCTCTGACGTTGTCTGTCCAACAGAAGACACACAAAGTTTTAGACTATCAACATATATTAAAGAAAATAATTATTTAGACATTTTACTATGTAAATGATAATGATAAATGACCCGCACTTGTATAGCGCCTCTCAGAGTAAGGACTCCAAAGCGCTTTACACTACAGTGTATCATTCATCCACTCAAACACACATTCACACACTGATGGTGATGAGCTACAATGTAGCCACAGCTGCCCTGGGGCGCACTGACAGAGGCGAGGCTGCCGAGCACAGGCGCCACCAGTCCCTCCGACCACCACCAGCAGGCAACGTGGGTTAAGTGTCTTGCCCAAGGACACAACAGCAGAATTCTCTGTCTGGAGCCGGGATCGAATCTGCAACCTTCCGATTACTGGACAATCCGCTCAACCTGTTTAGCTACTGCTGCCCCGTAAGTCAGGAGTGGGGAACCCTGGTCCTCGATGGCCGGTATCATGCATGTCTTTGCTCCAACACTTCTGATTCAGTGGTTGATTCACCTGTTCTGCAGCTCATCAGGCTCTGCAGAAGCTTGTTAATCACCTGCTCATTGAAATCAGGCGTGATGATGCAAGGCTGATACTAAAATATGCCGATGGACCAGGGTTCCCCACCCCTGATGTAAGTGAACAACACAAATGGTGATGCTAATGGTAAGCATAGAAATGCAATAGCTACTGATGCTATCAATAAACTATGTTATTGTTGCACCACCAGTAAGCCCAGTTCAACTCTGGTATGTATAAAATGCGGTATACCTGGTGGATAGGTGCTATCCATGTGGTTGTTCGGGTGTTGTGATTGACATAGTAGCGTCTTCCTTTGCTGTCCTTCTTCTCCTCCCAGCCTTGAGGCAAGTTGGATGAGGTTGGAAGGAACTGGTGAAAGACACAAACATAAACTTGAAGTGATGTGTGCTCCTACTCCAGCTTAAAAGTGTTTCCAAAATCCATCAGAGAAATAAAGACAAAGCAGCTTTGAAAATGAAAGGATATACCAGAATTTCTTTCCACAACAAAGACAAGTTTAGTGAACTGCTAAAATACTCACTACAGAGTTGGCAGGGTGCTCCTCCCTAGCTGCAGCCTGGGCACTTTCTCGGAGACTGGAATGGTTTGAATGACTCTGAACAGGAAGACATTATCTACCTAGCTCAATATTTAAATGGAAATTGACGGCTCAATTGATCTGTTTATCACTGTGATCACCAGTAACCCAACACCTCTATGAAAATGACTCACCATCTGGGAGGAGCATCGTTCTCGAGTTGAAGGCCGTGGAGCGTGAGCGTTACTGACAAACCTAAACTCCACAGGGTCGCGGGGCGATGGTGACCTGAGCTGATCGTTTCTGTAATTTGAGGTGGAATCATCCTCTGTGATGATCTCCCAGCTCTGTGAAAAGTGAAAAGAGAATTAAATGACTTTTCCCCGTATAGAAGTGTCTATTTAAGCTCTTAGGTATGATTAAATCAGGTTTTAATGCTTCTCAATTCCTATTTTTATTTATTTTTTCTTATGTGTTTAAAAAAATACCTCTGGCAACTCCTGTGTGGTGTTGTCGTCGTGGTCTGAGATCTGCCTGCGTGATAGGAACGCCTGCTCTGCATCCACATTATTGATCGGTCTTCTCACAACTTCCACATCCCCGTTCCTGTTTCATGAAAACACACACATTTACACTCTCATTCATCACGTCATCTAAGACAAAGTCGTGGCACTGATAAGATTATGCGATGGATCCTACTGTATTGTGGGTCGCTTCCACTGAGTGCTTCTTCTTTCATGATTTACAAAGTAGATTCTTCCCAGGTTGTCCTGCCGCTCCTCCCAGCCAGGGGGCAGCGGTGGCAGCAGCTGGCTTTGTCTGGGTCCTGCCATGTCATGGGCTTCCAGCAGCTCCCAACCAGGCTAAACAACACAACAAAAGTTTGAAAAACTGGGATTGCTGGGAACGTGTTGTAGAAACGTTTCCTCATCAGAGCAACTGGTGACAGGGTTATTTAGCAAATTTGCCACAGCGGGGTGTGATACATGAAATAGAAGTGCTTACATCTAAATCCTCAGTCTGATCTGCTGCTTCTTCCTCTGAGCCTGAGTTTTTTGGCAAGTAGGTCATTTTGAGACGTAGATGACCTTTAACCCTGGACTTGTGGCTGTGCAGAAGAAAAAAAAATGTGACCAAAATATTACAAAACAAATTATTAACAGAACGGACGAGTCAGTTCCTCTGCTAAATAAACGCCCTAGATATGGAAAGCCAGGCATGAAAATAAAACAAAAATAACATGAAAAATGAGATGCAAACCTTCGTGGGTGGAGCAGAAAATCCTTAAATGTGTACGGTCTTTCTGCATTTGGATTTTCTGTCTGAAACAAAAACAAAACAAAAAGATATACTTTCAAATGAAATAACCGCACCACTAAACCCATTTCTAGGCTCGTGACACAGATATTTTTAATAACATCATTCTATAAAATGATTGTGATGAGGGCCAATTTCGTATGAACTGTATTTATAATTAAACAGAAACGGAGACGTAACAAAAACACAACAGTTTCCAAAACTGTGGACAACGATGTGGAACAGAATACGGGTGAACACGTTTATGTTTACATGGAGACACAGCTGAGAATGAGGCCGAGAGTTCGTACAGAGAAAACAACCTACATTTTTCTTTGGAAAATCCTCTGAAGTGACATCCCATGACTATGTTATGACGGACTCTGACTACTTTATAGAAATAGGTGTTAGACAATTCTGGCGTTTCTATAGTTTATTATTAATTCCATATCCTGTACATTTATAGGGGCAGCAGTAACTCAGGAGGTAGAGTGGATTGTCTAGTAATCAGAAGGTTGCAGGTTCAATCCCAGCTCCCACCAGAGAATTCTGCAGTCGTGTCCTTGGGCAAGACACTTAACCTGCCTTGCCTGCTGGTGGTGGTCGGAGGGACCGGTGGCGCCTGTATTCGGCAGCTGTCGCCTCTGTCAGTGCGCCCCAGGGCAGCTGTGGCTACATCGTAGCTCATCCTCACCAGCGTGTGAATGTATGAATGACTGATTGTGCTGTAAAGCACCTTGGGCAGTTGCAGAACTCTATGAAGGCGCTATACAAATACAGGTCATTTACCACTTACAGTACTTATTTCTTATGTTCATGGTGTCTTTTGCCAAACAAATGTCTCTTACCAAGATCTTTCCAAACAGCAAGTTTCAAACATTTAATTTGAAATAAAAACAAACATCAACACATAAACATTAAAAAATCTGATGTGTAAACAGAAAAACGAGGACTCACTGGGATCTGATTTAAAGGGACATCCACCTGCCCGAGGAAATCATCACGTGTCTGGCAGGAAGAGAGAGAATAAGAATGTCAAATCACCTGTTCTCCATGTGTTCTCTTACACCACCACCTTATGAGTTACAGCCGTGTTTCCGTGCCTTCAGCTTTAAAACAGCGCAAACACAAAAGTACTTCTCCTGTTCAAAGGATGAGTCCTTGGACTTGACCCATTTCAGTGTATATTCTGAGTGCAGAGAGAGGAATGTGTTTATCAGCTCCCAGTGAATGGGTGCTCTGTGTCATTGCTAGAGACACTGGTATAAAACTAACATAGCCTTTGTCAGGACTTCAGCCTCTGCTTTTAACACTGCACGCATTTTCTGCACGTTCTTTTTGTCGTCTTTAATGCAGACGTTCAAAGGCGAGCATGGGGAGTCTGCTTTGTGTCCAAATCAACAACCATGACAGGTCAAACTGTGGCGCTGGTGTTTATGTGCACAAATATAGATGGAGGGCCTTCTTCGTCCTGACCTTTAACTTCAATAGTGCTGCCAAAGCGTCTTTGAGAGTCCTAAACAAGCGCTATATAAGTTCGATGATTATTACTATTATTATTATTATTATAAAGAGGTGGTAGCTTAAAGGAAAACCACGTATAATCCTGGCAGACCACTGAATGACAATGTTTAAAACAATGTAACTACATAGACATGTTTAATCTTCTGATTATTTATTATTTCAAAAACTTTAGTCTTTTTTTCAATTAAATTCTTAGAAGAACTAACGTTCCATTTGCAGCCTGCAGCTGCATGTTTTGCACAGTGATTTGGTGATATGGAAAATGTAGAAACACAAATATTGAATAATATATCTACAATGAGAGTCATTAATAGGTTTTATTTATTGACAATACACCTGTCTACTAGGTAGGTACACCGAGTTCTGTTTAGACATAACTAAAGAGTATTAGATTGTGGTGTTTATGGTAATTACAAGTTATAGCAGCATTTGGAACATTGTATTTATTTTCTAGTTCAGAAATATATTGACAGAAAATGTCTAAATACATATGTCAACTATCATCGAGGTTTTATGTCCCAAACCTAAATTGGCTAAATAAAAAGTAGAAAATTATAACCATCACTGAAAAATTGGGATGTAATAAAATATCAGTACATTGAAATATCACAATATTTTGTGTTATGATACTGAACAGATTTTTAAAAGCAGTTTAGCAACTTTTATGGAGAATTTACATGCAAACGTTTCCCATGTAATTTTGGGGTGCGCTTCAAACTCCACCTGCTAGGTGGCAGCAATTTTTACCACCTTCATTCTGACAGAGCAGTAATGTTTCGCCATAACACTGAATGTGTATTGGAAGTGTCTGACCTGAGTTTTCCAAATAAATTCCTGTTTTAAAATTGCAAACATCATCTGGGTTTAAGTATTGCAATACATCGTATCGTCTCTCCTGTAATTTATATCATATCGCCAGATTCTCGCCAATACACACCCTCATTCAAAAGCAACAGAAAGCTGTTCTGATTACATTCATTCTCATTTATTATGTTTCAGTCCTGACTGTAGAGGTCTCCTTATGTAAAAGCATGATTAGCTGAGCAATAAAATACTGCAGATAACATATTAATGGCACTTGATATATGAACCAAACCAAGCACCGTCTTAGTACATCAGACCTTCTGTTTTAGCTTGTTCATCTGATCTCAGCCCGATGTCCTTTTATTGTAACTTTTGAGTGTGAGTGAGTCACGGGTCAGATAAAGGGATCACGGTTTTATTCTATGGGGAGGGGTGGGAAGTTAGCTGTTGTGGGGTCAGTTTTATTCTTGTGAAGCGCTTTGAGCTGCACTCGCTGTTTGAAAAGCACATTATAAATGCATTTTTGATTGACCGATTAAAGATTTAAGTAAAAGTTGCGTCTTTTCTCTTCATTAAAGTTTGACAAACTAAGAAACTTAATGCCAACATATATGGTAGTTGTTGTAATGGCATGTTGTAACCTAAATACTCAGTAAGATGAGTGTTTTTCTCTTAAAACTGTCATCTCTTCTATCAATAACAACCAACTTCTGCATCTCTTCATAGTTTTTAAACAGTTATAAAGAAGATCTCATTTCCTCGAAGCTTCTGGGTGGTTGGTAAACATGCTGGTAAGTTGGTAAACATGCTCTGGACAAATAAAGCCTGCCCTAGTTAAAACGATAATGATGAATGTACACTGAGAGCATCCCTGAAGGTTCAAGTGACACTAAGGCTACTTATTTTAGCATGTGGCATTAAGGACTGATCGTACTGTATGAGCAGACAGCTAAGGAGATGTTTGGGGCATCTGTGGTTCACGCCCAGAGCTATTTGTTTTACATATGCAACGACAAACTTCTTCTGACAGGTGGACAGCAGCCTGTGAAAAAACTTTTAAAGCAATGTCTGGTTAAACAGTGCTGGAGATGACAATCTCTCTGTGTGGTGAGGACTTGTCATGATGTCCAGCATACTCGGGCATCACCCAATGCTCAATGAGAATGTGTTGTACAAACACAACATATTTATTTTCATTTCAAAAGTAAGAACTGCTGACTGAAATCCCATCTCTTGAATTTAAGCATGACATTAGGCCTGTAGGGGGACAGGACACGTTGCAGATCTTATCATAATAGGGGTGTGAAATCCCCATCACATGTTATTACTGAAGGAAACTGGAGGGGCTTTGACTTTTGGTAACCACATGACTAATGCAGACAAATCATCTTTAAAGACAGATGCATCTTCAGGAAGTACTTTCAATTCATTGTACAATTAACTAACTGACTTTGTACATTTATACACCATGAGGTCAGCCAATCAGTCTATGTAAAAATACCCCCACACACACTTTAGTTACAACAAAACACAGCAATGAGAGCTGATTCACATTTTCCTTCACTAATGTGTACTGTGGTCACATCTGGTTGTTGATTAACTTGTGTGACGAGGAATATGTGGTTATGAAAGCAAAACAGATAAGAACAGCAGAGCCGAAGGTTTCATTAAACTCAACAGCCAGGTGCGTTATCACAAACAAATGAAGTTGTATATAAGTTTAAATTTGAAACTACAAAGGAAAGGCAGCTTTATTTGAAAAGCACCTTACAACAGTATAAAACCGACCAAAGTGCTTCACAGAAATTAAAAACATTAAAAACTACACACAACATAAAATGTATAAAAACTAAAAGTTAAGAACTAACAGTAGAAAGACTGTCATGCTGAATTAAAAGCCAAATCATAAAAATAGGTTTTAAAATGATATTTAAAACCAGACAGTAAAGAAGCCGACCTAATGCTCAAAGGCAGAGCATTTTAGAGCCTAGGGGCTGCTACTACAACTAACAGCTATGCAGTGCTTTTGTTTTAAAAGTGATTATTAAGAAAATTGTCATTAATAATCGGTTATCAAAACTCTGTGTGCTTTGTCTTGATAACATAAAAAAAGATGACTATTAGCTTTTTTTCCCACCACAGATATGCAAGTTCTTTAAGTATCTTCTTTTTACTTACTATCACAGATCTCCTGTTTATTTCAACTGTTTACTTTTGTTCTATGCTATTCAGAGAGTTGATGAGATGGAAAATTACATAGATAGTACTGAAAAAGTATGGATTAATCAGGCATGGCTTCATCTTTTGTGAGGGAAAGATGGGGAGTGAGATTGATAGGCGAATTGGTGCTGCGACTGTAGTGATGTGGGTGTTGGAGGTAGGGCTGAACGATTAATTGCATTTGCAATTAAATTGCAATGTGACAAAAGGGGATATTCTAATCACAAAGGCTACGATTTGACTGGCAGTGAGTGGTTAGCACAATGCTAATATACACGGAAAAACACACAGCATGCTACTATCGCCGATTACATTCTTACAAATTACGAATTAGAAACGTACCAAATGATTACATTTGGAGTCTAATAAAATGTAAAAACTGCCATTAATCAAATAAGTACAGACAGATATATTAGTAAAGCTAGAAAACCGTAATAGACTTTAACTCCACAGAGTTTTGGCTAGCAGCTATGAATGTAACTGAACTACAGTAGCTCTGCATGGACAAGACGTCAAAAACTATAAGCACAAAAGACTTCAATAAACGGGACACATTTCTTCCCTGCAAATAAATTTTCACAGGTGATGCCAATACCTATGCGACTTCAAGGGATGTGCTCCTGGCTGCAAAGCATTGCACCTTCGAATACAAGATTTTGTCTTGGCTTGTGAGTGTTTATGGATGTGTAGACAAATAAACTTGTTGATATGATATGTAGATACATATGTAGATACATAAACTTGTTTATATTCAGTACAAGTTACATTTTTTTTCTGCTTCCGTTAGTTGAAAAATATGAGAAAAACCCCCTGAGAAAATAATCGTGAATTCAATCACAATTGCAGTATTGAAGAAAACATCGCAATTAAGATTGTTTTCCAAAATCGTTCAGCCCTAGTAAAAGGATATGAAAACAAACCTTTGCAGATTTAAAAAGTCTTAAGTGGACCCTCTTTGACAACCTGCTAAACGCAGGAAGAGACTGACACCTGATATTTCACAAACATTGCTTGGTGGGGGGACCCACAGGGATGGTAGCACGCCACCCGTTTACTTGGAAACGAGCACACACACACACACACACACATGTACGCAGATAGCCGACATGACTGTGCACCACTCTAGTATCATGCTGTTAAATTTGAATCCACAGGTTTTGGGCAGTGCTACAGACCAGCAGACTATCCGGAGTCAGGGGGAATATTTCAGAGGCACCTTATTTATATCGGCATGGGGCACTGCGCTTCCCAACTCTATAAATAGCCATGGTAAATACTTAACCTGATCACTTATAGTGCTAACAGAATAATAAAAGTGGAAAACTCTACTGAAATTGTGTTTTCACACTGATGAATGCTGGTATTCACAAGATGGAGAACCTGTCTTTCTAATTTACACATTTCTTGGTATCCAATATGCAGATGGATTTACTGTAATGTAACTGAACACCTCTGAATGTTTGTCCACACACAGCTTGTTAAATACATGACTTAAAGTTAAAGGGCTTCTCAGTTACTAGAAGTCTTGTAACCAGTCTAATGCTAAAGTCAAAGCAAAAACAGTTTAAGACTTTAGGGTGACATTATTCCAGTGTACTGGAACTTAGAAATTTTCATTGATGAAAACAACCAATCAGTTAAAAGCTGCAAGTTTACAACAAACAATTAATCAAGCGGTGTTTATTTATACTACTCATTAGAAACTCTCGATATGTCTGAACATTGATGCAGGAGAGGCTGAACCAATGACGGAGTGGAATCTACTCAAACTTGTTTGACAACAGTGGCAGCAGGTCTAGAGTGCTGACAAAAGGCTACTAGGTGATCAATATAAAGCCTCTAAAGAGTTAGAAATGTCATACTCACCTTGTCATTTTGAACTGAACCCTTTACTGCATTACTTTCTTTGTGATTCTTAACATCTGTAACAGAGCTTCGCAACCTTCCGGGGTAGCATGGGGATAAATGAATGTGCACATGTGGGGAGCGAGGGCTGCAGAGCTCGGGGTTAGAAACGTGGCATGAAATTCCAGTGTTAGGGTAGGGCACCTCGAGGGAAAAGCTCCTCTGTATGGCACGATGCTTTTCACCAAGCCCGATTTGATCTTTTCCAGACAAACCGCTTTTATCGTTTTTCTCTGATGGCTTGGATGAAGAAAACAAACAAGCAGAGGTACTGCGATACAGTTTTCTGTGATTGATGTTTTCCCTTTGAGATAGGTGAACTTGGTGGTGAGCTTCGTTGGCTGCAACCATTTCCACAACTCCCTTGGTAGATACTGTTGGTTTCTGGTGGGCAAAATGCAGCAGCACGCTGCTAGAGTGAAGATTAGGTCTGTCTGAGGCTGACGGAAGCTCCATCAACGCGCTATTGCCTTCTGATTTGCATTTTGTTCCATCCTGTAGAGGAATATTAAAGTGGACCATGTGTTTCATGTCCCTAAGTTCAGATGAGCAGCTTCGTTTTGATGTTTGGTGTCCACTTGCTACAGTGGAGCTCGCCCCTACTTTCTCTTGGGAGAAATCACTGAAAGACGTCTGAAGATGTGACTGATTAGTACCCTTTGGCAGTGGGTAAGCAAACGGAGTCACAGCACATCCTGGGGAAGCAGGTGGAGTGCTACATGGGCTCTTCGGAATAATAATCAGTGAGGAGCATCGTCGCAGCGGGACCTTGGACTTGCGACAAAGCAGAGTCCTCTCCTGGATTGTCCTGTGCTTTTCTGGAAGCTCTGGCTCAAAGATGCTGCTGCTGCTACAGTACCCCGCATCGCTGGCCATGCTGCTGTTGCATGAACCTCCGTCAGAGCCGGTACCTGCTCCAACTTCACAAGCCCCTGGTTCTCCATCTTCTAAACTGCAATCCAGTTTTCCACCGAGTTTCCCACAGGGCTGCAGCGCAATTTGCAAAACGCTCTTCTTATTACACCCTCCAGCGTGAACCCTGGGTATGAACACTGAAGAGCACTGACTGCTGGCAACGTCTGGTGACAGAGGAGTCACCTTCAAGTGAACAGAGCTGTGCGCCAGATTCTCCGCTGGGCCATGAGCCGACAGACTGACTCCACTCTCTTCACCTTGGCTGCTGAGGCTTTCCGACAGGGGGTCCGTGTTGCTTCTCCTTGACGCAAAATGCAAACGGAGCTGATGTGACATTTGTTCAACTCACTAATCCCTGTAGGGCTGGCGAGACGTACATGATCAAACTTGCTGGTGGAAAAAAAAAACGAGAGCAAACGCAACAGCTCCATGCGCTGTGATCACAATCATTAGTAGCTGCGCATTGCCAAAATAGCTCTGGTGACAAGCTACATTCCTCTCCAGGCTGATCTCAGCTTTTAGTCAGAGCAGGCCAGTGGTTCTGTTTGGAGACATGACCCAAACACATGACCTTTCAAACCGAACCATTAGCCCCTTTAAAATTCCTCGGCCCAATAAAGAAGAACAAAGCTACTCTAAAGATAATTGGAAAACCTTTTCCTCAGCTTTGCATTCTAATAAAAGCCTAGCGTAACTCGACTGTGCCTCCAAAAAAAAAAAACAGACAAATTAGCATTTTTCTTCTGAAAATAAAGAAAAACAAACAAAAGCATGACAGTCCAACGTGCTGCATTTTAGACTGAAGCTCTGGTAAAGTGTCACATCTGCGTTGGCCCATTCGCTCAGGACTCCTGCTGCTGCTATGCTACTAATGTTTCTGCTGCTCTGTGCCCCACAAATAGTTTTACCCATTGCTATTGAATTACAGGAAATCAAACGAGTGAATGTCAACAAAATTCTGCATCAAACCAAGGAGCAGGTTGCAAAAGCACATTTCAGACAGTAAATCACAGAGCTCATTAGGATAACACAAGAGCTCCTTTTAGTGTTTTAGCAGTGACTTTAAATATTTCCTGCAGGGAACAGGACAGCTGCTGCCTAATGAGAAAAACGTGAGGTTTTAAGAAAAAATAAATGTCATGAAACTGGTTATCTGATGCCTCATGTAACAGTCAATGCTGCTCTTATTACTTCTCCATAGATGTTGACAGTTTAATTTATTAACAGTGAGGCTGCCTGACCTATTTCAGGGCATTACTTTGCTTCCAAAGTATAATAATGGAAGTCACGGCCGGGATAAGGACATGACTCACTGCAGGACGCTGTGGAACTCCTAACCTATTTTTTAAACCAACAGAACCGTGTGACAGTAATGCAATGGCCATACAATATCAAATGCTTATATAGAATGACGTCATGTGGCAATAATACAGAGGCACGTCCCTTAAGAACTCCATGAGTTTGGTATCAAAGTGAACAAAAACAAAGGTGGTATTTAATCAACTTTTCAGAGAACCAGTCTGCTGTGTAGTTAGGGTTGTCACGGTAACCGGTATAGCGGTAAACCCCGGTAAAAAAGTTGACAATAAAAATAACCGTCCAGTTTTTAAAAAACTATATTATCTCGGTGGGTTTACCGTGGCCGCGGTTTCGGCGCGATGACCCTTACCAGCCACCGTCGCTTCAGCTGAAGTTCCCGCGGCGCGCACACGCACTTTTTAGTTTGCAACGGCACCAAAACTTTGAAGCTGAAATAATGGCCGAAGAAGGAGACGGCAGCGCCCAGGACATCCATCAGCCCTCAAAGAAGACTAAATCGGAAGTATGGGCATATTTGGGATTTCTGAAAAATGCTGAGGGACAGTTAATAGAAGACGGCTATCCCGTTTGCAGAACGTGCAGGAAACAAGTGTCTGCAAAAGGTAACACTTCGAATCTAATGGCACATCTGTGTGACGATCACTCACGTCTCTACAGCCAGTGCAAGGTAAGTTAACATTAGCATTTTAGCTTAAATGCATGACGCGAGGACTTTTGGTTGTGGGAGAATGCAACGAGTCACTATAGACTGCAGCCGCAGCGTCCTCTGCCAGCATTTGAACCGTGTCACGGACACCCTGTTGCTGGATGAAGCATCTTATTTGTTGATGATGAAGAGAAATATACAATTAGTTCCTTGTCATTGATTTGTTTACTTATTCAATGCCATTTATACTTGAACATTTGGATTTGATTACATAGTGTAGTAGTTATTTTAGTAATTTGTTTAAAGTGGCTATTTGTTTTAAATACATATTTTTTAAGGTTGACTTGTACAGTGCTCAAGTCAAGTGTGGACTGGAGTTTTAGATTTTCATTTTGATAATGAAGAAAACAAGTATATGAGAAAACAAGTGGTGTTTCTTTGATTTGTTTACATATTGTTTATGTTTTGAATGTTTGGATTTGTATAATTTAAACCTGCACTGACTACTGTAACATGTTCCAGAAAAATAAGCTATTTGTTCCTTTACTTGTGAAAAGTTGCACTTTTGCTAAGGCTTTGTGTTATTTTAGGTTTAATAAACACTGTTAAACATTTTCAAAACTATTTCAGTTTGTGTAGAACAGGACTATCAATGCTTTCTGAACATATGCAACACCGTTTAAAAAATACCGCGATAATACCGAAAACCGTGATAATTTTGGTCACAATAACCGTGAGGTTAAATTTTCATACCGTGACAACCCTATGTGTAGTCACTACAAGCTGAGTCAGAGAGGTGTGGTTCGAGTAAAGACTGGAAAAATCAATCAGCAGGTGCAGCAGGTGGATGAACTAGTTTCTTAAGCTGTGTTTATTTACTTTTAGGTATTTAACCAACCTCTCAGTCACTGTGTAACAGTTACTGTTTGTATGCAGCATCTAATCTGGAATAGGCTACATCTGTGGTTTAGTTCTTGAATGTTTTTAAAACAGTTCAAGTTTTTAATCCTCTACAGTACAGACTATTTTGAACAATTTAGGGGAAAATTCTACTAATTTAATAATAAACAACAGGTTAAAAGAGTGAGAAGGCAATTTGTAAAAGTCCAGTTTGTACATCAATGTTCTCAGTTTGGTTCCATTTCCGAGTGGCTGAAGGAGCTGCTTGATCTGTGTTGATCTTTGTTCTACAGCAAATCTTTTCCTTATTACTACTAGGGTTGTCACGGTATGAAAATTTAACCTCACGGTTATTGTGACCAAAATTATCACGGTTTTCGGTATTATCGCGGTATTTTTTAAACGGTGTTGCATATGTTCAGAAAGCATTGATAGTCCTGTTCTACACAAACTGAAATAGTTTTGAAAATGTTTAACAGTGTTTATTAAACCTAAAATAACACAAAGCCTTAGCAAAAGTGCAACTTTTCACAAGTAAAGGAACAAATAGCTTATTTTTCTGGAACATGTTACAGTAGTCAGTGCAGGTTTAAATTATACAAATCCAAACATTCAAAACATAAACAATATGTAAACAAATCAAAGAAACACCACTTGTTTTCTCATATACTTGTTTTCTTCATTATCAAAATGAAAATCTAAAACTCCAGTCCACACTTGACTTGAGCACTGTACAAGTCAACCTTAAAAAATATGTATTTAAAACAAATAGCCACTTTAAACAAATTACTAAAATAACTACTACACTATGTAATCAAATCCAAATGTTCAAGTATAAATGGCATTGAATAAGTAAACAAATCAATGACAAGGAACTAATTGTATATTTCTCTTCATCATCAACAAATAAGATGCTTCATCCAGCAACAGGGTGTCCGTGACACGGTTCAAATGCTGGCAGAGGACGCTGCGGCTGCAGTCTATAGTGACTCGTTGCATTCTCCCACAACCAAAAGTCCTCGCGTCATGCATTTAAGCTAAAATGCTAATGTTAACTTACCTTGCACTGGCTGTAGAGACGTGGGTGATCGTCACACAGATGTGCCATTAGATTCGAAGTGTTACCTTTTGCAGACACTTGTTTCCTGCACGTTCTGCAAACGGGATAGCCGTCTTCTATTAACTGTCCCTCAGCATTTTTCAGAAATCCCAAATATGCCCATACTTCCGATTTAGTCTTCTTTGAGGGCTGATGGATGTCCTGGGCGCTGCCGTCTCCTTCTTCGGCCATTATTTCAGCTTCAAAGTTTTGGTGCCGTTGCAAACTAAAAAGTGCGTGTGCGCGCCGCGGGAACTTCAGCTGAAGCGACGGTGGCTGGTAAGGGTCATCGCGCCGAAACCGCGGCCACGGTAAACCCACCGAGATAATATAGTTTTTTAAAAACTGGACGGTTATTTTTATTGTCAACTTTTTTACCGGGGTTTACCGCTATACCGGTTACCGTGACAACCCTAATTACTACTATGTAAAGATTTTTAGTATATTTTTCCTTGAAAGTGTTTAATCTACCCTTTTTGTTCTGAATAATAGTGTAGACCACATTTGGTGATTTGTTGAATATTTGGTAATTTTCCTATTCATTTATTGTTCTGAAACTGTGGTTTTGTTCATTTAAATCTTGCAACAATTCAGATAGCAAAGGTAAAAAATTATTCACATATTTCAAATTTAGTCAATAAAAATGCTGCTATTTCTTTTGGATCTATTTTCATCATCTGCAACAAGTCTGCAATTTTATTTCTTCTGTACACGCGGCTGTGATGAAATCAAGAATCTGTAACCCTGATAATCTCTGGAAGCTGTTGATGAAAAGTGAATGCCCTTCGATCATGCTGTCTGGGAAGTGAGACTCTGAGACAGACAACCTTGCATCAATGGGAACAAAAACAATCTCTCCTTGAGAGTTTATGCATAGATTTGTTAAATATTTGTCCACGTTTGTGAGTGTGAGACTGTCTCCTAGCCTGGCAAGCTGTCTAATATATGTGAATATATAATCTGGCCATGACCCATAGAAAGATCTCAGTCGTGGAGCGAAATCTATAGTTGTCTTTCAAACAGTCTCCACATGCTATTGGACAACGAACAACATGATGTACTCACCGCTACAGATGTCAGTCAATGGGGCAGTCTGCCATACACAGTCAAAGCAAACGCAAGTACGTCCTTTTTCTAAATAAAGGACTTAAGTGCTTCTATCTGCTCTTGACTCAAAGAGAAGCCCAAGTCTAAATAGTCCAAAGTTTATGTCAAAGCCGTTTCAAACAAGCTGCCGCCATCCTAGTTGTTCCACTCCTTCGCAACATCCTGTCCACCAAACCGATAGAGCGCTGTGATTGGCCAGCCACCAGACAGTTTGGGCCTGCTGAGGCTCCAACGAAGCGTGGCTAGACCGATAAGCAGAGCAAAATCATTTTGTTTCAGCTACAGTCTGTCTAGTTCTCTAGGTTGTCTCCAGCTTTGTGGCTTAAAACCTTTGGAAGTACTGGAGTAGTTTGGAGAAATCCTCCGCAGACGAGTTAAAACAGCAGTCAGCACAATTCAAGTGTCCAAGTTTTCTATAACAAATAATGAAACCAGTAACACACCAACACCTTTATGTGGGGATCAGAAATGATCTAATGACTTTTTCTTTTACAGAACAGCAACAAAAATTAAGAGTTAATTTCTTCGTCCAGCTCAGCTCAGAGGTGACGAACACCTACTCAGAAACACACTCACAGCGCAGACACGCCCCTTTTAAGTACCGTGAAATGCACCAAGTAAGGGACATGACAAAGCAGACTTGATTTAGTCACACCCAGGTTTACTGTATGTTGTCATGTGACTACGTGCATGTGATGAGGCGACAGGTTCCAGAACATTCAGCCAGCCTACTTAACAAAAGAACACAAATTACTCGCTTGATCAGATTTTTTTTTGTTTTGTTTATTTGTTTTAACCCACTCAGGCTCAAAGTAAGTTTTGATAAAAGGACAAACAACTAAATCCTTCAGGGGTACTTCTGAGTTCAAAAATGCTCATGAAATATGTATGTGGACTAACCAGCTACGTAGGTTTTAACATTGCAAATCTGCGTTGCAAAACACCCTGCCTCCAGAGGGTTAACAAAACAACTGAGTGGAATGTCTGTGCCAAATCACAACAAATTCCAAACAGTATAAAAAAGAAGATACCAGGAATACAAACAAGTACACAAGTATTTTTTGTAAATAGCATCAATTGTTCTGTGAAGAATGTCCCCCATGTGTCACAGACACCGAGTGAAAATGACTGGATTATGAAGAAGAAAAGAAAAAGTTTCAAATGGCGTTGCACTGACTTGTTCTACGACAAAAGCAATTTACTCTTTCTTGGTAACTACAGATGTTATCACCGGGACAGGTCGATGCAAACAGCACCTGGAAATTGAATCCACTGGGAGAAACAAAGCCTAGGCTCTACTGCTCACTGAAAGTGTGTTTAACACTTTCTAATCATTTTATTCACAGAAACTCTAGACGACTAATATGTAAAAGTAAAATATAGAAAAGGCACATTTGAGCTGTGTTTAAACATCTTTATGTTAAAGAAATGTGGTGATATTTAGTGCATGAAACTAGGCCAGCAGCTCAATCGATATCCTGCTAAAACCAGGAACTTTAAAACACTATAGCATTACTTTGACTCAACCATGTTAGTAAGAGAACACCACACACAGGTATCCACACTCATTCCTCTCAACCTTCCCCTAGGATTAGCCAATTCATGCATTCACACTGCTGCTGTGAGAGGCACAGATCAGCTTCAAGTTATTTTACATTTTGTCTGTAGGGCTCCATGAGCTGAATCTCAGATCTCACAACAAAAACGACAAACAAAAACATTTGTGAACAATTATTTTAACCTCATTTCACTACTGGTGCATTTTTTTCCAATGAGAAGGTCATGAAACAATTTTAACTTCATAAATCACACGTGACTGATGTCTTTACCTTACACAGCATAAAAAAGGGAGAAAACAATACTGTGTCTATGGACATAACCAAAGACATTCATTCACACGTACTTTATTAATCACAGAGGGGAATTAGAGTGCATAATTATGCTAAAAGGCTGTCAAACAGCAGCAGCAGAGACAAAAGCAAAATGAATACATGAAAGTACACGAGCCAACATGTATGGTGAAGGTGTGTAATCGCTGGAGTTTGAATGCAAACACGGTCATGGAACACTCACCCCTCCCCTCGGGTATCTTCCCTGAGACGCTTCTGCTGGAACTGAACCCGTGATGCCAGAGGAAACAAGATAGCGCTAAACACCAGTCACTGTTTTCTAGGTCCAAACATCTTTTTATGTCCGTTACTTCAAATGGTGTTTATCTTTTTGGCCAGACTGACAACCAGATGGCCCAATAGTTGCTTTTGGTCCGAGCCGTGTTATTGGTGGAGGCCTTTAGACAAATGCGAGAGCCATTTCATTAAATTTTTTCCTTTTATTCCTCATCTCTATATTAGATTTATAGCTATACTATGTTAGAACGTTGTTAAGAGATGTTAATTTTTTTTTAAGTTAATTTGTTTTCTAAATGTGTCTTTACAGCTTTAATCTCTACCAAAAAAAAGGCAGCAGTGTGTCCTTTATGCAGCCAGATTTACCCCTATTTACATACATGAGTAGTACAGTATCGTTGGTTTCCAACAATAGCCCACATAATGTGGCAAAATAAGGGCTCCTTCATTTAAACAAGCAGACAAACCAAAGCCAGAGCTGCACTGACTTGAGGATGCCCGTATCTACAGAAACATGACACATTCTCTGACGTTTGAGGTGTCTGAGCACAAGACTCAATGCCATCTCTTCAGCGGCCAATCTGTCATGGGTGATCTTTCCTTCAAAGAATTGTCAGTCTGTGCAGCACATGAGTGTGATGTGCACCGACAATGCAACAGCTATCTAGTTAGAAAGATTTCACACTTAGGCTAACAGCTTGTTAGCTTCAAAATGGATGTTTAGGCAAGTAGTGTTTGTCAAACTCTACCCACGTTTCACTAGCCCCCCCCCCATGCTGTTTGCTAACCCATCCAAACCCAATGAGAACGCATCGGAGATGCATCCATTGTAGCTGAACAGTTTATCAATGTTGTTTCACTGCACTACTAGATCTCATGAAAATTATGAAAAAGCATAGAAATTGTAAAAGAAAATTTAAATATCTTCAAAAATACATTATGTTTTAAAATGATGTCAGCAAATAGTGAAAAGGTTGAACTCACCAGTCGATTTTCATCAAACACCTCAAACAGCAGGCGATGAATCCTGGGATGCACCTAAAGCACAAAACACTCTTTAGAACGAACGCTGCTAGCAGGGAATCCCCGCTAAACAAAACTAACCAGGTACACTTGTGATTGCTAAACTAACAGAGTTAAGTATACTAAAACCAGATGAAAATAATATATTCATTGTGACACATACTCTGAAAAAGAACTCCTCATTCCATTTTGGGTCCAGAGTCTTCTCGTGACATGGCAGGAAATAAAAAATAAAAGCATTAAATGTTCTCAAAGTCAACAAATGAAGCTAAAGTCACTTCAGCACATACATCCATCTGCTTACTTTTTTGATGGTTTTCGTCTGCAGACTTGTGATTTCTCCATTAACAGGATCATAAAGAGACAGCCTTACATATGGATCACTACAAGGAAAAAAAGGCATTTAGAGAGATTTAAGACTATTATAAAACAACTTTCTGAACTTCAAGAAAGGTAAATCAGCTATTTTGATCATATGATTTCCACAAGAAAACCCCAAGGGTGCCTCTGGTTATTCATTGCTCGTGTTATGACTGCAAATCTTTTTTTCTAATAATTAAAACCACATCCATTATTCTCATTACATTATTC